CTGGCCGCACCCGCCGGCCTGGCCTGCCCGGCCAACGCTCCCCTGCGGCCCAGGTGCCCGGCTCCCGACCCCTCCACACGGGGAGGGGCACCGGTCTGCACCCCGGGCTGCGTGGACCCAGACACACGCGCGCACACACACGCACGGACACGCACGCACACACACACGCACGCACTGACACACACACACACGCACGGACACGCACGCACATGCACAGACACGGGTGTGCCTTCTGGCCTTGGCCACGGCCGCCTCCTCCCCCGCTTGGGTCAGAAATGGGCAAAAGAGCTGAAACCGGTGTGGCTCAGTGGATAGAGCGTCGGCCTGAGGACTGAAGGGTCCCGGGTTCGATTCCGGTCAAGGGCATGGACATTGGTTGTGGGCACATCCCCAGTAGAGGGTGTGCAAGAGGCAGCTGATGGATGTTTCTCTCTCATGGATGTCTCTAGCTCTCTACCCCTCTCCCTTCCTCTCTGTACAAAATCAATAAAATATATTTTTTTTAAAAAGAGAAAAGAGAAATGGGCAAAAGAGAAGGGACCTGAGGTTGCAATAGATCCACCTGAGGGGTGAGTTCATTAAGTGTTTGAGCAAAGAAAGCAGGCTGTTTTTTTAATTAAAAAAAAAAAAATATATATATATATATATATATATATATATATATATATATATATATATATTTCATTGATTTTTTTACAGAGAAGAAGGGAGAGGGATAGAGAGTCAGAAACATCGATGAGAGAGAAACATCGGCCAGCTGCCTCCTGCACACCCCCCACTGGGGATGTGCCCGCAACCAAGGTCCATGCCCTTGACCGGAATCGAACCCGGGACCCGTCCGTCTGCAGGCTGACGTTTTATCCTGAGCCACACTGGCCAAGGCTGGTTTTTTAATTTTTAAAAGTCAAATTGATTTTTTATTTTTATTTTTGGTTAATCTCCACCCAAGAATATTTTTTATTATTTTTAAAAATATATATATTTTACTGATTTTCTACAGAGAGGAACGGAGATGGGGAGAGAGTCAGAAACATCGATGAGAGAGAAACATCCATCAGCTGCCTCCTGCACGGCCCCCACTGGGGATGTGCCCGCAACCAAGGCACATGCCCTCGACCGGAATCGAACCCGGGAACCTTCCGTCTGCAGGCCGAGGCTCTATCCGCTGAGCCACACCGGTGAGGGCGGATATTATTTCCCTACTTTATTTATTTATTTTTTATAAAAGGTGTGTTTCATTGATGCCACACAGGAAGGGAGAGGGAGAGGGAGAGAGAGAGAGAGAGAGAGAGAAACATCTGTGATGAGATGAGAGAGGATCATGGGTCGGCTGCCTCCTGCTGGGGATGGAGCCTGCCGCCCAGGCCTGTGCCCTGACCGTGACCTCCTGGATTCTAGGTCGATGATCAACCTCGGAGCCGTAGGGAGCCCGGAGGCCCGGCCTCGCCGGCCCCGCCCGCCCACCCGGCCCACCCCGCCCAGCCCTGCAGAGGCAACGGCTGTGCCAACCGGGGCGTGCACTCGGCCGGGGGCTGGACAGCCTGGACACTCCTAGAGCAGCTTCAGAGCAACAGCCCAGAGGGCCCTGCAGGCAGGAGGCCAGGAGGCAGGTCTCTCCGGGGCCAGAACCCCCGCCGCTCCCCCAGGGCCAGTGCCCGGTGACCCGGCCAGTTCCAAGGAACCAGCCGCGGGGCGGGTCCCCACGGGCAGCTATCTTTAGCTCCGGTGCCTCTGGGAAATTCCCGCCTCGCCCCCGGGGAGTGGCCCTGACGTCACTCCCGGCCTCCGCCCCGGCCGGCCGGCCCGTCCGGCAGCCGGGAGAGGACGGGGTGGACCGAGGTGGGACCTGACCGGAGAGGGACGGACGCCGTGGGGTCTGAGGTCCAGGGCATCCGCCTGGGGCCCTCTGCCTGCTTCCTTTTTAAAAATTTTTTTAAAATAATTTTTAAATCTATATTTTTTATTTTATGTATTTTATTATTATTGTTATTACTTAGATGTAATGGTATATGACATAGGTATTAAGGTCCGCTGTTTTGATTTGTTGTTTGATTTTTCACTCGCAATTCTTCTTCCTTTAATACTTGTTTTAAAAAATATATATATATTTTATTGATTTTTTTTTTTTTTACAGAGAGGAAGGGAGAGGGAGAGAGAGCAAGAAACATCGATGAGAGAGAGATGTCCATCACCTGCCTCCTGCACCCCCCCCCCCTGGGGATGTGCCTGCAGCCAAGGTCCATGCCCTTGACCGGAATTGAACCCGGGACCCTTCCGTCCGCAGTCTGGCGCTCTATCCACTGAGCCACGCCGGTTTCGGCCCTGCCCACCTCCCTCATGAGCACAGGGACCCTCCAAGTATTGCCCGCCACCCGGGCCTGTGCCCTGACCGGGAATCGAACCCTGACCTCCTGGCTCCCAGGTGGCTGGCTGTGAGCTGGATGCCGTGCGGTGCCCAGGGAGCACTCACCAGCCCGAGGGGGGCGGGGACCCGCGTGCCCCTCGTGGCCGCAGAGGCCCCGAGAGAAGGCATGTGGCCGCCTCGCCTGGTGCCCAAGCCGCCCGCCGGGACGGGTTAACCCTCTGCCCGCCCTCCTTTCCCGCCTCCCCGCTCCCAGCATTCCTCTGTGCTGAGCTAGCCGCCTGGGTCAGGGCACCGGGGCACCAGCAATGAGTAATCCGCTGTCCCAGGGCTGCCCCGGCGGCTGCCAGGCGGGGCACCAGCACCAGGGGGCGGGGCGGGGGGGTGCGGGGGGCTGGAGGGCAGGACCCTGGCACGCCCCAACCTCCCTCCCGGGCAGTCCCAGCCCGGGGCTGGCTCCCCATCCCCTCTCCCAGCCCGGCTCCCGGCTTCAGGGCCAGGTCCCAGCCCAGAGGGGGCGCCCTCGGTGGCAGTGAGCTCCCCGTCCCCCGAGGAGTGCAAACACCAGAGGCTCTTTATGCTCGTTGGGGACATGGGCTCCTGGGCCTCGATCCGGGCTGGGCGCCTGACGTGTCTGGCAAACGTTTTTCCTACAAACACACCAGCTTCCCGGCCCAGAGCCCGCCTCCCGGGCCTCTCTCGTCCGGGTCCGGGGCAGCCCCGGCCACTGTCCCACCCCGGCCCAGCCCGGCCCACCTACATACCCTTTTGGTCGCCGGCCTTGGGGAACCCCGAGGGAGGAGGACGGGGAACCCCGGGATCCCCAGACATTCCCAGGGCCAGGAGTCCTGCCTCCCGCCGGCCTCGGACCAGGGACCGGCCTGCCCCTGGCCTGCAGGGAGGGGTGGTCCTCGAAGCTGCCGCTGGGACAGGAGCAGAGCTGGGGTGGGGGGGGATGTGGGGCGCCCTCGGGGGTGAGGGATGGGGGGCACATCCCTGGCCCTTGGTGTTGGGGTGCAGAGGCCTGGGGCTCGGACAGCGGGAGGTGATGATGGGGAGCGAGGCCCTGGTTACTGGGCATCTGCCTCCCCCTAGTGGCCTCTGCCGGTCCAGCCATCCCCACAGACCCAAGGAAGCCCGCTCAGAGGTCAGAGTTCACCCAGCACCCCCCCCCCCCCCCCGCCCCGGGCAACGAGGAGTGACGGGGGCTCAGTGATGAGAGCAAAGGAGGAGCAGAGGGGGCTCGGCCTGGGCCCAGGTCCACTCCTCGTGGCACATGCTCGGCTGCAGCCCCGAGGTCTGTGCCAGCTGTGGCTCTATTCCTCTCTGGACCAAATTCCACTTTAAAAAATTTATTTTTTAGCCAAAACCGGTTTGGCTCAGTGGTAGAGCGTCGGTCTGCGGACTGAAAGGTCCCGGGTTCGATTCCGGTCAGGGGCATGTACCTTGGTTGCGGGCACATCCCCAGTGGGGGGTGTGCAGGAGGCAGCTGGTCGATGTTTCTCTCTCATCGACGTTTCTAGCTCTCAATCTCTCTCCCTTCCTCTCTGTAAAAAATCAATAAAATACATTTTTTTTAAAAAATTATTTTTTATTTATTTATTTTTTTATTTCAGAGAGGAAGGGAGATGGAGAGAGAGTTAAAAACACCGATGAGAGAGAAACATCCATCAGCTGCCTCCTGCACGCCCCCCACTGGGGACGTGCCCGCAAGCAAGGTCCATGCCCTTGACCGGAATCGAACCCGGGACCCTTAAGTCTGCAGGCCGACGCTCCATCCACTGAGCCAAATTGGTTTTGGCTGTTTCCACTTTTAAAAAAAAATTATTTTTTAATTGATTTCAGAGAGGAAGGGAAACAGCGAAATAGAAACATCTGTAAAGAGAATCATTGATCGGCTGCCTCTTGTGCGCCCTCTGCTGGGGGGGGGGGAAATCGAGCCTCAACCTGGGCGTGTGCCCTGGACCGGAATCGAACCCGGGACTCTTCCGTCCGCTCTACCCCCTGAGCCACGCTGGCTGGGCCGGACGAGGGTTTTGACGGCCGTTGCTTCCCGAGGGCATCGGCGGGCCGGGGGCCGGCAGGCCGGTGCCCCTGGATCACGGTGTCAAGGGAACGGGCTCTGGACGTGGGCCAGGCCCCCGCCTTGCTCTGCAGCCTCGGGGTCTCTGACCCGAACCATGGCCCTGTTGTCCCCGCCCCCCAGGCTGCTGTGAGGGGAGCCGGGGTGCCAGCTGGGCGCCCAGGGGCGGACTGTGTGCTCAGGGAAGGACGGCGGCAGGCACAGGGGCTGCCTCAGCCCCGTCTGCGGACGGACGGGGCCCCAGCCCCGGTCCCGCCCCCGCTCCCCGTGGGACCCAGGTCCCTTCTGGCTCCCGGGGCAGGCGGCCCCCGAGGGCTGAGGAGGCGTGTCCTGCAGGGCAGCAAAGGGAGCTCTGTGTCCAGCAGAGGGCCCTGCCCAGCCCGCGGCCGGCCAGAGGGGCGGGGAGCGGCCGGAGGCCACTGGGGAGAGAGGGCGGCGATGCCAGACGCCTCCCGGGGGTGGACAGAGCGGCCAGCTGCCTCTGTCCGGTCCTCGGGCACCGGGGCCCCTGCCCGCACCGGCTCTCCCCGGCACAGCTGCCTCTCGCCGTCAGCCATGCGGTGGCTGTGGCCGCTGGCCGTCTCCCTGGCGGTGGCGTCGGCGGCCGCGGGGCCGAGCGGCGGCCCCGGGGACCCCCCTCTGCCCCCCGGGGGGCTCCCGGCCGGGGCCCCGGACCCCCGAAGCCGGCCCCGGAGGGGCACGGAGGACAAGGAGGCCCGGGGGGTGCAGACGTACGTGCCCGAGGAGGCCTGGGCCGAGTTCCCCCGGCCCCTCCGCCCGCCCGCCGGCCCCCAGCCCACCGCGGCCCGGGCGGCCCCCAGCCCCCGCCCAAGGGGCCCTCCCACGGGGGGCCCCCCGACCGGGGTGCCCGGGCAGCGGCTGCAGATGCAGAACCCGCTGTACCCGGTGACGGAGCGGTCGTACGGGGCCTACGCAGTGCTGCTGCTGGCCCTGACGCTGTTCGCCGTGGGCGTGGTGGCCAGCCTGGCGGTGCTGTGTGTGGTGGGCCACAGCTACCAGCTGCAGAGCGCCTGGTACGCCATCCTGGCCAGCCTGGCCCTCTGGGACTTCCTGGTGCTGGTGCTCTGCCTGCCCGTGGTGGTTTTCCACGCGCTGGCCCAGAGGCGGCTGCTGGGGGACGCGTCCTGCCGGGCGGTGCCCTTCCTGGAGGTGAGTGAGTGGGGGGGGGACCCCGCCGGGTGCGGGAGGGGTGGGCGCACGACCTGCGAGCCCGCGACCCCGCGACCCGGGGCCTGAGCACAGTCCTCTGTTTTTTATTTTATTTTATTTACTTTATGTAATTTTATTTTAAAAAATATATATATTTTGTTGATTTTTTTTACAGGGAGGAAGAGAGAGGGATAGAGAGTTAGGAGCATTGATGAGAGAGAGTCATCGATCAGCTGCCCCCTGCATGCCCCCCACTGGGGATGTGCCCGCCACCAAGGCCCATGCCCTCGACCGGGAATCGAACCCGGTGGTACCCGTCCGTCCGCAGGCCGACGCTCTATCCACTGAGCCAGACCGGTTGCGGCTTTTATTTTGTTTTTTAACAGAGAGGAAGGGAGAGAGAGGTAGAAACACCGATGAGAGAGAAACATCGACCCGCTGCCTCCTGCACGCCCCCCACTGGGGATGTGCCCGCCACCAAGGTCCATGCCCTCGACCGGGAATCGAACCCGGGACCCTTCCGTCCGCAGGCCAACGCTCTATCCACTGAGCCAGACCAGTTTCGGGGCACCCATTGCTGTCCAGACAGTGGAAGAGATGGGGAAAGAGAGAGAGAAACGTGGATTGGAGAGAGACACATGGATTGGTGTGTCGCCTCCCCCCCCCCCCCCCCCCCCCCCCGCCCCAGGAGCCCTGCCTGGGGCCGAGGACCGAACCTGTGACCCAGGGACGCTGAGTCCTGGGACCAACACCAGCCAGGGCTGAATGACTTCTTGGAGGACAAACGGGTGCTTAAGATCAAGGGCTTAGAATGAGAGGAATTCGATAGACGTGGTGTTTTCCCCCCGGGAAGTGGCCTGGGGAGGGGGCTGATATGCGGAGACCCACCCTGACCCACCCTCTGGCCCCAGGCCTTCTCCAAGCCGCCCCCTTCCCCTCCTGGAGGGCAGTGCTCACCCTCCAGCCCTCCTCCTAGGAAGGGCGGTAGGTGAAGCCCACAACCAAGTTCAAGGGTGGAGGTGGGGGGGAATTGTCTCAGGAATGACTCTTTTTATTTTATTATTTTTATTTTTTTAAACACATTTAAAAAAATATCTCTTATTGATTAAAAAAATTATTTATTTTTTACAGAGAGGATGGGAGAAAGGGATAGAGAGCTAGAAAGATCGATCAGAGAGAAACATGGACCCAGCTGCCTCCTGCACGCCTCCCCCACCTGGGGATGTGCCCGCAACCAAGGTCCATGCCCTTGACCGGAATCGAACCCGGGACCTTTCCGTCCGCAGGCCGACGGCTCCATCCACCGAGCCACACCTGTTACGGCTAAATATATCTTTATTGATTTCAGAGAGGAAGGGAGAGGGAAAGAGAGAGAGAGAGAGATAAAAGCATCAATGATGAGAGAGAATCACTGATTGGCTGCCTCCTGCACGTCAACTAATGGGGATCAAACTAGGCATGTGCCCTTGGCCAGAATCGAACCCGGGACCCTTCAGTCCGCAGGCCAACGCTCTATCCACTGAGCCACACCGGTGAGGGGTGGGTGGGGGGAGGGAGGAGAGAGCCGGTGGCCTGCCCAGCCCTCGGCCGCCCTGCAGGGGGCGGGGGTCGGCCGGTGGCCACGGTCCTAAGTGGGGGGCTGTGTCCCCGAGCCGGAGGGACCCGGGGCGCCGTCCTGTGTGGTCTCGTCCTCTGTTGGTGGGGGCCCCGGCGGCTTCCTCCTGGCTCCCAGGCGGCTTTCCCGTCGGCCCAGGGGAGGGTGGGCGCGTCCCAGACCCCACGTGGCCGGGCCCGGCTGCTCAGGACGGGGCCAGGGTGAGCGTGTGAGTGTGTGTGTGTGTGTGTGTGTGTGTGTGTGTGTGTGTGAGCGTGTGCGAGGCGTGTCCCCAGAGACCATCCGTGCGTTTGTACCTGACGGGGGCGGAACCCAGACCACGGAACCGGTGTGGCTCAGTGGGTGGAGCGTGGGCCTGCGGACCGAGGGGTCCCAGGTTCGATTCCGGTCAAGGGCATGGACCTGGGCTGCAGGCTCCTCCTGGTCTGGGCGCGTGCAGGAGGCAACCCATCGATGTTCCTCTCCCATCGATGTTTCTCTCCGTCTCTCTTCCACTCTCTCTAAAACACCAATGGAGAAATAGCTCGGGCCCTGGCTGGTATGGCTCAGTGGATAGAGCATCGGCCTGCGGACTGAAAGGTCCCAGGTTCGATTCCAGCCGAGGAGGGCACAGGCCTGGGTTGCAGGCCCAGTAGGGGGCGTGCAGGACGCAGCTCACCAACGATTCTCATCATTGATGTTTCTCCCTCTCTCTCTCCCTCTCCCTTCCTCTCTAAAATCAATAAAATATAAATTTAAAAAATATATATATATATATATCCTCGGGGGAGGATGAACAAAAAAAAAACCCCATAATGCTCCTCCGTGCACATTGTGGGCGGGTCTTGCTGCCCCCGCGTCCTCCTGGCCTGACCGTGGCTCCCCCCCTCGTCTCCCCCCCCCCCCCCCCCGCCCAGGTCTCCTCCCTGGGGGTCACGACCTTCAGCCTCTGCGCCCTCGGCATCGACCGCTTCCACGTGGCCACCAGCACGCTGCCCGCGGCCCGCCCTGCCGCCGAGCGCTGCCGCTCCATCCTGGCCAAGCTGGCGGTCATCTGGGTGGGCTCCATGGCGCTGGCCGTGCCCGAGCTGCTGCTGTGGCAGCTGGTGCCGGAGCCGGGCCCCGCCGAGCCCGGCCCCGCGGACGCCTGCGCCATGCGCCCGTCGGCCGGCCTGCCCGAGTCCCTCTACTCGCTCGTCCTCACCTACCAGCACGCCCGCACCTGGTGGTCCTTCGGCTGCTACTTCTGCCTGCCCGTCCTGTTCACCGTCACCTGCCAGCTGGTCACCTGGCGCGTGCGGGGCGCCCCTCCCGGCGGGCGCAGGCCGGCGTGCCCCGCGGGCAAGCACGGGCAGGGCGGGGGCCGGCCCAACGCCACGCTGGTGGGGCTGACGGCCGTCTTCGCGCTGTGCACGCTGCCCCAGCACGTGTGCAGCCTGGTGGGCGCCTACCTGGCGGCCGACCTGAGCCGCCCGGCGCTGGGCCTGCTGGGCCTGGTGGCCCAGTTCTCCGCCTTCTTCCAGGCAGCCCTCACGCCCGTGCTGCTGCTGTGCGTGTCGCGCCCGCTGGGCCTGGCCTTCCGGGGCTGCTGCTGCTGCTGCTGCGAGGCCTGCGAGGGGCCCCCGGCCGCCCGGGCCGCCCCCGGCCCCGCCGACGCCAAGCTCAAGACCGAGATGGCGCCCTCTGTCTTCTTCCACAAGCCCCGGGGGGCGTCGCCCGGGCTGCTGCCCCTGGGCACGCCCTGCTGAGGCCGGCTCCGGGGAGGCCTGCCGTGTGCCCGTCCCCACGGCGCCCGCGGGGACGGCCCGGCCGGCTCGCTCTCCGGAGGGGGGACCGAGGGGCCTGGCGTGGAAGGTTCCGGTCACGTCCGGGCCCCTCCCCACGCAGGGCCTTCCTGTCCCGGCGGCCGGGGGCGGCTGGGAAGCTTGTAGAGCCTTAGACACGGCCCCGTCCTGCCCACCGGGAGCCCCCGGTTCCGCTGGTCCCAGCCCCCCCGGTGCCCGCCCTGAGCCCCCCATTCCGGAATCGGGGGGCTCTTGGGGGACCAGCCCGACGGACGTGGCTCTTCTCTGGACCGGATTCGCCCCAGCCTGGACCCTCTCTCCTCCTGGCACCGTGTCTTCTTCCAGAAGCTTCTCTTCCCTTCCTCCTCCTCCTCCTCCTCCTCCTCCTCCTCCGTGCCCACCCACCTCGGTAGGGGCCCCCCCGTAGGAGGCCTTTCTTAAAACACAATAAAGTAGGTAGAACTAGCCCTGTGCCCACTGCACTTCCTTCCGCCCGTCCTGGGGGTGATGGGGCGCCCCAGACTGCCCCCCTCCGGCCTCCCCTGGGCGGGCAGTGCCCAGGGGGGGACTCCTGGCCACCTGTGGCTTGACGGAGCTTTATTTTACTTATTTATTTTACTTATTTATTTTAAATGTGTTTCTAAAAATATATATTTTATTGATTTTTTTTTTTTTTTACAGAGAGGAAGGGAGAGGGAGAGAGAGAGAAACATCGATGAGAGAGAAGCATCGATCAGCTGCCTCCTGCAGGCCCCCACCGGGGTGTTTTTGAGAGAGAGAGAGGGAGAGAGAGAGAGAGAGGGGGAGAGAGAGGAACATCCGTGATGAGAGAGAATCGCGGACCGGCTGCCTCCTGCACGCCCCCCACGGGGGATGGAGCCCGCCACCCGGGCCTGTGCCCTGACCGGGAATCGAACCCTGACCTCCCGGTTCACAGTCGGCGCTCCGCCCCTGAGCCACGCCGGCCGGGCTGAGGGCTTCAGAGGGGCAGGAGGATGGAGGGCGCTCAGCCAGGGGCCCTGGGGAGTCAGTCCGAGGGCTGCCAGCCAGCGGAGCCTCCGAACCCCACCCCGCTCCCCTCTCCACAGAGCCCCATTCGGGGGGCGCCAGCTGCCGCCCCCTCACCCCCACCCCCGCCCCCGCCCCGGGGCCCGGGCTTCCAGCCGCCTCTGAGGCTCCTCTTGTTACTCAGGACGAGGGCCTGCAGCTGCCTTCCCCGGCCTGTCCCCCCCTCCCCTCCGGGCTGCCCCCTCTGCCCCCACCCCCCTCCCCCCGGGCTGCCCCCCTGCCCCCACCCCCTCCCCCCGGGCTCCACCCCCTGCCCCCTCCCCCGCCGCCCCCCGGGCTCCACTCCCTGCCCCCACCCCCTCCCCCCGGGCTGCCCCCCCTGCCCCCACCCCTTCCACCGGGCTCCCCCCCTGCCCCCACCCCCTCCCCCCGGGCTCCACCCCCTGCCCCCTCCCCCGCCGCCCCCCCAGCTCTCCCTGCTGGTCCGGCCCTGGGCATCCCCCCCCTGGCAGCCGGGCCCGTGTGGGCCCAGAGCGTTGGCACGGGGACCTCACCGGGGACCATCAGCCCCGCCAGGACCACGCCGGCCCCGGGTCAGAACCACAGACCCGCCGGCAGGTCCGCCCGCCGGGCCCCCCAGAGCGTCGGCCTGGGGGCTCCGAGGGCCCCGGGGGGCCCCCTGGGGAGGTGGCAGGGCTGCCCGGGCCCCGGGCGCCTTCTCCTCGGCCCGCCCTGTCCCCAAACCTCCCCTCCCCCTCCCCACACCGGGATCTGAGCTGCCTTGTTCTCCCTCCATCCTGGCACCCACCCCCGGGCCGGAGCCGGCCGCCGGGAGGAAGGGAGGCGGTTGCTAGGTGACCCACCCATCCCTCCGAGGACCTGTTGCCGCGGCGATGGCGGCCCGGCTTTGTCTGTGGAGAACGAAGATGGGGGGGGCGGGGATTGGACGGGGGCGGGGGGCGGATGGCAGGCCTGCACTTCCTCCACACCCCTCCCCGGTCCCCGCTGCCCCCCCTGAGGAGGAGGGGTTGGGGTGAACCGAGGTGAAGGGGGATCTGGGCAGAGCTGAGGATGGAGGGCGGGGGGACCCCTCTGCATCCTGTCTGGGGGCCTCTTGCACAAAGGACACCCTCTGCCTCTCCCTGGGGCTTGGCCAGCTCCGGGCTGAGTGTGGGGGGCGGGGGGTCCCCGAGGCTGTGCCCAGCCTCTGCCCCGCCTGCCAGCGCGAGGCCTGCAGAGCAGCCAGCCGGCCCGCGGGGCCTCGGGAACGGGCACTGTCCTGTGTCCCCCCGCTGGCCGCCGGGGGACAATGGGCCTTTGTGGCTCCGGGGTCCCCGGCCGGGCCACGGGGGGGGCGGCGGCGTGAGCTGGACGCTGGCACTCGCTCCCCGGGGGGAAGGCCAGGAGGGCACCCCCAGACCCGGGCCGGGCGGGAGGGCGTGGGTCCCTGGATCCCCAGAGTGGGTGGGTGGGTGGGCGGGGGGCGGGGGGCCGGGCGCTTGGGGGGCATCGCCCCGCTTCCGTCAGCGGGACCCGTCGCTGGAGGTCTCGGCTCAGCTTTGCCATCAGAGTCGGGGGGGCACGCCTCCCTCCCCAAACGGGTGGGAGGGAACAGGGGGAGCACGGGGCAGGGGCAGGGAGTGGGGGGTAACCCTTGGCCCGGGCCCCGGGCACGGGGCCAGCGACACGGATGCAGGTCTGTCCCCCCTCCAGTTCCCGCCGGGGGGCCATCGGGCACCTGCCGAGGGCAGGCCCAGCTGGGTGTCCAGCTCCAAGCCCCCCAAGGCCCCCAAAGCCCCCCTCCCCAGGATACAGCCCCAAACAGGAGAGGGGACCCCAGCTCCCTGCTCCCCCGACCCGGGGAGAGGGTGGGGGCTGAACTGTGAGGTCGGCCAAGAAGCTGTTTACCGCCCTCTGCCCAGCTGTGCGAGCTCCCAGGCCCGGTCAGCAAACTCATCCGTCCCCAGAGCCACACACCCCCAGCACCACCACGGACACGTCTCTGGAGAGCCACACCCCTTACACGTAAACGTCTTCCACACAGAAGCGCCCGGGCCGTGGTGTTTGTGGGAGAGCCGCCCTCCAGGGGCCCGAGAGCCGCCGGTGGCTGCAGAGCCGCCGTTTGCCGGTCATGGGCCCAGGCCACCATGTCTGGGCGGCTCCGGGGACCGGCAGGCGGAGGCCAGGGTCGGGGTGGGGGCGGCGGGGCCTGAGCTCACGGGGCAGCACCTGGGGGGCAGCTGGGCCGGCTCTGGCTCAGGCTCGGGTCCTGAGAGCCCCGCCTGCCTGGGGCCAGGTGAGGAGGAGGAGGAGGAGGCCGGGGGAGGCGGGGCCAGAGAAACTGGGTCAAGATGGCTCAGGATCCCGGTGAGCTGGGCGGCCAGGAGGGGCACGCCGGGAGGAGGGGGGACAGAGGCTGGAGGGGGCCGCAAGGGGAGGTACCAGCCCAGGAGAGGGAGGAGGCCGCCCAGCTCTGCCCCGGGGACGGTCAGCGGCTGCAGCTGGGCCGTGGGGACAGGGGGAGGGGAAGGGGGACCCACTCAGGCTGCAGGGGAGGTCCCAGCCGGGCTGTGAGGACACAGGGGGCTCCCCCCATGGTGCCCCAGGCCCCTGGGGGCCCCTCAGACAGACCCCCGAGGTCCACTGGGCAGCTGCCAGCACAGAGGCGGCGGGCGAGGGAAAAACAGCGGACACCTCACCCCCCAGCACAAAATGGCTAATTTATTCATGTTTCTTGTTAGGAGGCAAAAAATAAAAAAAATGTACAGTTACAAGGACCGTGTCCCAAACGGAGGTTAAAATAGGAGCTGGAACATATATATATATATATATAGATTAAAAAAAAGGACCCTCACTTTACAATTCATTAAATTAAATAAACACACACACACACAGGACCCGGAGCCGCCCCCATGCTGAGCGCCCTCCTTGTACCGCTGTAAAAAATAAAAACAAACAAGCAAGAAACCCAGAACAGGAAGTGGGGTGCCTGTAGGAGGGGGGCGGCCTGGGAGGGCACATGGACACGGGGTGCTGGGCCCCCGCCCCCGGGGCCTGGTGGTCTCGGGCAGCTGGCTGTGCCAGGGCCCCCCCAGGAGGCAGAGGGGCACAAGGAGGGTCTGGGGGGGACTCCATGGCTGTGGGACATGAGGGCGCGGGCACCGGGCGTGGGGTGGACGCCAGTGTCCAGGCTGGAACCTGCCCCACGTGCCCGCGACCCCCCCCCCAGGCCGCCCGCCCCTCCCCGCCCCTGCCTGCCCCTCCCCTCCAGCATCGGATGGTCGATTTTAGTCTTTGCTTAAATTAAAAAATTAAAATATATATACATATATATACTGTACACACAGGACGATAACCGAAGTGTTGAAGGAGGCAGGGATGGGGTCGGGGTTGGGGAGCTGGGGCCGGGGCTGCTGAGAGGGGGAAGCAGGTGGGGGAGGGCCGGGGGGAGGGCATGGGTAAGGGGGAGGTTAGGGGACCAGGGGGAGCGATTTATTTTACAATAAAAACAGGAGTTCAAACCTCAGCAGAACAGGACTCTGGGGTCCCCGAGGGCCCCCCCCCACACCGGCGATGTGGGGGGGGGCATGGGGGGCGCGGGGGGGGCATGGAGGGGTGCGGGGAGCTCGGCTTCAGGTCTGGGTGGTGGGTCCCTGGTCCGAGGGTGGGGGGCCGCCGTCTCAGCTCCTTCGTGACTTCGAGTGCTGGATAAGCCACTGTAAGGTGATGTCTGAGGGGGTGGGGGGAGGAGAAGAGAGGGGGTGACGGGGCGTCCCCCTGGAGCAGTGATGAGGCCCAGGGCCCCCCAGGCTGCAGACAGGGTCCACCCTCAGGGCACCAAAGCCCAGAGCCATCAGCTGCGAACAGCCCCGGCCGGGACAGGGGGGCGGGGGCTCAGAGCCGAGCAGGAAGGGTCGGGGGTCTGTGACGGGGGGGGGGGGGGGGGGGGAGTCCAGGCTCCGGACGGCGGACAGAGCGGGCGAGGTGCCCAGAAGCCAGGGGCGTGCAGGAGGCAGCTCACTGATGATGTCACTCTCTCATCGATGTTTCTCTCTCTCCCTCTCGCTCTTAAAAAAAAAAAAATCAATAAACCGAAACCGGTGTGGCTCCGTGGATAGAGCCTCGGCCTGCGGCGTGAAGGGTCCTGGGTTCGATTCCGGTCAAGGGCATGGACCTTGGTTGCGGGCACATCCCCGGGGGTGTGTGTGCAGGAGGCAGCTGATGGATGTTTCTCTCTCTTTGATGTTTCTAGCTCTCTATCCCTCTCTCTTCCTCTGTAAAAATCAATAAAAAATATATTAAAAAAGAAAGAAAAAAAGATGCTAAAGCCAGTTTGGCTCAGTGGATAGAGCGTCGGCCTGCGGACGGAAGGGTCCCGGGTTCGATTGAAGTCAAGGGCCTGTACCTTGGTGGCGGGCACATCCCCAGTGGGGGGCGTGCAGGAGGCAGCTGATGGATGCTTCTCTCTCATTGACGTTTCTAACTCTCTCTCCCTCTTCCTTCCTCTCTGTAAAAAAATCAATAAAATATATTTTTTTAAAAAGAAAAAAAGAATGTGGCCTCCGACCGCCTGACCCCCACCCCCAGGAGAGCCCCCGCGTCTGGGCTTCCGGGAAAGGGTGGGAGTGTGGGTTTTGGGGGCCCCTCCCGCCCTCCCTGCCCCCCCTCCGGCCACCCCCAAACCCACACACCAATGTTGTCCTTCTCTTTGCAGGAAATGGAGTAACAGCAGATCTCTCGGTCCTGGATGGCAGACAGATTCCTGGGGGGGGGAGGGGGGAGGAGAACCAGAGATGAATGGGCCTTAGGCAGAGGCGGGTTTGGGGGGGGCGTTGGGTTGGGGTTCTGCTCTGGGCCTGGGCGGCTCCCAGGCGGTGGGCTCTGCTGCCCCCGTGTGGCCATCCCTGAGAACAGCAGCTCGCCCGCTGGCTCTCAGGTGCCGGGGGTTTGGGGAGAGGCTGCCGGACTCACATTTTCTCAATCAGCTCCTTCTCATCCAGCGCTCCCGGGAGGTCCCGCTTGTTCCCCAGGACTAAGACCTACAGGGAAGGAGGAGAGGCCCAGGTCCAGGCTGCTGCCCTCGGCCTGCTCTCCCCCCCGCCCCCCGCCCCCCATGTCCCGGCCGCCTGGGGCCCGCGGGGCCGCTGACCGGGATCCCCTGCAGCTGGGGCTTGTCCAGCAGGTTGTGCAGCTCGTTCTTGGAGGCCTCGATCTTCTCCTGGTCGGCGGCGTCCACCATGTACCTAGGGGACGGGCGGCCAGCCGTGACTTCCCAGTGAGAGGGCGGGCGGGGGCTGGGCCCTCCCTCCGGCAGCTCCGGCTCCTGGGGCCTGTGGGCCTGGGCCGGCGGGCGGGGGCCCGGGAATGTCTCCTGGGCTGATGGGCATGAGGCCTGCAGGCACTCCAGGCCTCTGAGCCTGGGACCCCGAGATCGGCCTTGAGCCTGGGCCCCGGGAGTCAGCCCTGAGCCTGGGACCCCGAGATCGGCCTTGAGCCTGGGCCCCGGGAGTCAGCCCTGAGCCTGGGCCCCGGGAGTCAGCCCTGAGCCTGGGCCCCGGGGTCAGCCCTGAGCCTGGGCCCTGGGGTCAGCCCTGAGCCGGGTCCCCGGGGTCAGCCCTGAGCCTGGGACCCCGAGATCGGCCCTGAGCCTGGGCCCCGGGGTCAGCCCTGAGCCGGGTCCCCGGGGTCAGCCCTGAGCCTGGGCCCTGAGCCTGGGCCCCGGGGTCAGCCCTGAGCCGGGTCCCCGGGGTCAGCCCTGAGCCTGGGCCCCGGGGTCAGCCCTGAGCCTGGGCCCCCGAGCCTGGGCCCCGGGGGTCAGCCCTGAGCCTGGGCCCCGGGGTCAGCCCTGAGCCTGGGCCCCGGGGTCAGCCCTGAGCCTGGGTCCCGAGCCTGGGCCCTGGGGGTCAGCCCTGAGCCTGGGCCCCGAGCCTGGGCCGGGGGTGCGGGGGCGGGAGCGGGGTCGTGACCCCGCGGGGGCGGGCACTCACACGATGGCGCTCACTCCGCGGCAGTAGCGCTCCCACATGCTCCGGAAGCGGGGCTGCCCCCCGATGTCCCAGAGCTGGCGAGAAGAGGGGCGGCCTCAGCAGCCGCAGGGCAGCCAGACCCTCCCCCCCTTCTCCCCTGCCCCTGCCCGGGCCCCCCCAGCCCCGGGCTAACCGCCCCCCCCCGCCCCAGTCCCCCTGCCCCGGGCTAACCCCCCAGCCCACCCCCTCACGTCCCCCTTCCTTCCTCCCCCCCGCCCAGGGCTCCCCCCTGCCCTGGGCTAACCGCCCCCCCCCCGCCCTGGTCCCCCTGCCCTGGGCTAACCCCCACAGCCCCCCCTCACACACCCCCTGCCCAGGCCCCCCCGCCCCCGGGCTAACACCCCCCTGCCCGGGTCCCCCCCCTGCCCCGGGGCTCCCGCCCCCTCAGCCCGGGTCCCCCGGCCCGGGCCCCCGCCCCCGGCCCAGTCCGCCCCGCCCCCGGCCCGGCCCCCCGCCCCCGGCCCGGGTCCCCCGCCCCCGCCCGGTCCCCCGCCCCCGGCCCAGTCCGCCCCGCCCCCGGCCCAGTCCGCCCCGCCCCCGGCCCGGCCCCCCGCCCCCGGCCCGGCCCCCCGCCCCCGCCCGGTCCCCCGCCCCCGCCCGGTCCGCCCCCGCCCCCGGCCCAGTCCGCCCCCGCCCCCGGCCCGGCCCCCCGCCCCCGGCCCGGTCCCCCGCCCCCGCCCGGTCCCCCGCCCCCGGCCCAGTCCGCCCCCGCCCCCGGCCCGGGTCCCCCGCCCAGGCCCCCTCCTGCCCTGGGCCCCTCCTGCCCTGGGCCCCCCCCCGCCCGGGTCCCTCGCCCCCCCCCCCCCGCCCAGTCCGCCCCGCCCCCGCCCGGGCCCCCCGCCCCCCGCCCGGGCCCCGCCCCCGGCCCAGTCCGCCCCGCCCCCGGCCCAGTCCGCCCCGCCCCGGCCCACCTTGATGGTCACGTTGCCCTTGGTGATCTTGCGCATGTTGAAGCCCACGGTGGGGATCATGTCCTCGTTGAACTGTCCTGACTGGGGGGAGAGGTCGGGTTGGAAAAGGGGGAGCAGTGACCGGACCCCCAGGGGCCTCCCCGGCTGCGGGAGGGACGGCGAGAGGTCAGAGGCCTCCCAGCGTCCCCTGCAGGTGGCAGAGGTCACGGTTCGATTCCCTGTCAGGGGCACAGGCTCCAGGGGGTGGCCGGCTCCATCCCCAGGGCGGAGCGTGCAGGAAGCCACGGGTCCATGATTCTCTCATCATTGATGTCTCTCTCTCTCTCTCTCTCTCTCTCTTCCTCTCTGAAATATATATATATTTAATAATAAGAAGCCCTAATCGGTTTGGCTCCGTGGCTAGAGCATCAGCCTGCAGACTGAAGGGTCCCAGGTTCAATTCCGGTCAAGGGCATGGACCTTGGTTGCGGGCACATCCCCAGTAGGGGGCGTGCAGGAGGCAGCTGGTGGATGTTTCTCTCTCCTCCGTGTTTCTCACTCTCTCTCCCTCTCCCTTCCTCTCTGTAAAAAATCAATAAAATATATTTAAAAACACACACACACAGAAAACAATGGTAAGAAGCTGGAGGACCCACAGGCTCCCATGGAATTAAAACCCCGCCTGGCACAGGGAATGAGGAGCCAACGGGTGCCAGTGCCGCCGTGACCCCGCTAACGGGGAGCCCCAAGCAGATCTTCTGTCCCCGGTCGTGTCTCTCGGCTCCCCAGCTCCTCCCCGGGGACCCCCGTGGCCCGACACCATTCGGGGGAAAGTTCCGGAAACACACCACCCCTAAGTGTTAGACCGCGCGCCGTCGGGCGCCCCGGGACGGCGTCTCGCGCCACCACCCCACGCGTCCCGCCGTGAATCGGCCCTTTGTCCGGCGCCGACAATAAGACAGTTTGTAGCTTTTGGGCGCGTGGTTACAGCGGCTCTGTGTGGGCATCGGTCACGGCGGGCGTCTCTCACCGAGCCCGGTTCACAGACTTTATCCCAGGCGAGTGTGCGTGTGCACAGGAGGGAGCCCCGCCGGGAGCCCTGGCCGGGCGGCTCAGTGGGTAGAGCGCCGGCCTGCCGCGGACCGAAGGGTCCCCCTGCAGGGGTTCGATCCGGGTCAAGGGCACGTGCCTCGGCGGCAGGCTCCGCCCTCGCGTGGCCCTGGCCGGGGCGCGGGCAGGAAGCAACCCATGGGTGTGTTTCTCTCCCATCGATGTGTCTCTCTGTTTCTCCCCCTCTCTGCCACTCTCCCTAAGAACTCAACGAAAAAATATCCTCAGGTGAGGATTGAAAAAAATAAATAAATAAAAGAGCCCTAACTAACCGGTGTGGCTCAGCAGATAGCGCGTCGGCCTGCGGACGGAAGGGTCCCGGGTTCGATGCCGGTCAAGGGCATGGACCTTCGCTGCGGGCACATCCCCAGTGGGGGGCGTGCAGGAGGCAGCTGATGGATGTTCCTCTCTCATGGATGTTCCTAACTCTCTATCCCTCTCCCTTCCTCTCTGTAAAACATCAACAAAATACATTTTTTTAAAAAAGAAAGAAGAAAGAAAGAAAGGAAGAGGCCGAAACCGGTTTGGCTCAGAGGATAGAGCGTCGGTCTGCGGACGGAAAGGTCCCGGGTTCGATTCCGGTCAAGGGCGTGTACCTTGGTTGCGGGCACATCCCCAGTGGGGGGTGTGCAAGAGGCAGCTGATCGATACTTCTAACTCTCTATCCCTCTCTCTTCCTCTCTGTAAAAAATCAATAAAATACATTTAAAAAGAAAGAAAGAAAGAAAGAAAGAAAGAAAGAAAGAAAGAAAGAAGAAAGGAAGGAAGGAGAAAGGAAGAAGAAAGCAAGCTGGTAAAGGGTTCGGTCGGTGCTATCCACGGTTTCAGGTTCCCATCGGGCCGGGGGACCACGGGGACCCTCAGTCAGCCCAACGCTTGCCTGCACCTCGAAGCCCCTTGGGTCGGCCCCCAGGCTCCCCAAGTTCTCTGTGAGCCTGACACCATCTGCCCGGGACTCCCCCCCCCGCCCCCCGCTCCTATGCCTTCCACCGGGCTCCCTCCCCCTCCCCCGGGCTCCCCACTTCCCCCGGGCTCCCCCCCCCCGGGCTCCCCACCTCCCCCAGGCTCTCCCCCCCGGGAACTCCCCCCTCCCCAGGCTCCCCACCTTCCCCGGGCTCCCCCCCCCCGGGCTCCCGCCCCCCGGGCTCCCCACCTTAAAGTCCTGGAGGACGGCCCCCCCCCCCCCCATCAGGCAGACACCCTGCGCTCCAGCATCCCATTCTCCCACGAGTTTTAGGTTCATGGGCGCGTTGTCCGAGATTTTTTTCCAGCTCGTGCGCGCGCACACACACGCACACACACACACACACACACACGCACACACACACACACACGCGCGTGCACACGTGCGCACACACACGCTCACACACACACACAAACACTCACAAACACACAACACACTCATACAGGCACACACGTACTCACACACGTGCGCGCACACACACGCACGCTCACACGCGCACACACGCACACACACATTCACACTCACATGCACGTACACGCACACACACACACGCACACACACGGGGGACGGAGAGGGAGGAAGCCGGTGGGGGGCTCGCTCTCCAGGGGGTACGCACGGGGCGGGCAGGGTGCCTGCCGGGCCACGGGCCTGAGGACATGGAGTGACCCCCGAACCCAGAACCCCCCTCTTCCCGGGGGCCCCTTTATGTGTGCATTCATCTGTTTGTGGGTCAGTCCTCACCCAAGGTTACTTTTGCATCGACTTTTAGAGCGAGTGGGAGGGATGGAGAGACAGAGAGAGAGAGAAACATCAATGGGATGGCTTCCTGTATGTGCCCCCAACCGGGGCCAGGGATGCAGCCAGTAACCAAGGGACGTGTCCCTGTCCAGGAATGGAACCCAGGGCCCTGCAGTCCACAGGCCGACGCGCTACCCACGGAGCCACACGGGAGGACACTGGCCTGCACGTTAGGGCGCGTGCGTGGAAGGACAGGTTTCCTATTCAAAGGGGGGGGGGCGTAGGATGCGGGCCTAGAGGGAACCCCCAGACCAGGAAACGGAACCCCTGGGGTTCCCCGGAACCCTGTCTGGGAACACGGCTTCGAGACCGGAGACTGCGGGGGGCACCTGGCTCGGTCATGAGGGCGGCAGCAGCTTGGGTCTCCCCTTGGCCACACCCCCTGCTCCCCCAGACATCGCCGGGGTCCACACACCCGGAGGCCAGGCCACACTGGCCTGGATTGGGGTCAGGCCCCGAGTCCTGCTCCAGGGACCCCCAGATCTCCCCGCCCCCGTCCATGCCCGTCTCCCCCGGGTGTCTGACACGGCCTGGATAGACAGGAGGGCCCGCACCTCGGAGCCCCGAACCCCCACGTGGGCCGGGCGACCCCACCCAGACACAGGCGGGGCCAGAGGTCACGGGCAGAGCCGAGCTGGAGAACGGAGGCGGGTGCCCACACAGAAGTGGGACCACAGGGTCCCGTCCCTCCGCCGTCCCCGGGGCCCCTCCGGCCTCAGGCGATGGATGTATCCCCTCTTCCAGGGGCACCTGCCGGGCAGGGGCACCCAGCTGGCCGGCCACGCTTCTCTCGGCATTGCCGGCCTGGTCTGTGGCCAACCCACCATTCCCAGAATCCCGCGTTGGGAGCTGGGACCGGTCCCTGGTCTCTGGTTCCTGGTCCCTGGTCCCTGGGGCGGCCCAGCCCCATCCAGTCGGCCGGCCGTGCAGGCCGCGGCCATGACTGCAGCCTGGTTCCTACCCCGCAGCCCACCTTCCCCTTTTTCTCCAAGACGCAGCCTTAACTCCTTCCCACCCGCCGGGCACCCGCCTGGGCTGGACTCCGGGGCGCCCTCAGGGCCTCCATCCCCCCCCCGCCCTTCCCGTCGCCTGGGCGGGCAGTGACCCTCCAGGTCATTCCGGCCCCCGGCCCCTCCTCCTGCAACTCCGGAGCCAAGCGGAGCCTCCGAACTCCCTTTCGGGTGCGATGCCACCCGCCCGGACCCCAGAGGCAGCCAGGCCCAGCCCGGGAGGGAGGCGTCTGACTCGGGCCTGGGGACCTCGGCGGCCTCCACGACCCTGGAGACACCCCCCCTGGCCCTCCATGTCCCGGGATCCCCTTCCTTTCCGGGCAGGAAGGGGTTAGCGCCTGGGGGGGGGGCTGGTGGCGGGGCCCAGGCCCCCTCCCCAGGTGCCAGGGCCTCGGGGTCAGCCACCCTCCGCCCTCCGCGGGCTGGGCGCGCTCGGGCCTGGCGCTTTCGCCCCGTCATGCCCCCTGGCGCGGGGGCGGAGGGGCCGGGCGCGGCGGGCAGGGGATCCCCCCTCCGGCCTCCTGACCCCCCTCGGGCCTGTGCCCGGTCCCCCGCCCGCGCCGGGCCGAGAGGGAAGAAGGGAGGAAGGGAGGGAGGGAGGGAGGAGGGAGAGCGGGGGCGCGCGCTCCCGCCGGGTCCCCACGGGCTGTGTAGGCCCCAGGCGCCCGGCCCGGCCCGTTAGGCGGGGACCCGGCTGCCCGGGGCGCGGCGGGTGGAGACAGACAGGCCCGGGCCGGCCCCCGCGCCCCCCGCCCCGCGCCCCGGGGGGCCCCGCGCACCGCGATCACGTTGACGAAGGTGGTCTTGCCCGAGTACTGCAGCCCGACCAGCGTGAGCTCCATCTCCTCCTTCCAGAAGAGCGCCCGGAACCAGTCCAGCAGTTTGCTGAACAAAGCCAGCATGGTGGCCGCGGGCGCGGGCGCCGGGCTCTGCACCGGGGCCGCGGGCTCTCCGCGGGGCTGGGCGCGCGGGGCTGGGCGCGGGGCGACTCCGGCCCGATCGGCTGGCCTCGCCGCTGGGTGTGGCCTGGGCGCCTCCTCCTCCCCGCCTCGGCCGCCGCCTCGGCCGCCTCCTCCTCCTCCTCCTCCTCCTCCTCCTCCTCCTCCTCCTCCTCCTCCTCCGCCGCCGCCGCCGCCGCCGCCGCCGCCGCCGCCGCCGCCGCCGCCCCCCGCGCGCCCGGAGCCGGAGCCGGAGAGCCGGGGCCGCGTCCTGCTCGCGCCCGAGCGCGCGCGCCTGGCTCCCCGGAACGGGGCGGGGCGGGGCGGGGCGGGGCGGGGCGCGAGGATTTGGTTTTATTTGTCCCCCTGGCCCGGCTGGCACCCCCCGGTCCTCCCCAAAGGGTGGTGGGGAGGGGGTAGGGGTGGGAGGGGCTGGGGGGGTGCGCTCCCCGGAAAACGGGAAGGCGTGTCTGGGTGGAGAGGGCGTCTCACCCCCTTCCCAGGACCCCCCCCTCCCTCCCTCAAGGCTGGAGTGGTTTGGGATTAATTCTTTATTTAAAAAATATTTTTTATTGATTTTTTTTTACAGAGAGGACGAGAGAAGGATAGTTAGAAACATCGATGAGAGAGAATCATGGATCAGCTGCCTCCTGCACGGCCCCCCCCTGGGGATGTGCCCGCAACCAAGGTCCATGCCCTTGACGGAATGGAACCTGGGACCCTTCCGTCCGCAGGCCGACGCTCTATCCACTGAGCCACACCGGTTTCGGCTAATTCTTTATTTTTATGAATATGTTTGTATTTTCTTAAAAAAATATATATATATATATTTTTTATTAATTTCAGAGAGGAAGGGAGAAGGGGGGGGGGGAGAGAAACGCCCATGATGAGAGAGAACTATGAATCGGCTGCCTCGCGCACGACCCACACGGGGGATTGAGCCCGCCACCTGGGCAGGTGCCAGGAATTGAACCCTGATCTCCTGGGTTCTAGGTCAACGCTCAACCCCTGAGCCACGCCGGCCAGCCGGGCGGGTGGCAAAGCACAAATGTCCGGTGCACGGGAGGCCGAGCCCCCGCCCCGCACCCGCTGCCCCTCTGGGGTCTGCTGGAACGCAGCTCCCCTGACGGCCACCGGGGGCACTAGAGGCAGCAGAGGGGTGGCCAGCAGCGGTCAAGACCTGGAGCCTGGCCGTGCTCCTGGCTGACCAGGGTTTGGTGGCCACACACGCTCACTGACCCATCGCCATCCCGGGCCTGGGGAAGGGGGCGCTTGGGCTGGTGGAGGGCGCCAGGGGTCAGGGGCTGGGCTCCCCGGGCAGCTGGGCGGCGTACAGGGCCAGCGTGTGGTGCAGGAACTGGTACTGCTCCGCCGTCTGGATCATGCCCCCCCTGTGGGGGCAACGGGGCCATGAGTCCCGAGGGAGCCCCCTGCCCCTTCCCGTCCCCCGATCCGTCCTCTGTGCTTCTCTCTCCTTCCTGCTGCTCCTCAGGCCTTCTCCCCCGTGGGAGCCCCCTGCCCCTCGCTCGGGGCTGAGCCTGGGGGCCCGGGAGGCAGTGCCAAGGAGGGGACGCCCCACCCTGGCACCTGGTCTTCCCTGACCAGCAGCTGCCAGGCCCCGATGCCTCCGGCCGGGCCGGGAGCACGCCGGGCCCGAAGGCTACCTCTTCCTGATCATCTTATTGTTGTTTTGGTTCATCCTCACCCCGTCCTGCCCGCCTCTCTGGGGTCCAGGGCTGGTGGTCACATGCCTAGGAGCACCCCGGCCCCGGGGCCGCTCGGCGCCCCCGCGCACCCACCTGTCCAGCCGCAGGCGGCACACGATGGCCAGGATGTCCACGTCCCCCCGGGCCTTCAGCTGCTGGCAGCCGATGTGGGTGGCGATGAAGCAGCCGGTGCGGCCGATCCCCGCGCTGGAGGGAGCCGGGGAGGGCAGGGGGGTCACCGGGGAGCGGGAACGTGGGGGGGCTGGGCCCCCTGCTCCCCCCTGAACCCCAGGGAAAGCGGCAGGAGCTGGCCCTCTCTGCGTGGGGCTGGGGCTCCGGTCGAGGCAGGGGCTCCGGACCAGAAGCCTGGAAGGCCGCCCTCGGCCCCCAATGGGGGCGTGGCCAGGAGCCTGTGGGGGCGTGGCCAGGTGTCTGCGAGGGGCGGGGCCAGGTGTCTGCGAGGGGGCGGGACCAGGTGCCTTGAGGGGCGGGGCCAGGTGTCTGCGAGGGGGCGGGGCCAGGTGCCTGTGAGGGGCGGGGTCAGGTGCATGTGAGGGGCGGGGAGGCCAGGAGTCTGTGGGGGCGTGGCCAAGTGTCTGCGATGGGCATGACCAAGGGCATGTGAGGGCGGGGCCAGAAACCTCGGGGCGGGGCCAGGTGCCTTGAGGGGCGGGGCCAGGTGTCTGTGAGGGGGCGGGGCCAGGTGTCTGTGAGGGGCGGGGCCAAGGGCATGTGAGGGCGGGGCCAGAAACCTGGGGGCGGGGCCGGTACCTGCAGTGGACCACGATGGGCCCCCGCCCGGCGGCCACCTCTGGGCTCTCCTCCACCTCGGCCACCAGGCGCAGCAGCGGCCCCGCCGACTCCGGGGTCTGGTGGTCGGGCCAGGCCGAGAACAGGACGTGCTTCACCGCCCGGCACTCCTCCTGGTGCTGGCGGGGGACCGGGGCCGGGGTGAGGGGAGGACAGGGCCGCCTTCCCCCTTGGTGCCCGGAGGACGAGGCCTGGGGACCCCGGGGCGGTCAGGGACCCCAGCGGGAGGCCAGCTCCCTCTGCCCATCACACCCATCCCGCCGGGAGGAGACGCCGGCCGGTGCGGCTCAGTGGGTAGCATCGACCTGTGGCCAGGAGGTCAGGGTTCGATTCCCAGTCAAGGCACAGGCCGGGGTCCAGGCTCCATCCCCGGTGTGGGGGGTGCGGGAGGCAGCTGATCAGTGATTCTCTCTCCTCGTGGGTGTTTCTCTCTCTCCCCCTCCCTGCCTCTCTGAGATCAGTGAAATAAGGAAAGGAGAAAGGCTGGAGGAGTGACCTCAGCTCCCAGGAGAACCCGCCCCCCGTCCCGGAGCCGCGGGGCCAGCTGCCCCGGCCGGCACCTGCACGGTGAGCCGCCGCACGGTGTATTCCGGGAGCGCCCGCTCCTCCTGCAGCCGGACCCGGAAGGGGCCGTAGGAGTCCTCGTCCGCCGGCCAGTAGTGGACACATTTCTAGGAGGGAGGGGCTGGGAGTCAGGGGGAGGGCTGTCAGCCGGGGCAGGGCCAGGGCGGTGGACAGGGGAGTGGGTCCCCTCCCCACCCCTAACTCCTCCCTCCCACCCCCATCCCCTCCTCCCACCCTCTCCTCTCCCCCCCTCTCCCCCCCTCCCCTGCCCACCCCCCCTCCTTCCACCCCCATCCCCTCCTCCCACCCTCCCCGGCCGCTGGGATGCTCGCCAGCTCCACGGGGCGCGTCTCAGGGGCTTTGAGACGGGCACGCTGGGCCTGCAGACCTGTGCCCTCAGCTCTGGGGTCTGAGCTGCCCCGGGTGTGTGTGTGTGTGTGTGTGAGTGTGGGGAGTGTGTGTGTGCGTGTGTGTGAGTGTGAGTGTGGGGGGGTGTGTGTGTGAGTGTGGGGTGTGTGTGTGTGTGTGTGTGTGTGTGAGTGTGGGGTGTGTGTGTGTGTGTGAGTGTGGGGTGTGTGTGTGTGTGTGTGTGTGTGAGTGTGGGGAGTGTGTGTGTGCGTGTGTGGTGTGTGTGTGCGGAGTGTGTTTGTATGTGGATGTGTGGATGGGGGGTGAGTCGGGGCGGATGGGGCTCTGCTCCCACCTCCTTGCTCTCGCGCAGCTGCGTGTGTGTGGTGTGTGTGTGTGGTGTGTGTGTTTGTATGTGGATGTGTGTGGTGTGTGTGTGGGTGGGGGGTGAGTCGGGGCGGACGGGGCTCTGCTCCCACCTCCTTGCTCTCGCGCAGCTGCGTGTGTGTGTGTGTGTGGGGAGTGTGTTTGTATGTGGATGTGTGGATGGGGGGTGAGTCGGGGCGGACGGGGCTCTGCTCCCACCTCCTTGCTCTCGCGCAGCTGCGTGAGCATCACGATGAGCGGCACGTCCTCCTGCCACACCATCGCCCAGAAGTCGGCCACGGTGTGGGGCATGGGGCCCTGCGTGGCGATGTAGGCCTTCTCCCGCCCGGCGTAGCCCTGGGGGGACGGGGGGCTGAGGAGCAGCGGGAGGGGAGGCGGCTCCGGGGAGCCTGGCTCTGCACACACAGACCCAGCTGCACACACAGACGCGTGCACACACACGCACACACAGACCCAGCTGCACACAGAGGCATGTGTGCACACGCACGCACACAGACACACGCACACACAGACACAGCTGCACTCACAGACGCACGTCACACAGAGGCATGCGTGCACACACATGCACACGCAGACCCAGCTGCACACAGCGGCATGCGTGCACACACACGCACAGACGCACGTGCACACAACGGCATGCGTGCACACACATGCACACACAGACCCAGCTGCACACACAGACGCGTGCACACACACGCACACACAGACCCAGCTGCACACACAGACGCGTGCACACACATGCACACACAGACCCAGCTGCACACAGAGGCATGTGTGCACACGCACGCACGCACACACAGACCCAGCTGCACACAGACGCATGTGCACACAGCGGCATGCGTGCACACACACGCACACACAGACCCAGCTGCACACAGACGCACGTGCACACAGAGGCATGTGTGCACACACATGCACACACAGACCGAGCTGCACACAGAGGCATGCGTGCACACACACACACACAGACGCACGTGCACACAACGGCATGCGTGCACACACACGCACATGCAGACCCAGCTGTACACACAGACGCACGTCACACAGAGGCATGCGTGCACACACACGCACACGCAGACCGAGCTACATACACAGACGCACATGCACACAGATGCACGTGTGCACACACATGCACACACAGACACCGCTGCACACATAGACGCACATGCACATGCAGACACGTGAGCACACAGACACGTGTGCGCACACACACATGTACGCGTAGAATGCAGGGGTGCCCGCGCAGACACATGCACACGGTGGGTGGGCAGGACGTGGGCTCTGGCGAGGACCATCTGGCTCCACCCTGTCCTCTGCTGGCGGGCTGTGCCACCACCGGCAAGCGACGGCTCCCGAGAGCCTCAGTCTCCCCGTCTGTGAACTGGGCACACCTCCCGCCTCGTCGAACACCGTGCAGGGGAGACGTGCAGTCCAGGGGGCCAGCACCCATCAGTCTCTTTAACATGGGCTCCCTCCCCGCCGCACTCCCCGAAAGAAACACGAAACCAGGACTCGGCCTGGGCGGACGGCACGCCCCCCTGTGCGTCCTGCTCTGATACCGCCAGCCCTCCTCCCTCTGCCTCGTTCACCTGCTCCCTGGCGGGCAGGTGGGGATCCTGTTCCGGGTCCCAGCCTCAACCCTGCACCTGACCCCTGTCCTGCCACTTCGGGCCGCTAGAGGGCGATACTGCACAGACAGAACCAGGGCCAGGTGGGATGCTGGAGCCCAGCAGGTAAGGAGAGAGGGGGAGGGAGGAGGAGAGGAAGGGGGAGAGGGAGGGGGAGAAGGAGAGGGGGAGAGGGGAGATGCCTGCTGCTTGCTGGGGCGGAGGGGGGGGGGCGCTGTGGGGACGTCAGGACCCGGGCCAGCCTGGCAGGACTGCCGTGGGTCTGAGCCGGAAGCCTCCGGACACACACACACACACACACACACACCCCGTCCAGCAGGCCGGCCGGCCACTCACTCGGATGTAGTTGGCGTTGATGTAGTCGCCATCCTCCTGGCTCCGTGCCCGGCTGAGGCACACGCGGCTCTGGGGGTCTGGGAGGTCAAGAGGCCAGAGGTCGGAGGTCAGAGGCCATCTGGTGACCTGGGAACCCCGACTGACCGCGGCAGGGCTGGAGGGAGGGGAGGCTGAGGGTACAGCATCGCCCCGAGCGGAGGGAGTGACTTGTTTCCTGTGTCGATGACACAGGGAGCGGGGGAGGGCAGGGTCAAGGCCGGCAGCTGATCGATGTTTCTAGCTCTCTCTCCCTCTCCCTTTCTCCCTGTAAACAAATCAATAAAATATATTTTAAAAAAATAGAAGAATATATTTTATTGATTTTTTTTTCTTTTTTCGCAGAGAGGAAGAGAGAGGGATAGAGGGTTAGAAACATCGATGAGAGAGAAGCATCCATCAGCTGCCTCCTGCACGCCCCCCACTGGGGATGAGCCCACAACCAAGGTCCATGCCCTTGACCGGAATCGAACCCGGGACCCTTCTGTTTGCAGGCCGAGGCTCTATCCACTGAGCCACACCGGCCGGGGCTGCAGGAAGCTATTCTGGGGGCGGATCCGGAATCCTCCCGCAGTAACCGGCGGTGGGTGGGTGTCGCCCGTCCTCCCAGGCCCAGGGCGGTCCCAGGGGGATGCAGAGACAGGCTCAGAGGGAGGGAGGGAGGGCCCGCGGCTCTCCCGGTGCCCGCCTGGCTCTGGCAGAGGGTGTGCAGGGCCTGGGCACTCAGGCAGAGGGGCCTCCCGTCTGGCGGTTGCGGGGGGCGGGGGGTGGGGGGTACAATCAGGACCAGAGCAGGCTGCTGGTGCCTGGGAGACAAGGGCCCTCGGCACTGGGTGTGGCCAGGGAACGGCTGATAAGGCTGCTGGGGGGGGGGGGGGGAATGGGCGGGAGGGAGGTCTCTGAGGCCTCCTGCTGCCTCTGACAGGCGGCAGCTGCGGGTCCCAGGCCGGTCCAGCTCCAGCCCCGTGACACCCCCCCCCCCTCCCAGCCGCAGCCCTTACTCGGCAAGATGGTCTTGTATCGGTCCTTGGAGGCGTGTCCTGGCACATCCAGCTCTTCGGGGTTGACAAAGTTTGGGGGGATCTTCTGGCGGCGGGTGGGAGGGGGGAGACACCTGTGAATGGCCGGCACCCCATTCCCAGCCGGCCGCCCCCTGCACCCTTTCTGGGGAGCTGGGGGAGCTGGGCCTGGCTGTCTGGCCCCTCCAGGCAGGGCTGGTGGACGGGGGCGGGGGGGGGGTGCAGGGGAGGAAGGTGGGGCCACCTCCTCGGAGCCCCAGGGTCCTCTTCCCTGACCCCCATGCCCAGGGCGGGGCGACCCCCGAGTTCTTTCTTTTTTAATTTTATTGATGATGTTCTCACATAATTGACCTCATCCCCCCACTCCCATCCCAGACCCCTCCCCACGCGTGTCCCCGCCCCCCTGTTGTCCGTGGCCACCGTCCAGGCCCATAGGCACGCACACAGGCCTTGGGCTGATCTCTGCCCCTGACCACCCCCCTCCCCTGACCCCCCGCCCCCCGTTCTCACCAGGAACTCGTCCTCCAGCTGCCGGGGGCCGGGCGGCTGGTGCTGCAGGGCCCAGCGGGTGAGGGGGCGCCCGGCCGAGCGCAGGAAGTGCAGGGTCACCTCGCGGGGGGTGTTCACCGCGCAGATGGGCTCCACGGCCCCCAGCGACCGGACGTCCAGCACCAGGGCCACGCTGGAGCCCCGCCTGCGGGCAGGGGGCGGGCCGTGAGCCCGCCGGGCGGACGGGCGGACAGGCAGACGGGCAGGCGGGCGGATGGGCGGGCGGACGGGCGGACGGGCGGATGGGCGGGCGGACGGGAGGATGGGCGGGCGGACGGGCGGACGGGCGGAGGGGCAGGCGGGCGGACGGGCGGACGGGCGGACGGGTGGGCGGGCGGACGGGCGGGCGGGCGGACGGGCAGACGGGCGGATGGACGGGCGGATGGGCGGACGGGCGGACGGGCGGGCGGGCGGACGGGCAGACGGGCGGATGGACGGGCGGATGGGCGGGCGGATGGATGGCGGCTCCCTTTGCAATCTCCCCTCCCCCCCCCCCGTCGCCCAGCCCCTCCTGCCTCCCCCGACCCCGGGCCTAGCGGGTTCCGGGCTGAGGCCCCCCTCAGGGCTGCTCCCCAGGGCCGGGTGGCCGTGACCCCAGCTGCTCACCCTGCCACCACCCTCCTGGCCCCCTCCCTGCCTGGTCCCCGGGGACCCACAGATCTCGGACCCGAGACCTCCTCACCGACCTGGGACAAGGACAAGGTGGACACGAAACGGTGCCCCAGACGTGACAAGCAAACGGCATGCAAATAGCATGCAAATGACATGCAAATGAGGCCATTGGGTTTCCTGTCCAGAGTGGGGGACGGAGGGGACAGGGGACCCACTGGGGGGCTCAGGGGCAGGAGGGCCCCCCCCGGGGCGGCTCTCACCGCTCCTGCAGACGCACGTGCTTCTTGGCGGGGGCCTGGGCGGCCGGAGGCTGGGTCATGGCTGCCCCCCGCGGGCCTGGACCATGCTGGGCGGCGCCGGCCGGGGCAGCTCACTGCGCCGTGAGGTTCCCCTGCAAGAAAGAGGCTCCTGCCAAAACCGGTGCGGCTCAGTGGATAGAGCGCCGGCCTGCAGACTCAAGGGTCCCGGGTTCGATTCCGGTCAAGGGCATGGATCGTGGTTGTGGGCACATCTCCAGTAGGGGGTGTGCAGGAGGCAGCTGGTCAATGTTTCTCTCTCTCCCTCTCCCTTCCTCTCTGAAAAAAATCAATAAAATATATATATTTTTAAAAATAAAAAGACAGAGCCCCAGGCTGCTGACCGTTGGCCTTGGGGGGGGACAGGAAAGGGACCCCGGCCCAGGCTGCCTTCTGCCCTCTGCCTCCTGGTTTCCCTGGCGTGCATGCATGTATATGCATGTGTGTACATGTGCATGTGTGCGTGTGCGCGTGCCTGTCGCCCTGGGAAGCAGGTTCTCCGCGGGGCCTCGGGGCCGCCAGGGTGAGAGGAAGGGCAGGAGGAGAGAAGAGATTGTGGGCAAAGATAGAAAAGTGTCCAGGAGGGGCCCGGCCGAGCCGAGCAGGCAGGGGGAACACGGGGGCTCCCCAAGACCGAGGTTTGGGGTCCCCGGCCGGGCCCAGGTGAGCGGCGGGAGGAAGCGCCGAGCGGAGCTGTGTGAGGACGGGCGGGGCCGGCACACCACTGCCGGCACCTGTCAGCCGGGCCCCGGGAGGCCTCGTCCCCGAGCGGACCCTCTCCCCACGGCGGGCAGCCCCCCACCCTGCCCCCCGATCCTCCTGGCCTCGGGGTCTCGTCCGGGGAGGGAGACCTGGGGGTGTTCCTCCCTCCCCGGCCCATCCCCCCGGCTCCTGCCTCCCCAACCGTCACAGGAAGTGGCCTCACGGGGCCGACCTCAAACCCCGGGGCCGGGCGGGGAGGGGTGCAGAGGTCTGGGGCCACCGTGTCCTGGGGGGCCGTCCCCGTCCTCCAGGGCCGGGGTCGTGACCTCTGAGGGGTGCGTGTGTGTGTGGGGGGGACGGGACGGGGGGCTCAGAGTCCCCAAGGCCACAGGGGTGAGGCTGGGAGGGCAGAGCAACCCGTGCAGACAGGAGGGGTGCAGAGGGGCTCCTTGGCTCTGCCCCACCCCCCGCAGGCCCACCCCTCCCCCTGCAGGGACCTCCGCTCGGTCTGCACCCATCTCCCCTCCGGGCCCAGTGGCACCCAGAGCGACCTCCTCCGAGACCCCCTCGCCCGTCTCCGCCTCCCTGGGGTCCCCACCTCCCCGGGGCCCCAGGCCTCCCCCTCCCCTCCTTCTGGACTCACCGGAGCAGCTGTGCCCCCCGCTGGCCGCCTCTGGCCGGCCGTCTGTCTGTCTGTCTGTCTGTCGGTCTGTCTTTGAGGCGAAGGAAGCTTCGGGAGCCAGCTTCCTCCCTCCGCCCCTCCTCGCCGCCACCCACGCACACCCAGCCGCAGGCCGCCCTCCCGCCGCCGCCGCCAGGGGTCGGTGCCTGCCCCTGGGCACAGGCGGGCACTGTGCGTCCCCCGACCTCTGCCCCGGCCGGGAGCCATGGCCCCGGCCCTCCCAGCTCCCCCACCCCGAGCCCCTTCCCCCGGCCGGTCCTCCGGGGCCTGGCAGGTCCAGCCTCCGCCTGCTCGCTGGGCGGGCGGCGGACCCCGGGGGGCGGCTGCTGGGCACCTTGGCACTCGCCCCTCCCGGGGTGAGGAGCTCCCGGCCAGGGACAGGCTGGGTCTTTCCAGAGCAGAGGGGATGGGTCCGAGAGGCCCAGGCCGGGCCCCCAGGGTCACCCCAGGCCCCACGCCCACCCCGCCTCTGGTCAGCGATGGGCCGGCCACCGGGAGACAGACACAGCAGAGGTGGCAGAGACGGCTTATAGGGGGGCCTGGGGGCCTCCCAGAACTGGGGCATCCACTCAGAAGGCTTATAGCCGGGCCGGCGTGGCTCAGTGGTGAGCGTCGACCTATGAACCAGGAGGTCAGGGTTCGATCCCCAGTCAGGGCACATGGGTCCAGGGTTGCGGGCTCCATCCCCAGTGGGGGGCGTGCAGGAGGCAGCCGATGGATGGTTCTCTCTTATCCTTGATGTTTCTCTCTCCTTCTTGCTTCCTCTCTGGAATCAATGAAAAAATATTTTTTAAAAATAATAATATCCCTTACTGGTTTAGCTCAGGGATAGAGCGTCAGGCCTGTGGACAGTGGGTCCTGGGTTCGATCCCCGGTCAGGGCACATGGGCCCAGGTTGTGGGCTCCATCCCCAGTTGGGGGCCTGCAGGAGGCAGCCGGTCCATGATGCTCTCTCCCTCTCCCTGTCCCTTCCCTCCCTCCCTCGTTCCTGCTCCTCTGGAGGTGGTTCCCACCCAGGGGGCCGATCAGAGCGGGGCAGTAGGTGGTACCTGAGACTGGGGTGGGAACAGGACCCCCTGGGTACCGGGGAGAGGCACCCCGAGCCTGGCCTCTGCCTCCACTGCCCCAAACCCGCCGCCCCCCCATCCCGAGGGGGACCCGAGACCAGAGAGGGGGCGGGGGGGGGCTGGAAGGAGGGCACCCCTCTGGGCCTCGCTGGTGGTTGCTATGGGGAACGGAAGCTGGGGGAGCCCAGGGCAGGAGGAGGAAGTGGGGTGAGGGCAGCCATGTCCCCATTTCCACGGCCGAGCCCTGAGGGCTGTGCGCTCCCCTCACCCCATGAGGCCCGTCCCACGGCTGTCCGAGGGGCAGAACCGAGCTCTCGGGCAGAGAGCAAGGGGGTGGGGGCCGGGGCAGGAAGGATGGAGATTATATATACGTATAAATATACATATCAGCTGAGGATATTCTCCCATTGATGTTTAGAGAGAGAGAGAGGAAGAGACAGGGGAAGATGGAGAGAAACACCTAGTGAGAGAGACATGGATGGGAGGCCTCCTGCAGATGTGTGCCCGGGACCCCGCCCGCAGGCAGATGCTCTACCCACTGAGCAAACTGCCAGGAGGGCGGGCCCCGGACACTCTGGTATCCCGGCAGCCCGAACCGAAAGCTGCCCCAATCCCACTCCAAAGGGGGAGGCGGGGGGGGGGTCCAGCTGGGCCTGCACCCCCGGCCCCCCTCCCGCTGGCTCCCCCCCCCCGGAGGAAGCCGTGGGGTGCTGAGGCCCCCAGAGGCCCCGGGGGAAAGGATGTGGTTCAGTCTGAGGGCCTGGCTGGCGGGGACGAGACTCCGGCTGTGGGGCGGGTTTTGCTGAATGGAGAGGCGGGTGGGGTGGGTGCTGGGTACCTGTCTGCCTGCAGCTGCTCCGGGGCCCACCCCGCCCCCACCCAGCTGCTCCGGCCGGCAGGTGTGCTGTCCTCAACAGCCCCCCACTCCCCGTGGGGGGGCTCTGAGCCCCCCTAAACCCTCCCCTTAGATCCCGAGGCAGCGTCTCCGCCCACATCCCTCCTCCCTCCCGCCCTGGTTCAGGCGGCTGCAGGGACCTGTTGGAGGAGCCCTAGGGGAGGGGGTCCCACGGAGCAGGGGGAGGGGGGGTCCTAGCCTCTCTCTCTCTCTCTCTCTCACATTAGCTCCCCTAGTTGCCCTCCCCAGGCATCTTTGAAAGAACACACATGTGCATGCACACGCACACGTGCACACACGCACACACACAGCAGGAAAATCTGCTGAGTCTGCAGACGGTTTCGAACCCAACCCCCCCTCCAGTGCAGGGCCCGGGGAGCGGGCAGCTCTGAGGTCTGGGGCAGGAGGTGCAGGGAAAGGGCAGGCAGCCGGCTGGGCTGAGCTGCGGGCAGCTGAGCTGTCCTGCTAGCCCCAGAGGCTGCGTGGCGACGTTTGATCTCTGGAAGGATAAATAGAGGGTTGTTTTTTTTTTTTTAATTGTTTTTATTGATTTCAGAGAGGAAGTGTGAGAGAGAGAGAGAGGTAGAAGCACCCGTGATGAGAGAGAAGCATGGACCGGCTGCCTCCTGCACGCCCCCCTCTCCCCCACTGGGGATGGAGCCCACAGCCCTGGCCTGTGCCCTGACCTGGAATCGAACCCTGACCTCCTGGTTCCTAGGTTGACCGATGCTCAGCCACGGAGCGGTGCTGGCTGGGCCTGGGTTCTTGGGGCGTCCACGCGTGCCTGTGGGTGCATGCACAGTGGGGTCTGGGGGGGCTCAGGTGTCCCCGAGTCACATGCCCTGCCCTCTGCCCCATAGGGCTACACGCATGCGCAAGAATCCATTGCCACCCAGGGGTGGGCCCTCAGGGGCACATCCTGGACCTGCTGACCTTGGCCGTGAAGACCCGTGAGTGCGTGGGCACCCCTGCAGCTCCCCAGTTTGACCACCAGATGGCACACGTTCTCCTTGCAGGAATGGCCGTGGGGTGTGTGTGTGTTGGGGTGTGTGTGTGTTGGTGTGTGTGTTGGTGTGTGTGTATGTGTGTTGGTGTGTGTATGTGTGTGTTGGTGTGTGTGTTTTGGTGTGTGTGTGTATGTGTGTTGGTGTGTGTGTGTTGGTGTGTGTGTATGTGTGTGTTGGGGGGGGGTAGGGTGTCCCTGGGGCCACCCTGGCTGGGGAAGCGGGGGGGACCAGGCCCTCAAGCGCCCCGCTGGCCCCTGCTGGTCCCAGGGTGTCCACTTGGTCTCGCTCTCGGCAGAGAAGGGGTGCAGAGGGCTCCCCGCGGTGGTCACTCTGCATCTTCCTCTCCACAAGCCTCCGGCACCGTCCTCGGAGCGGCCACCAGGCGGCGCTGTGGGCCAGAGGGCTCTCAGAGGGACCCCTGGCATGGGGGGGGGGGGGCACAAGGACACCCGTGTTTGTCCCCATGAGGAGTATGTGCTGGGGCTTCCCCCAAGGGCGGCCCCTATCCCAGTTCTCCAGCTCCTGGGTTTGCAATTTTTTTTATTATTAAAGATTTCAGAGAGGAAGGGAGAGGAATAGAAACATCAATGGTGAGCTGCATGTCCCCCCCTCCCCCCAAAAAAACCCACGAGGACGGCGCTAACCAGTGTGGCTCAGTGGCTAGAGCATCAGCCTGCGGATTGAAGGGTCCCGGGTTCGATTCCGGTCAAGGGCATGTGCCTTGGTTGCAGGCACATCCCCAGTGGGGGGGTGTGTGCAGGAGGCAGCTGATCCATGTTTCTTTCTCATCGACGTTTCTCTCTATCCCTCTCCCTTCCTCTCTGTAAAAAAAAAAAAATCAATAAAAAAATTTTTTTTTTAAAAAAAAGAAAGAAAAGAAAATCACACACACACAAGTAAAGATTCAGGGTGAAGTCACAGCTGCCTAAAGCTACCTGTGGTGCAAAAAAGAAAAGAGAAAGGAACCTCAGCGATGAGAGAGGATCAGGGACCGGCTGCCTCCTGCGCGCTCCCCACGGGGATGGAGCCCCCAGCCTGGGCCTGGGCCCTGATTGAACCCTGACCTCCTGGTTCACACGTCTATGCTCACCCCTGAGCCAGGCCGGCTGGACCCCAAGGGGTTTGCTCCTGGAGGGCCTCCTCCTGCCCCCTGTGCCCCCGGGCCGGTCCTGCAGGACCGGAGGGTCTGAGAGCGCCCGCCCAGGCCCGGCCCGGCCCAGACAGCGCCGGCCCCTGAGCGGCTGCCCCGGGCTCCCCGCTGTTTCCGTTCCGGGAGGGAGCTCCTGCCAGCCGCCGGGGGGAAGGAAGGCGGGCAGGGGCGCGCCGGGCGCACCGAGCCTGCTGGCTCCTCCTCAGCTCCTCCTCCCTCCTCCCTCTTCCCTCCCTCCTCCCTCCTTCCCCGGCGCCCGCAGCCGGGAGCGCACTCGGCGTTGCCCACGCGGCCGCGCTGACGGCGGGGTCCCCGCGCCCTCCCGGCCCCGAGCAGAGACACCGGGCGCCCGCCCTGCGCCCCGGGGCGGCGGGACGGTGACGGCAGGGCCCTCCCCTCCCGGCTGCTCCCCGGTGCCCGCCGCCAGGTGCCCGCCGCCGCCCCGATGCCCCGCGCGCCCGGGCTGTGGCCGTGGCCGTGGCCGTGGCCGTGGCTGTGTCTGTGCGCCCTGCTCGGCGGCACCGGCCCCGCGCCCGCCGCCTGCCCCAGCCCCTGCCGCTGCCGCGGGGACGGCGTCCTGCTGGCGGCCGACTGCTCGGAGCGGGGGCTCTCGGCGGTGCCCCCCGGCCTGACGCCGCTGACCGCCCACCTGTGAGTGCCCGCGCCCCGGGCGGGCACCTGCTGGGAGGGCGCCTTGGGAGGGCGCCTGGGCATGGGCATGGGGAGGCTCCCCGGGGGCTGGCCCCTGGGGACCGGGCAGGACAGGAGGAGGTTGGGGGGAGCTCCAGCTGGGGGAGAGGCGGGGGTGTGGGGGGACCTGGACCCTGAGCTGGAGGGACCTGCTTGGCGGCCCCGTCTCCTCCGAGACGGTCCCCAGGGCGCCTGCAGGGGAGGCTGCCTGAGCTGAGGAAGAGGAGGAGGAGGAGGAGGAGGAGGAGGAGGAGGAGGAGGAGGAAGAGGAGGAGGAGGGGGAGGAGGAGGAGGAGGAGGAGGAGGGGGAGGAAGAAAAGGAGGATAAGGAGAAGGAGAAACAGGGAAAGGAGGAGGAGGAGGAGGGGAGGAGGGGGAGAAGGGGGAGGAGGAGAAACAGGGAGAGGAGGAGGAGGAGGAGGAAGGGGAGGAAGGGGAGAAGGGGAGGAGGAGGAGGAGGGGGAGAAGGGGGAGGAGGAGCTGAGTATCAGAACCATTTTTGGCCGGCCGGGGGTGCGGCGATGCGTGAAGGGGACTCGGCCGCGGGCAGCGGTCCCAGCAGGGGCTTCCCTCCGAGCCTGCGGGCGGGGGCTCTGGACGGGGTGCCCTCCCCGCCCGGGGCAGGAAGAGGGTGCACCCACGCCCACCCTTGCTCTGGGGGAAGGAGCAGTCCCGGGTTCGGCCCTGCCCTGCCTGGGCTCCTGCAGCTTTCTCTGAGGACAGAGGGGCTGGGACTGGCTGTCCGTCCATCCACCTGTCTGCCTGTCCGCCTGTCCACCCGTCTGCCTGTCTGTCTGCCTGCCTGTCTGTCCATCTGTCCGCTTGTCCATCCGTCGTCCGCCTGTCCATCCATCTGTCCATCTGTCTGCCTGTCCGCCCGTCCGCCTGTCCATCTGTCTGCCTGTCCGCCTGTCCGTCCATTTGCCTGTCCATCTGTCCGCCTGTCCACCTGTCTGTCCATCTGCCTGTCTACCTGTCCGCCTGTCCGTCTGTCTGCCTGTCCCGGGGCGGCCCTGAGCTCTCTGCTTTAGTCCCTCGGGACCTGGGAGCCGGAGGGAGCCGGACGGCTCTCACCAGAGCGGGCATGTCTGCTGGACCAGGGGGACAGGGTGCTCAGTGCCGGCGCCTCCTGGGGGTGGGTGAGCTGCTCTGTCTCCCTGGGCCCCCCCCCCCGGGCTGTGCCTGGGGGTATGTAAGTTCCTGGTTTTTCTCTTCCCGTCCCTCAGCCCCACGTGGGGTGTCCGTCCGGTTCCTCCCCAGCTCTGCCCCGTGCTGGGAGTCACCCAGCTCCTCAAAGCCTCAGGGCCAGGTGTGTCTCTTTAACATAAAAAAAATGATTGATTTCAGCCCTGGCTGGTGTGGCCCAGTGGGTAGAGCGTCGGCCTGCAGACTGGAGGGTCCCCGGTTCGATTCCCGTCAAGGGCACAGGCCCGGGTTGCAGGCTTGATCCCCCTTGTGGGGGGTGTGCAGGAGGCAGCCGATCCAGGATTCTCTCATCGTGGATGTTTCTCTCTCTCTCCCTCTCCCTTCCTCTCTGAAATCAATACAAATTATTAAATGCTTTAAAAAACAATATTGATTTCAGCTGAAACCGGTGTGGCTCAGTGGTAGAGTGTCGGTCTGCGGACTGGAAGGTCCCGGGTTCGATTCCACTCGGGGGCATGTACATTGGTTGAGGACACATCCCCAGTAGGGGGTGTGCAGGAGGCAGCTGGTTGATGTTTCTCTCTCATCGATGTTTCTGGCTCTCTATCCCTCTCCCTTCCCCTCTGTAAAAAAAATCAATAAAACATATTTAAAAAAATTATTGATTTCAGAGAGGAAGGGAGAGGGAAAGAGAAACATCCATGATGAGAGAGAATCATGGATCGGCTGCCTCCTGCATGCCCCACAACTGGGGATGGAGCCCACAGCGCAGGCCTGTGCCCTGACCGGGAATCGAACCCTGACCTCCCGATTCATAGTCGACGCTCACTACTGAGCCACACCGGCCAGGTTTCCCTTCCTTCCTGATGGATTCTGACAGCCCCCCTCAAACTTGGGACCTGCGAGTCTAACCTCGGGGGGGGGGAGTCCCCCCCGTGGCTGTGCCCCCAAACTTCTCTGGGCCCTCGGTGTCCGGTGGGAGGAGGCCGGTCTGGGGAACACGGGGCGCCCTCAGGGCGGCAGGTGCTGGGGAGGGAGGCGAGGGGGCAGCCCCCAGGCCGGGGCAGAGGGAGTGGGCACGGGGGTAGGGTGATTCCAGGAACCGGGTTCTTGGGAGAGAGCAGCCCCCTGGGGGGCGGCTGGAGGGGGTGAGCCCGGGGGGAGCTAGCACCCCGGTTCAAAGCAGAGGCAGGAGAGAAAGGAAGCGTCTGGCGCTGGCAGAGGGGCAGGGGCGCGGCCGGGCGGGGCGGCTGGGGCGGCTGGCGGAGGGGAGAAAGCCTGGCTTGGGGCAGCGTTGGCCCCCGGCCCGCCCGCCCCCTCCCGGCCCCCCCATTCCACTGGCTCTCAATCCGAGGACCCCACACACTCCGCCCCCCCCCCGCCCTGGCCCGTGCCCACGGGGGGGGGGGGGAGGCAGAGGCGGAAGAAGGGCCGTCAGGGTGCCCGGCGGGAGGTGCGGGGCTGGGGTTTGTGAGCCGGTGTCTCTGGGACGGTCCCTGAGCCTGTCTCCCTGTCCGCTTCTTCGGCGTTTGATGGTGGAAACTCGGGCAGCGTGCACCTGGCAGGGGCGGGGAGGGGCCAGGAGACAAAGACCGCAAAGCCGGGGCCGTCCCCGCACCCTGCTCCCACAGGCCCCGTGGGTGTCGCCCCCACACGTGAGCAGCGGAGGCCCCGAAAGGGACCATCAGCGCTGCAGGGACCGGCGGGCCTGCCCGCCCTCCCGCCCGCCCTCCCTCCCTCCCTCCCTCCCTCCCTCCCTCCCGCCCTCCCTCTCTCCCTCCCTCCCTCCCTCCTTCTTCTCCTTTTTGTAAAAAATATATATATATATTTCTATTGATTTCAGAGAGGAAGGGAGAGGGAGAGAGAGAGAGAGAGAGAGAGAGAGAGAGAGAGAGAGAGGGAGAGAGACATCCAGGATGAGAGAGAATCACAGATCGGCTGCCTCCTGCAGGCCCCACACTCTGGATCGAGCCCACAACCCGGGCTTGTGCCCCGACTGGGAATCGAACCCTGACCTCCTGGGTCCTAGGCCGATGCCCAACCCCTGAGCCACACCGGCCGGACCTCGGTCTTTCTGCGAAAGCCCGTCCCACTGACCTCCAGGGCAGGAGGCCTGTCCCTGGCGGCTCTGCCCCTGGGCTCCTGGGCTCCTGGACAGGAAGTGCCCCCCTGGACGGCCGGGGACCCCATGGGGTGCTCCCCGAGAGGCGAGACCCCGGCTCCTGGGCCCCTTCGTCCGGAGAGCCCGGCGTCCCCCCAGAAACGGAGCTCGGGGTCTGTGGCATCGGTGTCCTCCCCGGTGGAGAGCCCGGTGGGGTGGCACTCTGGGGGGGGTGTGCCCGGAGGGGCCCGTGGGGTCACCCCTAAGGGGCTGGGGCCTCGGGCTGGCAGCTCACTCCCAGGGGAGAGGGCTGAGGACGGGGGTCCCCCGGGGGAAGGTGTGGGGGACGGGGTCCCCCCTGTTAGACATGACAACTCCTTCCAGCCAAACGGCCACGGACGCCCTGACGCAGGGGCTGCCCGAATCGGGGGGCCCGCCCCCGTGTCACTGCTCTTGTGGTGCACACAGAGGAGGGTCCTAATGAGGACTCAGAGGTGCCCCCCTGCCCGTTGGCCGGGAGCAGTCCCGGGCTGAGGAGAACGCCCAGGATGCCAGGAGGGCAGCGAGCAGAGTTATTTTGGAAGCAGGAGAAGGACATGGAGGCGCTCAGGCTGGCACCGCGCCCCCGGAGCCAGGCCAGAGCGGGCACGGGCGGGCGGGCGGGCGGCAGCGGCAGGTGGGGGCTGGGCCTGGCCGCTGGGATGGAGGCTCCTGAGCGTCCGGGTCCCGGCCTCCTCCTCAGAGCCCTGCAAGGAGGGCCCGGCTCGGGGGCCGTCCAGCCCTGCGGCCAGGCCCTCCCGGCCGGCCGGTCGGGACCGTGAGAGCAGGACCTGGGGCCGGGCAGGGACGGAGGCTGTGCCGGCTCCCGCCTCCGTAGCTCCCGCACGGACAGAGGGGGCAGAGGGGACGCCGTCCTGGCTGAAGCCGCCGCCCCGGGCGTGACCTGCCTTCCAGGGAGGGGCGAGGGGGTCAGGGAGGCCCGTTCCGGGGGCCCACACAGACCTTTCCAGAGAGGGGCCTGGCCGGAGCCGGAAATGGCCCCAACCAGAGGCGGCACCTGCCACGTTTATTCTTCTTCTTAAATATATATATATATATATGTATTATTGATTTTATATATATATATTATTGATTTTTTACGGAGAGGAAGGGCGAGGGATAGAGAGTTAGAAACATCGATGAGAGAAACATCGACCAGCTGCCTCCTGCACGCCCCCCACTGGGGATGTGCCCGCAGCCAAGGTCCATGCCCTTGACCGGAATCGAACCTGGGACCCTTCAGTCTGCAGGCTGACGCTCTATCCGCGGAGCCACACCGGTTTCGGCCATCTATTGAATATATATGTGTGTGTGTGTATATATATATATATATATATATATATATATATATATATATTTTTTTTTTATTGATTTCAGAGAGGAAGTCTCTGAAGCAGTGGCCAGGGCACTGTGCCCGGGGGTAGCCCGGTGTCCAGCCCCGCCCCTGACCGTCCCGCTGCCCCAGACTCGGCCACCGCCTCAGCGGGAACCTGGCTGTGCCCTCCTGGGTTGCACGCGGAGGGGGCGGGGGGGGGGCAGACCTTTCCCTTCCTTGGAGGAGCCGGGAGACGGATGCCTCCGGCCCAGGACCGGGGCCAGGGATCCGAGATCAAAGGGAGCCGCCCGCGCGGGCCGGCAGGTGGCGTCACTGGGGCAGCAGCTGGTGCCTCCCCGGACAGGGCTGACCCGGAACGCCCTCCCCTCCCCTCCCCTCCCCGCTCCGGCCCCACCCCCGCGTGCCCCGGGCTCTGGGCGCTGAAGGCAGGGAGGGAGGGATGCCAGCCGGGCGTGGGTGCCCCCTCCCCCACCGTAGGCACCGCCGGGCCCACCCCACACACCCGGACCCGCCGCTCAGCCCTCACCGTACACCCTTACGAGGAACTATGACATAAGGTAGCTGTATCTTTAAAAATAGATTTAAAAAATATATATATATTTTATTGATTTTTTTACAGAGAGGAAGGGAGAGGGATAGAGAGCTAGAAACGTCGATGAGAGAGAAACATCAACCAGCTGCCTCCTGCACGCCTCCTTACCGGGGACGTGCCCGCCACCATGGTCCATGCCCTTGACCGGAATCGAACCCGGGACCTTTCCATCCGCAGGCCGACGCTCTGTCAGCTGAGCCACACCGGTTTCGGCAAAAAAAAAAAAAAAGATTTTTTTTTTTATTGAATTCAGAGAGGAAGGGAGAGGGAGAGAGAGATACCTAGGAACATCGCTGGCCCTCATTGGCGTGGCTCAGTGGATGGAGCGTTGGCCTGGGGACTGAAGCGTCCCAGGTTCGATTCCAGCCAAGGGCATGACCCTTGGCTGCGGGCACAACCCCAGTGGGGGGCGTGCAGGAGGCAGCTGATTGATGTTTCTCTCTCATCGATGTTTCTAGCTCCCTATCCCTCTCTCTTCCTCTCTGTAAAAAAAAACACACAACAATAGAAAATATATTAAAAATAAAAGAAGCAGCAGCTGCCTCCTCAGAGGGCCATGTCCTCCCAGCAGGGAACCAGCCAGCAGGCGGGTTCCTTGCTGTGGGCTGGGGCCCGGCGAGGCACGTTGCCAGTGGGGAAACTGAGGCAGGGGGAAGCGACGCCACGTGCCCGCCAGAGTCCCAGCGTGGCAGAGCCGGGGACCGGACCCCGGATCTGGGACCACAGAGGCTGCAGGGGGCCCGGCAGGGGGTCTGCCCGTGACGAGGGACCTGTCTGTCCTGAGTGGGAGTGCACACACACACACACACACACGCCCTCACATGTACAGAATGCGCGCACGCACACATATAAGCGTGTGCCTGGACACTTGTGCGTGCACATATATGCAATTGCACATGTGTGCACCTGAACACACGTGTACATGCACACGCGTGGCGTCTGGGCCTCGAGACGTGGCGCGCACAGCCGAGGAGCCGCCGTGGTTTCCCCGGGCGGGGCTGCCCGTGGGGTGGCGGCGGCCGTGCGGGCAGAGCAGGTCCCTCCGTGGTGCGGGGTGTGGGCAGAGAGGGGAGAAGGGCCCAGAGCCGTCCCCCGGGGCGCCCCAGGGGAGGGTCTCCTGCCCCCACCTCCAGCACCCCCCACCCCATCGCACCTGCTCCTGGTCTCCATGGCGACGCCTCGCCGGCAGCCTGGGTGGTCCGGCCGCCGCCCAGGGTGAGGCTCTGAGAACATTTTCCTGACGCGCAGCCAGAATTTCCACTTCCCGAGCCCAGGGCCGGGCTCTGCCCCTCCTGCCAGCCTCGCCGCCCTGTCCCCGCCCCCACCCCCGCGGCCCATCCACCGGAGGCCCCGGGCTGCGGATGGGTGCCCCTCACGCCCACCTCCCCGCGGTGCAGCGGGAGGCGGCGGGCGTGCAGGCCCGGCGCAGGGCGGACTCGGGGCCCCTTGTCCAAACCTCAGTCAGAATCCCACCGACAGGGCAGAGCCTGAGCTGCCGACCTGGGCCTCGTGCCGCTACACGGCCCGTGCAGCTGGCCCGAGCAGCAGTGTGCCTGTGTGCGCGTGTCTGTGCACATGTGTGCACACGCTTCCCGCACGCACACGCACACGTGATTACATATATGTGCGCGCACATGCGTCCAGAAACACGTCCACATTTGCACGCATACACGTACACACAGTCAATCATACACGCCTGTGTGCTGCAGCACATATCTACACACATGTGCATTCGGTACATGTGTGTCAATATACACGATCACACGCATGCATGCACAACAAATTACACATATACACGTGTGTATATGTGTATACACGTCTATATACACGTATGTTCTGTACAGGTGTGTACGAGTGAGGGTGTGTGTGCACGTGTGTGTGCTCCCAGTGGTCCTAGGAGGACGGGTGGACCCGATGGGAGCCTGGGCCCAGGCATCAGCTCAGTCACAAGTTGGTCTCCAGAGGCAGCGTCACGGAGCGTCCCGGGTAAACTGAGGCACAGGGCAGGCCGCAGCCGCACGGGCTTTCCCACGGGGGGGGGGGCGTCTCCTGAGCTCCTGCTGTGACCTGCGGAGGCTTCCAGAAAGCTTGTGGCTGAGCAGTCCCACATGCTGAGGTGCACACGGACAGGGACACACGTGTGCCCCCGCACACAGTGCACACGCGTGCCCAGCCCCCGCAGACAGGCACACCCAGGCACTGGTGCAGCCCCAGGCGTGCCCCTCGTCAGCGTCACACGTCCCTGCGGCCGCCGCTCAGCCAGGCCCGGTCTCCGGGCTCGGCCCACCTCCCAGGGGCCTGTCTCAGACCCCCCTTCCAGGGCACCTCCTGAGAGGCCCAGGCAGGCCCCCCAGAGGCCCCACCCCATGGAATGATCCCCTGGGACGGCCCCCCAGGACGAGCCCCCAGGATGAAGGGAGACCCCTCCGCAGGGTCAGTGGCCTCACTGCTCCTGGCATCGGCCGGGAGGACACAGTGGGCAGCTTCCCGTCCCAGATCCACCTCCTCCCCCGTCCTGGCACCACCTCACCCCTTTCCTACTGTGCCAGCATGGGGCTCCCCCGCCCCCCCCCCCCCGCGTCCCCCCTTCCCGCCCCCCCTGGCACCGCCTCACCCCTTTCCTACTGTGCCAGCATGGGGCTCCCCCGCCCCCCCCGCGTCCCCCCTTCCCGCCCCCCCTGGCACCGCCTCACCCCTTTCCTATTGTGCCAGCATGGGGCTCCCCCGCCCCCCCCCCGCGTCCCCCCTCCCGCCCCCCCTGGCACCGCCTCACCCCTTTCCTTTTGCGCCTGCCTGGGGCTCCCCTGCCCCCCCCGCGTCCCCCCTTCCCGCCCCCCCTGGCACCGCCTCACCCCTTTCCTATTGTGCTTGCATGGGGCTCCCCCGCCCCCCCTGCGTCCCCCCCTTCTGTCCCCCCTGGCACCGCCTCACCCCTTTCCTATTGTGTCTGTATGGGGCTCCCCCGCCCCCCCCCTGCGTCCCCCCCTCCCGCCCGCAGCGGGCGGTGTGTCTTGGGCAGGATGTGGGGGGCCGGGCCTCCCTGGGGAGCAGTGAGGCCGTGGGGCGGGGGGGGGGGGGGGGCTGGAGCCACATCAGAGCTCGCGGGCGGCCCCTGGGGGCACACTGAGTGATGTCCTGAGTCACGGCGGGCTCCTGTGGAGGCATGCCGGCCGGCCCGCGGCTCCGGGTAAACACGGGGAGGGCCGCTCTGCTCCTCCCGCCCGCGGCGAGGGCTCCCAGGCCCCGTGTGCCCGCGCCGTCCCTGCCGCCCACACCCACCCGAACCCGGAGCCAGCGAGGCCCCATCTCCGCTCAGCCCACCGGCGGCCTCTGGGGCGGCTGCTCCAAGCTGGCCATGGGCACCGCGACCGTCCTCACCGCCCGGCCCGGCTGCACCGGGGCCGGGAGGGAGCTGAGGGCCAGAGCTTCACGCGCCAGCCTCGTGTTCCGCACGTCAGCCCCGTGTTCCGTGTTCCAGTCCCGTGTTCCGTGTTCCAGCCCCGTGTTCCGTGCGCCAGCCCCGTGTTCCGTGTACCAGCCCCGTGTTCCGTGTACCAGCCCCATATTCCGTGTACTAGCCCCGTGTTCTGCGCACCAGCCCCGTGTTCCATGTACCAGCCCCGTGTTCTGCGCACCAGCCCCGTGTTCCATGTACCAGCCCCGTGTTCCGCGCGCCAGCCCCGTGTTCCGTGTTCCAGCCCCGTGTTCCGTGTTCCAGTCCCGTGTTCGGTGTGCCAGCCCCGTGTTCTGTGTGCCAGCCTCGTGTTCCGTGTGCCAGTTCTGTGTTCTGAGTGCTGGTTCCATGTTCTGTGTGCCAGTTCTGTGTTCTGCGTGCCAGCCCCATTTCCGTGTGCCAGTCCCCTGTTCCGTGTGCCAGTTCCACGTTCTGAGTGCTGGTTCCATGTTCTGTGTGCCAGTTCTGTGTTCTGAGTGCCAGCCCCATGTTCTGTGTGCCAGCCCGTGGCTCTGCCCTGCAGGGACCATCCTCCCTCCCTGGGGACTGCTGGCCAGCCCAGGCTTTATCAGAGATGGAACCCTGAGACTAAACAGTCTTCCTTAAAAAAAAAAAAAAAAATATATATATATATATATATATATATATATATATATATATATATAATTATTAATTTTTACAGAGAGGAAGGGAGAGGGATAGAGAGTTAGAAACATCGATGAGAGAGAATCATCGATCAGCTGCCTCCTGCACACCCCCCACCGGGGATGTGCCCGCAACCAAGGTCCATGCCCTTGACCGGAATCGAACCTGGGACCCTTCAGTCTGCAGCCAGATGCTCTATCCACTGAGCCACACCAGCTAGGGCCAAACAGCCTATTTATTTACTTATTTTTTGAACATATTTTTATTGATTTCAGAGAAGAAGGGAGAGAGAGAGGAGAGAGAGAGAGAGAGAGAGGGAGAGAGAGAGAGGGAGGGAGACATCGGTGATGAGCGTGCGCTGGACGCCACCGGCCGGGGCTCGGTGCTCCCAGCATCCTCTGTGTCCTCTCCTCGCAGAGACCTGAGCATGAACAACCTCACCGAGCTGCAGCCCGGCTGCTTCCGCCACCTGCGCTTCCTGGAGGAGCTGTGAGTGGACGGGGGTGTGTGTGGGGTGTGGGTGGAGGCTTGGGGGGGGTCTGGGCACCTCAGAGGCTGAGGGCATGGGGACCCCCCCTTCAGAACACGGAGCGGGAGCTGTTCTTTGTAAAACATAAATATTTAAATACGCTTTTATGGATGTCAGAGAGGAAGGGAGAGGGAGAGACAGAAACATCCATGACGAGAGAGAATCACGGATCGGCTGCCTCCTGCACGCCCCACGCCCCCCACCAGGGATCGAACCTGCAACCCGGGCCTGGGCCCTTGACCGGGAATCGAACCCTGACCTCCTGGGTCCTAGGTCGAGGCTCAACCCCTGAGCCAGGCCGGCCGGGTGGGGCAGGAGCCCGCGTTGTCTGTCTCCGTGGAAACGGGTCCCCCGTGACCAGCTCCCTTAGACCCGACGGCCTCCCCGAACCCCGGGTTCCTCCCCTGCAATCGGGGGCCCTCGTGGCCCCAGAGGGGGTGACGGTGAGGATGGAGGGAGGCGGTGGGTGTGGCTAATGGGGCGCCCTCCGCCCTCTGCTCCGGCCCACAGGCGCCTCTCAGGAAACCACCTCGCACACATCCCGGGAGGAGCCTTCGCCGGCCTCCGCAGCCTGAAGATCCTGTGAGTGGGAGCCACCTTGACCCGAGGCGCGACCTTGACCCCAGGCGTGACCTTGACCCAGAGGCACGACCTTGACCCCAGGCGTGACCCTGGGGACGGAGGCCGCGGGGCGGGTTTCGTGCTGAGCCTCCGTCCGCCGCAGACGCGCCCACCACCCCCCCATCTGCCCGGCCCCTCTCCATCTTCCCTTCCATCCCCGCGCGCGGTCACTGTGACCGTGACACGTTACAGTTCGGAGCTCGCGGTTCATCGTACCCGCGATCGCGGCAGCCCTGCCGGGAAGCACGCCGGTGTTCATTTATTTATTTTTTAAAATGTATTTTATTGATTTTTTTATTATTATTATTTTTTTACAGAGAGGAAGGGAGAGGGAGACAGAGCCAGAAACGTCGATGAGGGAGAATCATCCATCAGCTGCCTCCCGCGCGCCCCAAACTGGGGATGTGCCCGCCACCAAGGTCCGTGCCCTTGACCGGAATCGAACCCGGGACCCTTGAGTCCACAGGCCGACGCTCTATCCATGGAGCCAAACCGGTTACGGTAGCACACCGTCATTTAAAAAAATTTACTTAGAGTTGATTTCAGAGAGGAAGGAGAGGCAGAGAGAGAGAGAGAGAGAGAGAAACACCAATGATGAGAGAGGATTCTGGGTCGGCTGCCTCCTGCATGCCCCCCGCTGGGGACCCAGTCCTCAACCCGGACCCGTGCCCTGACTGGGAATCGAACCCTGACATCCTGGTTCCTGGGTTGACGCTCCGCCCCTGAGCCGGGCCGGCTGGGCCTTTCGGACCCGATTTCAGCAGAACCGTGGCTTCTGGCTCTCCGCCCTCACGCCACCCATGTGTCTGCTTCTGCTCCACCTCCTCTGTGCTCTGCCTCACCCTCCCCTGGCCCCGGGCCTGGGCCGGGCCGGGATGCCCTCTGGGCTCCGGCAGCCCGGGTGCGAGAGAGGGATCAGGCTCGGGGTGGGGTTCGAGGCCCGGGGTCCTCACACCCCTCCCCTCTCCCCTCCCCTCCTCTCCTCAGGATGCTGCAGAATAACCAGCTGGGGGCGATCCCCGCGGAGGCGCTGAGGCAGCTGCCGAGCCTGCAGTCTCTGTGAGTCCCCCCTCTGCACCCCGCCTACCCCTGCACCCCACTTCCCGCTGTGCACCCCACCTCCCCCTCTACACCCCACTTCCCTCTCTGCACCCGCTTTCCCCTCTGCACCCTTCTTCCCCCTGTGCACCCTGCCTCCCCCTCCACACCCCACTTCCCCCGCTTTCCCCTCTGCACCCCTCTGCACCCGCTTCCCCCCCTGCACCCCGCTCCCCCTCTGCACCCGCTTCCCCCTCTGCACCCTGCTGTTCAGACAGCGTGCGCCCCAGTCCCCGAGGTCTCCGGGTGTTTGTTGTGTGTGGATTCCCGTGAGCAAACGGGAGGAGAGGCCTCAGGCCCCGGGAGGACTGTGGGAACAGGACCTCCCTGGGTGGGGCCACCAGGGCGGCCTCCTGGGGCGCCTGGCGCTCGGCCGGGACCCGGGGGGCGGGGTGGGCTGCTCTACCCCCCAGGGCTTCCGGGGGGGGTGGCCCAGACACCCACTTCCTCTGCCCCCAGGCGGGGCTGCGCGGAGGACGCCTCCGGCCACCCAGGACCCGGCCACTCTCGGGGAGCCCTGCAGCGCCTCTCCCGCCCAGCGGGGGCGCCATGGGTCAGAGTCTGCGTCTTTAAAACACGGCTCCCCCCCGGGGCAGCCTGGAAGGCAGCCTGGAGGAGGGGGCTGTGTACGGAGGGAGCCCGAGGGCGCAGGGAGGAAGGGCCGGTGCTGGGGCCGAAGGAGAGGCAGACGGGTCAGGAGGCCAGCCCACCTCGACAGGGAGAAGGCAGAATGGGGTGACGGGCAGACGGTGGGCGTCCCAGGAGGACGTTGTGCCGTGGAGGAAGCTAGGACCTCCTGGCAGGGGGACGGGCGCGGTTCCCTGATCGCTGTGGCCCCGGGAGGTCTCTCCTCTCAAAGTTTACGAACGACAGAGACGTGTTTCTGACGGGTCTGGAGGCCGGAGGGCGGAGGGGAGGCGCCGTGGGGATCGGAGGGGGCCTGGCGGGTTCGGTCAGCACCACCCAACGCGCCTGAGGCCCGGCCGTGCTGGGGGCCCCCGCCGAGGGTCCCCAGGGAGGCAGGAGGTGGCGGATGGCTCCCGGGCGGGCTATTTCGGGCTCCGTGATTACAGGCTGCCGTATTTGGATCTCCCCGAGGTTCCAGGGCTGATTACTACGTGTGTGTCTGGGGCAGAGGCTGGCCTGACGGGGGGTGGGCGCCGGCCGTGATGAGGGTCGAACACGTATCCATCCATCCATCCATCCATCCATGTGTCCATCCATCCATCCATCTATCCATTCATTCATCCATGTGTCCATCCATCCATCCATCCATCCATGTGTCCATCAATCCATCCATCCATTCATTCATCCATGTGTCCATCCATCCATCCATCCATCCATATGTCCATCCATCCATCCATCCATCCATCCATGTGTCCATCAATCCATCCATCCATCCATCCATTCATCCATCCATCCATATGTCCATCCATCCATCCATCCATCCATCCATCCATCCACCCATATGTCCATCCATCCATCCATCCACCCATATGTCCATCCATTCATCCATCCATCCATCCATCCATCCATCCATCCATCCATCCATCCATATGTCCATCAATCCATCCATCCATCCATGTGTCCATCCATCCATCCATCCATCCATGTGTCCATCCATCCATCCATCCATCCATGTGTCCATCCATCCATCCATCCATCCATCCATCCATCCTTCCATCCATCCATGTGTCCTTCATACCTCCATCCTTCTATCCCTCCACCCCTCCATCCCTTCAGACCTCGGACCCAGGACCTGTGTTTGACCGGGACCTGGCCGCTGGCCAGGCAGTTAGTGTGCTCGTAACCAAACGTGGGGCACGGCCGAGGGCGAAGAACCCCTCGCCGTCTGTAGCCGCGGGCGCAGAGGGCCAGGCTTCCTGCTCCTGAAAGGCCCGTGGGGTCACCCGCGCCCTCTGGCCTGGGAGACGGCGGGCGGGCTCCGCCCCCTCCCCCGGGCCCCCTGGGCCTTTTGGGGGAGCTGCAGGGTCTTTTCAGAATCCCGTTCCTCTGCCCCCCAGCCCCCCCGAGAGAGAAGGGAAGGTGGGACCACAGCCAGGAGGGGTGGGGCGGCGCCCGGAGCCTGCAGCCCCCTTTCCCGGCTGCACCTCTGCCGCTGGCACCCCCTCCCTCCCCCCAGGCCCCCGCCCCGGGGAGCGAAGACCGGCCAGGGCGGGGAAGAGCGGCCTTTTTCGGGCCCATGAGTAATTTTCCACTCCTTCAGGAACCCTCCGAGCAGGGTGGCGGCCAGCCGCTGGCCGGCCGTGGAAATTCACACGGCAGCCGGGAAGGGAGGGCGGCCGCCGACCACAGGACCTTCCACGTGGGAGCTGGAAGGTGGAGGTGACCACCCGTCCCATCGCCCTCCCCCCCCAACGGGGCAGCAAGGAGGGGTGATGCCAGGGTCCCCCCAGGCCAGGCTGCCCCGGCCTCTTCCCTCCGACCTCTCCTTTTTTTTTTTAATCCTCACCTGAGGATATTTTTTCCCCACCGATTTTATTTTTATTTTTTTAATATATATTTTATTGATTTTTTTTTTTTTTTTTTTACAGAGAGGAAGGAAGGGGGAGAGGGATAGAAAGTTAGAAACATCAGCCGAAACCGGTGTGGCTCAGTGGATAGAGCGTCAGCCTGGGAACTGAAGGGTCCCGGGTTCGATTCCGGTCGTAGGGCATGGACCTTGGTTGCGGGCACATCCCCAGTGGGGGGGCGTGCAGGAGGCGGCTGATCGGTGTTTCTCTCCCATCAATGTTTCTAGCTCTCTATCCTTCTCCCTTCCTCTCTCTGTAAAATCAATAAAATATATTTTTTAAAAAAGAATGTACTTTAAAGAAAGAGAAAAAAGCAAGTTAGAAACATCAATGAGAGAGAAACAGTGATCAGCTGCCTCCTGCACGCCCCCAAGTGGGGGTGTGCCGGCAACCAAGGTCCATGCCCTATGACCGGAATCGAACCCGGGACCCTTCAGTCCGCAGGCCGACGCTCTACCCACTGAGCCACACCGGCCAGGGCGAGGGCGGGACGCAGAGCAGGTGACAGACGCGGGCTGGTGCTGCAATGCCGCCCACACTCTCCCTTCCCCTCCCCTCCCCTCACCGGCCACCTCCCTCCTCCCGGCTCAGAGTCTGGGACTTAATTACACCCTGACGCCGCTTGTTTGCCGAAAAACATGTTTATTTTGGTTCTGACTCATTGCAGAGAATTTAGAAAAGACAAAAAAAACGAAAAGAGGGGAAATAAAAATCACCCGCAGCCCTGCCACCCAGACGCAGAGCCGGGTGTCTGCTCTGCGGACGCGCCCGCTCTGGCCACACGCTCCCGCCGGGAGGCAGGCCACCCCCATCGCACACGGGGGCCTGGCGTGTGGCTGCTCCGAATCCCCCTCACGCAGCCCTGGCGCCCCCGTCTCGGCTCCAAGCCGTTTTTAAACATTAAGAGGTCCCTCGCGCACGCGGCCTGAGAGGCGGCTGTTCTGAGGGCGGACGTGCGGTGCTGGTCAGCGTGTCTGCAGAGCCCCAGAGAGAGGTGCTCAGGGGGAGAATTGCAAGACCCAGGCTAAGGGGTTAGGAGTTGACGGATGGATGAATGGACAGATAAATGAATGGATGGATGGATGGATGATGGACAGATGGATGGATGGATGGATGGATGGATGATGGATGGATGGATGGATGATGGACAGACGGATGGATGAATGGATGATGGACAGATGGATGGATGGATGGATGATGGATGGATGGATGGATGATGGATGGATGGATTGATGGATGGATGGATGGATGATGGATGGATGGATTGATGAATGGATGATGGATGGATGATGGATGGATGGATGATGGACAGATGGATGGGTGGATGGATGATGGATGGATGGATTGATGGATGGATGATGGACAGATGGATGGATGGATGGATGATGGACAGATGGATGGGTGGATGGGACATTGGAAGGCTGGAACGAAGGGATTCATAGCACACAGCTATAACCTCCCCAGTCCTCATTCTGGTCCCCAGGGCGCCGTGAGTCCCTGGACAGGGGAAAGGAGGAACTGGATTGTGGGAAGGACTGGGAGCCTGTGTCAAGGAAGCATCTGTGGCCTGGTCTCCCCGGGACCCTCTCCCCGCAGAGCCTGCTGGGACGGATCCTACGCGCCTTTGAAATACTGGGTGCTGCTCCCGTCTCCTCACCTCTGACATCCCCTCCCCCTTCCGGGGAGGCCAACGGGGGAACCCTCTGTCTGCCCCTTCCTCCCCCAACCACCGCCACCCCAGCCAAGGGCAGGTGTCCAGGCCCCAGGAGCCACCGGGCCCGGCTCTCAGGCCGGCCAGGAGGGACCCGGACGCCGGGAACCCGCTGGGTGTGAGGAGCCGGATGGCCGGAGGCCCCCGGGGGGGTGCGACGGCGGTCTGTGGTCCCCACCCCGGGACCGTGGCCCCCCTCCGCCCGGGCCTGCGGGGCCGTGGCTGTAGGGAAAGCTCGGGCTGGTTCCGCACACGGCCGCTCCTGTGCCTGCGCCCGGCGGGCGGGCAATTTCGCTCCTAGGTGGCTGCCGCCGCCGATTCCACTCGAGGGTGGGCGCTCAGGTGTCATCCTTTGATGTGCAGCGAGCAGGGCGCTCCTGCCAGGCGGGCGGGCGGGCGGGCGGGCGGGCGCGGGCTCATCCGTCAATGCCTGGCAGGTGGAGGCCGGGGGCTGGGCCCCTTTGTTTCCCGTCCCCCTTTGATCTATTGAAAAGGCTGCCGGAGCGGGACCGGACGGATCTTGTCAGGTGGCATCAACCAGAACGGACATGCCCGGCCCGGCCCGCCCGGGTGGGTGGCTCCGGGGCGGAGCGTCGACCTGTGAAATGGGAGGTCACGGGTTCGATTCCCGGTCGGGGCACAGGCCCGGGGTTGTGGGCTCGATCCCTCAGAATAGGGGCGTGCAGGAGGCAGCCGGTCCGTGATTCTCTCATCATGGATGCTTCTCCCTCTGTCTCTCTCTCTCTCTCTCTCTCTCTCTCTCTCTCTCTCTCTCTCCCTTCCTCTCTGACATCAAGAAAAAACACACCCTGCCCCAGCCGGTGTGGCTCAGTGGATAGAGCGTTGGCCTGCGGACGGAAGGGTCCCGGGTTCGATTCCGGGCATGGACCTTGGTTGCGGACACATCCCCGGTAGGGGGTGTGCAGGGGGCGGCTGATCGATGATTCTCTCTCATCGATGTTTCTAACTCTCTATCCCTCTCTCTTCCTCTCTGTGAAAAACTAATAAAATATATTAAAAAATATATATATTCTGGCCTAGCCGGTGTGGCTCAGTGGATAGAGCATGGCCTGTGGACTGAAGGGTCCCAGGTTCGATTCTGGTCGAGGGCATGTGCCTTGGTTGTAGGCACATCCCCAGCAGGGGGCGTGCAGGAGGCGGCTGATGGATGTTTCTCTCTCATCGATGTTTCTTTTTTTCTTTTTAAATATACGTCATTGATTCTCTACAGAGAGGAAGGGAGAGGGATAGAGCGTTAGAAACATCGATGGGAGAGAAACACCGACCGCAGCCAAGGCACATGCCCTTGATTTGAATGGAACTGAACCTGGGACCCTTCAGTCCGCAGGCCGACGCCCTATCCACTGAGCCACACCTAGGGCAGGGTGTGCTTTTTCTTGATGTCAGAGAGGAAAGGAGAGAGAGAGAGAGAGAAGCATCCATGATGAGAGGGAACCACGGATCGGCTGCCTCCTGCACCCCCGCCCCCCCCGGGGATGGAGCCCGCAACCCGGGCCTGCGCCCCGACCGGGAATCGAACCCTGACCTCCTGGTTCCTAGGTCGACGCTCCGCCACGGAGCCACGCAGGCTGGACCTTCTGACCACCTGATCCTGGGGGACTTGAAGGGACAGGGCCACAGCCCTGCAGCCTCACCCCCAGCCCGGGGTGGGGGAAGAGGGGGTGCAGGGGGGCCCTCATGGTGAGGGGAGGCTGGTTCCTGAGCCCGGGAGGCCCCCTGCCCGCCCGCCGTGTCGCACAGGTCAGGACAGGAGGGTGTCACAGCGCCGCAGCCAGCCAGCCCGGGAGCCCGGCCCACGTGGGGCGGCGGGGAGGGGCGGGGCGGCGGGGAGGGGCGGGGCGGGCGGGGAGGGCTGCGGGGGTTGACTGGGTGCCAGGGCTTAATTGGCGTAATTGCTCTCCGCTTCCTGCCAAACCCCGTGTGTCTGGGCGGCTGCCCACCTGTGGGCGGGCGGGAGCGGCTCCCCAAGGCCTGGGGTCCCACGTGGAGGCTCCGAGGCCCCTCCGGCTCCTGCCCCGCCCGCCCTGGGGGTCCAGGGACCCCGGGGCGGCCTGGACCCCGGCTCCGGCATGCGGGAAAGCTCCGGCAGGGGCAGCACCCCATCCTGCCAGGGCACCCCATCCTGCCAGGGGCAGGGAGAGAGTGGGGTGGCGTCTGGAGCCAGGCTGCAGGCTCTGGGGTCCACACGGTTCCGGGGTCCTTGGGGGGGGGCAGGGATGTCCCTGAGGGGGCAGAGGGGGCGGGAAGAGAGCAGGTCCATTTGCTAGGAGAAGCCCAGGCACATGAATTCCTCCCTGGGTGGGGGGTCCTGGAGCCTGAGGGCCTTTGGGGGTGAATCCTGGGGCTCCCACCACTTAGGGGCCCCCGTGGGGGGAACCTCCTCTCGGGGCAAGGCCTCCTCCTCACAGGCCAGTGCGTCAGGGCCCCGTGGCACCCGCTGCAGAGGGCCCAGCCCAGGTGCCCGGGCCGGGACTCGAACCCTGACCTCCCGGCTCCTAGGTTGACGCTCAGCGGCTGAGTCGCGCCCTGACGGCCCCTCCCTCCCTCCCCCAGGCGCCTGGACGCCAACCTCATCTCCCTGGTCCCCGAGAGGAGCTTCGAGGGGCTGTCCTGCCTCCGCCACCTGTGGCTGGACGACAACGCGCTGGCCGAGGTCCCCGTCCGGGCCCTCAACAACCTGCCCGGCCTGCAGGCCATGACGCTGGCCCTCAACCACATCCGCCGCGTCCCCGACTTTGCCTTCCAGAACCTCAGCAGCCTGGTGGTGCTGTGAGTGCCCCCTGGTGGTGCTGTGAGTGCCCCCCTCCAGGCGGGGATCCCCCCCGCCCCCTGGTGGTGCTGTGAGTGCCCCCTGGTGGTGCTGTGAGTGCCCCCCTCCGGGCGGGGATCCCCCCCGCCCCCTGGTGGTGCTGTGAGTGCCCCCTGGTGGTGCTGTGAGTGCCCCCCTCCGGGCGGGGATCCCCCCCGCCCCCTGGTGGTGCTGTGAGTGCCCCCTGGTGGTGCTGTGAGTGCCCCCCTCCGGGCGGGGATCCCCCCCGCCCCCTGGTGGTGCTGTGAGTGCCCCCTGGTGGTGCTGTGAGTGCCCCCCTCCGGGCGGGGATCCCCCCCGCCCCCTGGTGGTGCTGTGAGTGCCCCCCACCCCCGTCCGAGTGCGGGGATCCCCCCGGGTGGTGCTGTGAGTGCCCCCCTCCGGGCGGGGATCCCCCCCGCCCCCTGGTGGTGCTGTGAGTGCTCCCCACCCCCGTCCGAGTGCGGGGATCCCTCCCGCCCCCTGGTGGTGCTGTGAGTGCCCCCCTCCGGGCGGGGATCCCCCCCGCCCCTGGTGGTGCTGTGAGTGCCCCCCGTCCGGGCGGGGATCCCCCCCGCCCCTGGTGGTGCTGTGAGTGCCCCCCTCCAGGCGGGGATCCCCCCCGCCCCCTGGTGGTGCTGTGAGTGCCCCCCGTCCGCGTGGGGGATCCCCCCACCCCCTGGTGGTGCTGTGAGTGCCCCCCACCCCCGTCCGAGTGCGGGGATCCCCCTGGTGGTGCTGTGAGTGCCCCCCGTCCGGGCGGGGATCCCCCCCGCCCCCGGGTGGTGCTGTGAGTGCCCCCCGTCCGCGTGGGGGATCCCCCGCCCCCCGCCACCCCGTTCACCCGGCGCCTGACAGCTGGGCTCTTTGGCCTTCGCCGGCCGGCGAGCCGGTTAAAACGGGGGCAGCCCGCGGTCCCAGCTGGTCCCATCGCTGTCCTGGCTGGTTCGGCTCAGTGGGTAGAGCGTCGGCCTCGGAGACGGTGACTTCCGAAGCCCCTGGACCCGCGGTCATTCCGTCCACACGCCAGCCTCCTCCTCAAGCCGCCCCCCCTCCCCACACCCCGGGCTCGCTGCTGTGGGCGCCCGGCTCACCCCTCTCTCCTCCCACACAGGCACCTTCACAACAACCGCATCCAGCGCCTGGGGACCCACAGCTTCGAGGGCCTGCACAGCCTGGAGACGCTGTGAGTGTGGGCGCAGCCAAGCTCCCTGGGGTCCTGTCCAGGGCGGGGGGCGGGGGGCAGGAAGAGGCCGGCAGAGGGAGGCCAGCGGGCCTGGACGCCGGCATCTGGCTGCGGCCTGCTCCCTCACGCCTCTCCCTGGCGCCGTCTCTCCCGCATGCAGGAGGCAGCCGATCCATGATTCTCTCCCATCATGGAGGTTTCTATCCCTCTCCCCCTCCCTTCCTCTCTGAGATCCGTAAAAGGAAGGCATTAAGCCCTGGCCGGTGTGGCTCAGTGGATAGAGCGTCGGCCTGCGGACTGAAAGGTCCCGGGTTCGGTTCCGGTCAAGGACATGGACCTTGCTGGCGGGCACATCCCCCACAGGGGGCGTGCAGGAGGCAGCTGATGGATCTTTCTCATCCATGTTTCTAACTCTCTCATTTCCTCCCTGTAAAAAAGGACTGGTGCTGGCCTTACCAGGGGCTGTGTGGACCCCCGGAGAGCTGTGTGGGACCTTGCCCTGCACCCCTCCCCTCTCCCAGCCTCTCCCGTCTCCCCCAGCCCCCTCCTTGGCTGCCGTCTCAGTCACACCCCTTTCCCCCCTCCTCCAGGGATCCCTTCTCCCTCCAGCTTTGATCTCCAATTAAAAAAGGGGGGCGTGTGTTCTTTGTTCTTTGTACCCCATCCTTGGAGCGCTGGCTGGGAGCCTGCAGGGGCGGCCAGATGTGTGGGGCGGGTGAGGCTGTGAGCTTTCCGTGGGCGCTGCTGGCTGGCACGGTGTCTCTCCCTGGGGCCAGGAATCTCTGCCACGGGGGCCTCTCTCATCTCCACGGGAGGGGGGGGGATCGAACCCCCATCCCCGGTGGCCTGGCCTGTGAAGGAGGGGCCAGGGGCGGGCAGGAGCACGCAGGGTCACACCTGTCCTGTCGCTCGGAAGCCTTCCGGGCGCTGACCCCTGGATCCCACCCCCTGGAGCCACACCCCCCTGACCAAACCCTGCTCCCTTCCAGGGACCTGAACCACAACGACCTGGGGGAGTTCCCCGTGGCCATCCGGACGCTGGGCCGGCTGCAGGAGCTGTGAGTACCCGGTCTCCCACCACAGGGGAACGGGCAGGGCACTGACCCCCGGGCGGAGAGAGGGCCCGCAGGGGTGAACGGGACCAGCCTACAGGCCCCCAACGGTGGGCAGCGCCTTTTATTTTTGTTGCTGGTTTTTCAAAAAATATATATTTTATTGCAGAGAGGAAGGGAGAGGGAGAGAGAGTTAGAAACGTCGATGAGAGAGAAACATCCATCACCTGCCTCCTGCATGCTCCCCACCTGGGGATGTGCCCGCCACCAAGGTCCACGCCCCTGACCGGAATGGAACCCGGGACCTTTCAGCCCGCAGGCCGACGCTCTACCTGCTGAGCCAGGCCGGTTTCGGCAGGGCTGTTGCTGTTGTTAATCCTCACCCGAGGATATGTCCCCATTGATTTTTATTCTTATATTTTATTTATTTATTTTTTAAATACACTTTATTGATTTTTAGAGAGGAAGGAAGAGGGAGAGAGAGAGAAACACCTATGATGAGAGAGAATCATGGATTGGCCGCCTCCTACCTGCCCCCTACTGGGGATTGAGCCCGCCACTTAGGCTCCGTGCCCTTGGCCGGAATCAAACCCGGAACCCTTTAGTCCGAAGGCTGACACTCTATCCATTGAGCCACACACCAGCTAGGGCTTCCCATTGATTTTTAGAGAGAGTGGAGAGAGAAGAGAGAGAGGGAGAGAGGGAGAGAGGAGGAGAGAGGGAGAGAGAAGGAGGGAGAGAGGAGGAGAGAGGGAGAGAAACACTGATGGGAGAGAGACGCTCCAATGGGTTGCTTCCTGCACACGCCTCTGCTGTTCTGGCCTCTGTCACCGTCCCCATCGGCAATCCCCCGTGTCTGTCTCCGCGTCCGCGTCCTCACCGACCGACCGGCTTGTCTTCCAGCGGTTTCCATGACAACAGCATCCAGGCCATCCCCGAGAAGGCCTTCACGGGGAACCCCCTGCTGCAGACCATGTGAGTCCCGCCTCCCCCGGTGTCGGGGGGCTGGGGGGGAGCGGGACAAGGGGAGGGGTGCCTGACCTGACCCCCCTCGCCCCCGGGGGGCTCTCCCAGGGGCTCCATGGGGAGGGGAAGGCAGAGAGCTGCCGCCGCTGTGGTCCTGGCTGAGCGAATCCCACACCGGGGTCTCTTCCAGACACTTCTACGACAACCCGATCCAGTCCGTGGGGCGGTCCGCCTTCCAGGACCTGCCGAAGCTGCACACGCTGTACGCGGGGCCCCTGTCCTCGGCCCCCGCGGCCCCTACCTGCCCCCGGCCCCCCGCCCTCCCCCCTCCCCCCAGGCTCAGGCTGCCTCTGCACCAACCACCTCCCTCCTCTCGAGGATCCCGAACGGGCGCACAGGGCCCTCTCCACGGCCAGGGACCTGGGCCGGCCGCTTTTTAAAAATATATATATTTTGCCGGAACCGGTGTGGCTCAGCGGATAGAGCGCCGGCCTGCAGACCGAAGGGTCCCAGGTTCGATTCCGGCCAAGGGCATGCACCTTGGTAGCGGGCACATCCCCGGTAAGGGTTGTGCAGGAGGCAGCTGGTGGATGTTTCTCTCTCATCGACGTTTCTAGCTCTCTGTCCCTCTTCCTTCCTCTCTGCGGAAAATCAATCAAATATACTTTTTAAAAAATATTTTTTATGGATGTCAGAGAGGAAGGGAGAGGGAGAGGGAGAGAGAGAAACATCCATGAGGAGAGGGAATCACGGACCGGCTGCCTCCTGCCTGCCCCCCCACCACCGGGTCTGTGCCCTGACGGGGAACCGAACCCTGACCTCCTGGTTCCTAGGTCGGCGCTCACCACTGAGCCGCACCAGCCGGCCGGCCCGTGTTTGCCGTGCTGGCACCCGGATGCAGAGGCTGCTGCCTCCATCCGGGCTCCGCCACGGCTGGCCTCCTCCAGGGCGGGAGCCGGGCCGGTGGCGGGGTGCAGGCGGGGGGCAGGGGTCCGTGGGGAGCCCCGGGGGCTGGGAGCGGCGTGGGCACGCTCCGGCCTCGTCCTCGGAGCCGCTGGCTCTGCTTCCAGGTCCCTGAATGGAGCCTCCGCCATCGAGGAGTTCCCGGACCTCAAGGGGACCACCAGCCTGGAGACCCTGTGCGTGGCCGGTTCTCTGCCTGGGCCTCCTCCCGCTGCCCCATCCCATCCGCCGACCACCCAGCAGCCCCCGTCTCCCTTCTTCCCCCCCTCCCCCCGCTGACCACCCCAGCAGCTCCTGCCCCCTCCTCCCCCCCTGCCCCGCCCCCGCCGACCACCCCAGCAGCCCCTGCCCCCCTCCTTCCCCCTCCCTCCCCCGCCGACCACCCAGCAGCCCCCGTCTCCCTTCTTATCCCCCCTCCCCCCGCCGACCACCCCAGCAGCTCCTGCCCCCTCCTCCCCCCCTGCCCCGCCCCCGCCGACCACCCCAGCAGCCCCTGCCCCCCTCCTTTCCCCTCCCTCCCCCGCTGACCACCCCAGCAGCCCCTGCTCCCTTCTCCCCCCTTCCCCTCCGCTGACCACCCCAGCAGCCCCCATCCCCCTTCTCCGCCCCCCCGCCGACCACCCCAGCAGCCCCTGCCCCCTCCTCCCCCCTGCCCCGCCCCCGCCGACCACCCCAGCAGCCCCCGCACCCCTTCTCCCCCGCTCCCCACCCCACAAGGCACTGGGGTGGGGGAGGCGGCGGGGTGGCTGGGCTCGGCTCCCAGGGCGCCGCCGTCTGTCTTCCCACCTGCCCCGTCTCTGCCCCCTGCAGGACCCTGACCCGCGCGGGCATCCGGCGGCTCCCGCCCGGGATGTGCCAGCAGCTGCCCCGGCTCCGAGTCCTGTGAGTGGCCCACGCGCTCCCCGCGGCCCCGCCCGGTGCCCCGGGCCCAGGGGCTGCAGCCCCCGCCCACCCCCCCCCCCGCCCCCGGTCTGTCCCTCTCGGTCACGGCTCTCCCTGCCGCTGCCGCTGCCGCCGAGGACGGCCGGAGGGACTGGGCCACCCCCTCCTGCCCAAGCCTTGGAGCCAGGCCTGCTGTGACCCCAGCTCTGCCTCCAGCCGCGCGTCTCAGAGCTTCCCAGTCCTCATCCGCGGGGAGCGGACACAGTGCGGGGGCTGGGAGAACAGGAGTAAAGCACCTGGCACCTACCCTGTTTCCCCGAAAATAAGACAGTGTCTTATACTCATTTTTTCTCCCAAAGTTGTGCTAGGTCTTATTTTCGGAGGATGTCTTATTTTCGGGGAAACACGGTAGTAGGCGCTCAATACAGGCCACACAGTAGGTACTCAACCCAGCACATAGTAGGTGCTTTTCCCACACACGCTCAACCCAGCACATAGTAGGTGCTTTCTCTCTCACGCACTCAACCCGGCACATAGTAGGTGCTTTCTCTCCCACACGCTCAACCCAGCACATAGTAGGTGCTTTCTCTCTCACGCACTCAACCCGGCACATAGTAGGTGCTTTCTCTCCCACACGCTCAACCCGGCACATAGTAGGTGCTTTCTCTCGCACACGCTCAACCCAGCACATAGTAGGTGCTTTCTCTCTCACACGCTCAACCCGGCACATAGTAGGTGCTTTCTCTCCCACACGCTCAACCCGGCACATAGTAGGTGCTTTCTCTCGCACACGCTCAACCCAGCACATAGTAGGTGCTTTCTCTCACACGCTCAACCCAGCACATAGTAGGTGCTTTCTCTCGCACACGCTCAACCCAGCACATAGTAGGTGCTTTCACACATGCTCAACAGCACACAGTAGGTGCTTTCTCTCTCACACGCTCAACCCAGCACACAGTAGGTGCTTTCTCTCTCACACACTCAACCCAGCACATAGTAAGTGCTTTCTCTCACACACGCTCAATCAGCACACAGTAGGTGTTCAGCTTAGCACCTATAGGTGTTCAACCTAGCACATAGTAGGTGCTCGAAACAGGGCTTTATTACTCCAGTTCACACGACACAGCCCTTCTGGAACCACGAGGAACCTAAGTGGCCTAGGCAGCACTCAAGGGGAGTGTCCCCCCACCCCCGTCCCCCGTCTGTGCCTCAGTTTCCTCCCGTGTAAGGTAAAGGGGTCACTGGCTCCGTCGTGCAGCAGGTGCCGTCCACGGGGCTGGCCCTGACCAGCCGGCCCGGTCATTCCTGGCCCCCCCATCCCTCTCTCTGCCATCCCTGCCCCCGCCCCTGCCCCCTCTCTCTGCTGGGAAAGAGAGGCTCCGCCAGGGAGGAGACGGACCGGCTGAGGACGGGGCTCCGGGGGGCCGGGGGGGCGGCAGCCCCTCCTCGCAGGTCCGCGCGGCCTCGGCTGCGGACAGGGAAGTGGGGCCCGGGCCAGAGCGGCTCCCGGTCCCGCCGTGACCCTGCCCGGCCTCCCCCCCACAGGGAACTGTCTCACAACCAGATCGAGGAGCTGCCCAGCCTGCACCGGTGCCAGAAGCTGGAGGAGATGTGAGCGGGGCGGGGGCGGGGGCGGATTCCGGCGCCTGTGGGACGGCTGTGCACGCTGAGCGGGGGGCGGGGGGGGGGCGGAGAGGGGGGAGGCGTGTGGAGGAACCAGGGTCCGAGCCCACGGGTCACTCGGCCGGTCTCGCTGCCCTAGAGGCCTCCAGCACAACCGCATCTGGGAAGTCAGAGCTGACACCTTCCGCCAGCTGAGCTCCCTGCGGGCCCTGTGAGTGCTGGGGCCCGGCGCCGTGGGGTCAAAGGGCAGACTCTGGGTGCTGGGCGGGGAGGAGGGTGCCAAGGGCCTGGGGATGGGCTGGAGGGGGGGCAAGCTGAGCTCCCTGCCCCGTGTCCAGGGGGTACCTGAAGGGGGTTCTCTGAAGCCAGGCAGCCCAGGCCCTTTTCTTTTTTAAAAAAATATATATATTTTGCCAAAACCGGTTTAGCTCAATGGATAGAGCTTTGGCTTGGGGACTGAAGGGACCCGGGTTCGATTCCGGTCAAGGGCATGTACCTTGGTTGTGGGCATATCCCCAGTAGAGGGTGTGCAAGAGGCAACTGATCGATGACTCTCTCTCATCGATGTTTCTAACTCTCTATCTTTCTCCCTTCCTCTCTGTACAAAATCAATAAAATATATTTTTTAAAAAATAAAAAATATATATATTTTATTGATTTTTCACAGAGAGGGAGGGAGAGGGAGAGAGAGTTAGAAACAAGGGTGAGAGAGAAACATCCATCAGCTGCCTCCTGCTCACCCCCTACTGGGGATGTGCCCTCAACCAAGGTCCATGCCCTTGACCGGAATCGAACCCAGGACCCTTCAGTCCGCAGGCCGACGCTCCATCCACTGAGCCAAACCAGTCAGGGCCCGGTGCCCTTTTCTGAGGCCACAGGCAGGCGGAGCCAGGGCTGACGTTCCCTTCTTTGCAGGTGGCAGCTCAGACAGAGGGGGGAGCGAGTGAGGGGAATGGGGCGGTGGGTCCTCCCCGGGTGCCTGGCCTGCCGGGACCCTCCCTCACGCCCTCTCTGCCCGCAGGGACCTGAGCCGGAACACCATCCGGTCCGTCCACCCCGAGGCCTTCGCCACCCTGCGCTCCCTGGTCAAGCTGTGAGTGCCCTTGGGGCCACCCTGGGGTGCTGCCGGCCGGAGGGGACCACGGGACCCCCCTTCCTCCCCCCCACCCCCGTGCAGAGCGGGACCCCGCAAGAGTGGTGACCTCCACTGTCCTAGGGACCTGACGGACAACCAGCTGACCACGCTGCCCCTGGCCGGCCTCGGGGGCCTCAAGCATCTCAAGCTCAAAGGGAACCCGGCTCTGTCCCAGGCCTTCTCCAAAGACAGCTTCCCAAAGCTGAGGTGAGACCTGGCTTCTCTCCCCTCTCTACCCCCCCCCCACCCCCCACCCTTGGGCGGCCACGGGGCCCTGGAGGCCGGAGGAGGAGGCCACAGGAGGAGGCCATGGCTGAGACTGAGTGTGTGTGTGTGCACGTGTGTGGGGTGCTGGCTGGGAGGGGACCAGGGTGCCTGCGTGCTGTGTGACCTTGGGGGGGCCGCTCCCCGCTCTGAGCCTGCTGGGGGCCGGGTCATCCTCCAGGGGAGTGAGGAGCAGACGGGAACGTGCCCCGAGCCCCTCAGCGGCCGGTGCCTGGGTGGAGACCCCGTTCCTGAGGCAGCCGCCCCCTCCCCCTGCCCCCAGGATCCTGGAGGTGCCGCACGCCTACCAGTGCTGTGCCTTCGGCGGCGGCGGCGTCTGTCCCGGCTTCCTCGGGGCCCCCGGGCAGTGGGATGGGGACGGCGTTCCCTTCGAGGATGAGGAGGCGCCGAAGGGGCCGCTGGGCCTCCTGGCCGGACTCGCCGAGAGCCACTGTGAGTGCAGGGCAGGGGGCATCTGGGGGAGGGGGCATTGGGGTCTCTGGGGGCCCCCCCAACCCCCGGGAGGGTGCGCTCCATTCCCGGGGGGAGAAGCCCGGCAGCTGCTGGCCGGGCAGGCGCCCGGCCTCCCCCGACGCCCAGGATGGACGGACGGCTGCCCGGCCACTCCCTCGGGGCTGGAAGGAGGGATGGAAACTTTCCTTCCTCCTCAAGGTGAGCGCTGGCCAGGCCTCCGTCTGGGATGCCGGATGCGGGCTGCAGGCAGGTACGGGAGCCGCCGGGCCGGGCCGCTTCCTGTGGGAGCCGATGCCAGGGCTCGGCTTCAGCCAGCCTCCGTTTCCGCCTCCGTTTCCTCGGCGTTTGCCCGGCCGTTGCTCAACACCTTGGCGGGGGGCGTCGCCGGCCTCAGACTCCGTGGGCTCCGGCCCCTGTGTTTCATTCGGCGTTTTCTTTCCTTCTTGTTCTTGTTCTTCTTCTTTTTCAAATGTGTTTTTATTGATTTTAGAGAGGAAGGGAAAGGGAGGGGAGAGAGAGAGAGAGAGAGAGAGAGAGAGAGAGAGAGAGAGAGAACCATCCACGATGAGAGAGAATCATGGATCGGCTGCCTCCTGCACACCCCCCACTGGGACCCAGCTCACAACCCAGGCCTGTGCCCTGACCAGGAATCGAACCTGGGTCCTTTCAGTCCATAGGCTGACGCTTTATCCACTGAACAACATCGGCTGGGGCTCATTCATGCATTTTCATTTCATTTCTTTTTTTAAAATATTTTATTGATTTTTTACAGAGAGGGAGAGGGAGAGAGAGTCAGAAACATCGATGAAAGAGAAACATCGACCAGCTGCCTCCTGCACACCCCCCACTGGGGATGTGCCGGCAACCAAGGTCCATGCCCTTGACAGGAATTGAACCCGGGACCCTTCAGTCCGCAGGCCGACGCTCTCTCCGCTGAGCCACACCAGCTGGGGCTCATTCATGCATTTTCTTTTCAATGCGAGGCGGAGCTCCATTCCGGAGAGTGGGGCGGGCGGGCGGAGAGGTGGGGAGGGGAGGAAATGCCAGGGCTCGGGCACCGGGCAGCCTCCGCCCACGGAGCCTGGGCCAGGGGCTGCCTGCCTCCTGGAAACTCTCCCGGGAGGTGTTGGCCCTGCAGGCGGGCGGAGAGATCTCCCAGGAAACGCACGCAGGGACAAGTGGGGCCGACCGAGCCACGGGTCCGTCCCTGGAGACGCTGGCCCTCTCCTGTGCACGGTGCCGGCCGGCATTCCGGCTGCGTGCCTTATAAAAAAAGTTTTAGATCCTCGTTTCAAAACGCCTCTGGAATCTGTGGACCCCGAGATGTCTGTTCACCCCCAACCACGCGGGCTGGAGTCCTCCCGCCCCGGGTTCAGAAACATTGTAACAGCGAATGAGAAAACAAAGCCCGTTTGTTTCAATCCTGTTTCAGGATTTCTTTAACAATGTATTTACCTTTCCAGTCCTATTGTAAAGTTAGAGGTGGCAGGGTGGTTACAGATTGGCCAGTTTGGCTCGGTGGATAGAGCATCAGCCTGCGGACGGAAGGGTCCCGGGTTTGATTCCGGTCAAGGGCATGGACCTTGGTTGCAGGCACATCCCCAGTGGGGGCTGTGCAAGAGGCAGTGGGGCTGTGCAAGAGGCAGCTGATCGATGTTTCAAACTCTCTCTCCCTCTCCCTTCCTCTCTGTAAAAAAATCAATAAAATATATATATATATATTTTTTTTTTTTAAAAAAAGAGGAGAGCCCACCCACGGGTCCCCCCCAGGGTTCGCACCCCAGGGGGGCGGGCAGCCATCCCCCCCAAGGGCAGCCCTGAGCCGCTGTCTGCTGTCCCCCCAGATGACTTGGATCTGGACGAGACCGAGGACACGAAGCCACACCCTCGCGTGCAGTGCAGCCCGGCTCCAGGTGAGGGTGGCCCTGGGGGTGGGAGCGGGGGGGGGGGGGGGGGGAACAGGGTCAGCAGGCTGGGTCAGCCTCTTGGGGTGATTCCTGGGGAAGAAGCTGGGGGTGGAGAGGGATTTGGGGGAGTCAGAGAAACCTTTACAAACCAGCCAGTTAGAGGTCCCACTTGCTCGGGGCCCTTCCACACCTGCTCTCCGCGCTCCGTGACTGCAGTGCGCCCTCTGGTGGCCGCCTGGGCAGGCGCGCCCACACAGAGGAGGAAGCAGGCACCGTTGTAGGGGCCTGGACAGAATTGTCACCTCTGAAAAGCAATCATCCGCAGGCGAAAGGGCACGATTCTTTATTTTATTTTATTATTGATCTATTTTATTGATTTTTTTTTTTTTTTACAGAGAGGAAGGGAGAGAAATAGAGAGTTAGAAACATTGATGAGAGACAAACACCAATCAGCTGCCTCCCGCACCCCCTCCCGCTGGGGATGTGCCCACAACCAAGGTCCATGCCCTTGACCGGAATCGAACCTGGGACCCTTCGGTTTGCAGGCCAAAGCTCTATCCACTGAACTAACAGGTCATGGCCACAATTCTTTTTTTTAAAAAAATAATTTAAAATTGTTTATTTCTGAGAGGAAGAAAGAGGGAGGGAGAGAGAGAGAGAGAGAGAGAGAGAGTCATGATGAGAGAGAACCATGAATCAGCTGCCTCCTGCACGCCCCGCCCTGGGGATGGAGCCCCCAACCCGGGCCTGTACCCTGATGGTGAATTGAACCCAGGACCTCCTGGTTCATAGGCCAACACCAACCATTGCACCACACTGGCCTGGCTTATTGTGAGCTTCTATTCTGTGTGTAACCAACAGCTCCCCTAGGGGTTTCCTGAGGCCAGGCCAGCCTCCCTGACCCCGTCCCCAGCCTCCCTGATGCCCCCTCTCTCCACAGGCCCCTTCAAGCCCTGCCAGCACCTCTTTGAGAGCTGGGGCGTGCGCCTGGCCGTGTGGGCCATCGTCCTGCTGTCCCTGCTCAGCAACGGGCTGGTGCTGCTCGGAGTCTTCGCGGGTGGCCTGGGGCCCCTGCCCCCGGCCAAGTTCGCGGTCGGGGCCCTGGCCGGCGCCAACGCCTTGACCGGCGTCGCCTGGGGCCTCCTGGCCTGCGTGGACGCCCTGACCTTCGGCCGGTTTGCTGCCTACGGGGCCCGCTGGGAGTCGGGGCCGGGCTGCCGGGCCACGGGTTTCCTGGCCGTGCTGGGGTCCGAGGCCGCGGTGCTGCTGCTGGTGCTGGCCGCCGTGCAGAGCGGCGTCTCGGGGGCGGTGGTGGCCCGGGTCCGAGCCCACGGGAAGGCGCCCGCCCCGGGCGGCGGTGGCGGCAGCGGCGTGCGGGCGGGGGTGCTGGGCTGCCTGGCGCTGGCGGGGCTGGCCGCCGCCCTGCCCCTGGCCTCGGTGGGTGAGTACGGGGCCTCCCCCCTCTGCTTGCCCTACGCGCCCCCGCCCGAGGGCCGGCCGGCCGCCCTGGCCTTCGCCGTGGCCCTCGTGCTGCTCAACTCGCTGTGCTTCCTGGCGGCCACGGGCGCCCACATCCGACTGTACTGGGGCGGACGGGGGACCGCGGGGCCCGGGGCCCTGGGCCGGCACGTGGCCCGGCTCGTCCTGGCCGACGGGCTGCTGCACTGCCCCGTGGCCTTCCTCGGCGTGGCCTCCGGCCTCGGCCTGGCCCCCGTGGCCCCCGAGGCCGTCAAGTCCGTGCTGCTGCTGGTGCTGCCGCTGCCCGCCTGCCTCAACCCCCTGCTCTACCTGCTCCTCGCCCCGCGCTCCCGCCGGGACCTGGGCCGCCTCTGGCCCTGCGCGGGTGCCGCCGCCCCGGCCGCCCTGGCCTCCGCCGCTGCCCGCCCGCTGGAGAAGGCCTCCTGTGACTCCACGCAGGCCCTGGTGGCCTTCTCCGACGTGGATCCCGTTCCGGAAGCTTCTGAGGCCGGGCGGCAGCCCCCGGGGCCGGAGACCTACCACGGCTTCCTCCTCGCGGGCACCCTGGTCTCCTGCCCGCGGCCAGAAAGCCCCGGGCCTGAGGGCGGCCGCTCGGTGGAGCCAGAGGGAACCCGCTTTGGGAACCAGCAACCCCCCGTGGACGGAGAGCGGCCGCTGAGGGCCGAGGGGGCCGCGCCAGGCGGCGGGGGCGGCCAGGCCTCAGCCTCGGCCTTTGCCTCCTTATAAACAGCCCTGCCCACCTCGTCTCCGCCTCCTCCTCCCCTCCCCTCCCCTCCCTCCGTGAAGGACGGCTGTTTGTAAAATAAATTCAGCCAGCACGAAGCATCGTGGTCCGGGGGAGGGTGGCCCAGGCCGTGGCTCCGTGGCCTCCCGTGGCCGTCACCCCGTGTGCAGCGTGGCTGGTTTCCTTCAGGCCGCGTCCCCGGTCACATCGGAGGCTGCGGAGCCAAGATCTGGAAGTCGGGGTGCTGAGCAGGGCCCGGGTCTGGGCCCCGATGGAGGAAGGAAGGCCTAACAAGGGACCACGGAGGCGGCTGGGCATCCCCCTCGTGGCTCACGTGTGGACCCAACCCGTGCTCCGTGCCTCTCGGACCTGGACGTGTGCGGGGCGTCCTTCCTCAGAGAGTCACTGTCCGCGTGTGGGTCAGGGCAGGCTCTGCCACCGGTGTCTCACCAGTTGCCACGTGGTCTGGCCACGAGCTGTATTGGCCCGATTGGTGTTCGTGGCGTACCAGACGGCGTCTCAGAGGGCTCAGCACCCGTGTCTGCCCGGGCCTCGTCTCCGCCCCACGCGGGGACCCCACGGGATGGCGACGCCACGAGACCAAGGGCCGTGAGGGCCGTGACCCACGGCGCCCGTATTCGGTGCTGATCTGAAGACGGTGGATGAATGGAGCCTGTGGCTCAGGGACCGCCTTCACGGGAAGAATGAAAGGTCGACCGGATGTACCGGTTACTAATGCGGATACCGGTTAGTATGGAGGATTGACCCTTTACTGGTTCCTAATGCGGGTTTTTGTCATCGAAGAAAACACGATTTCAAGAGAAACATCAAACGTGCTTTGTTGAAAGTAACGTCCATCGCAAGCTACCCATTCCCCCCATCTTCCAGGTCATTGGTGGGTGGCGTCCCAATAGAACTTTTAAAATATATATATATATATATTTTTTTTATTTTTTTTTTTTTACAGAGAGGAAGAGAGAGGGAGAGAGAGTTAGAAACATCAATGAGAGAGAATCATCCATCAGCTGCCTCTTGCACACCCCCTACTGGGGATGTGCCCGCAACCAAGGTCCATGCCCTTGACTGGAGTGGAACCCGGGACCTTTCAGTCCGCAGACCGATGCTCTATCCACTGAGCCACACCGGTTTTGGCTAACTTTCCTTGTTTTGAGGCAGATCATGCAAAGACCCCATTTTTCACTCCTTCGTACGTGTTGAGGGGCTGCTCAGAACGTGTGTGTGCCATCGACCAGAACAAGGGGTCTGAAGGAGTAATACAGCACACATGCCAAATCACATCCATAGCAACATACGTGTGACTCCATCTACTGAAAAATAATCTGCGTTACTCACCGGTACACCTGCCTAGTAAAGATCGGAGGAGGCGGGGCTGAGGAGCCTGAGTGACACATGCCCGGGGTCCCCTCCTTCCCTCCCGGCTCACCTCTAACTACCTCTGCTCTGGGGCGGCCACGTCTCCCCCCAGCACCCCCATCGCTCACTCCTGGTCCCAGCCCCGCCCCCCGCGGCTGTGGGAAGTGTGAGAATGGTCGCAATGTAAATACTCGGGCTCTTCTGTACAATAAAGCCAGTGAATCCTGTGGGAGTGCCTGCTTGTCCATGTCCGGGCACCTGGGTGTGCGTGCCCAGGTGGCAGCCGTGACCTGAAGCCCCGGCCGGCCCCCCCACCTGTAGCTCCTTGAGGCCCATGCCCGCCAGGTGCTCCCGAGGCCGGAGGGTGAGTCTCCCCGGAAGAGGAGGAGGAGGAGGAGGAGGAGGAGGAGGAGGAGGAGGAGGAGGAGGAGGAGGAGCACCGGGGCCTGAGCCGGAGACGAGAGGGTTGGAGCTGAGGCCTGGGACCCCACAGCTCCCCCCTGGCGACCGGGTCCTGGGGTGCAGTTGGGGTGAGGGACCCTGCCGTGCAGAGAGCCACTGTTCTGAGTAAGTCGGCCTTTTCGCGTTTCCTAGCTCCTGTTATTCACAACGGCTGCTGAGCGGACGGCATGAGAGCTGGGCCTCTCCCCCCCCGCCCCCCCACCAGCCCCTGCGTCTCGGGGGGTTCCAGCCACCTCGTCGGTCGGGTTTGCCGCCCTGGTCCTCCCACGCCCAGGCCGTGGTGTTTTGTGAAAGAGCCACACCCCAGGGGCCAGAGAGCATCCTGTGGCTCAGGAGCCGCAGTTTACCGACCGTGGGGCTGGGGCATGGAGAAGGAAGCCGGGCGGGCGGGAGTGGCACGCAGTCTCCCAGGACATCACCTGGGAAACACCCAGAGTTGGCAAAACACAGGACAACGCACCCGGCGACCACAGCATCCTCCGGCCAGTTTGCTCCCAGACACGCGTCCCCGATAAACACGCTCGAGGTGAAACCATTATTTATTTCTCAGGTTTAAAAGGTTTACAGATACACAGGCACACTCGGGAAAAAACAGATGCCACTTAGAGGGTCTGTGCAGGGCAGGAATATAAATATAATAAATATACAAAGGTCTGCTTGACGAGATGCAGAGAACACGGGAGACGGACGGGCAAGCCGGGCCGGGCCGGGCCCTAGGTGCCGTCGCAGAACTTCTTCCCCGGGCCTCCGGGCGGCCCCGCCTTCCTCTTCTGCGCCGTGCCCGGTGCTCCGGCCGCCGGCGGGCCCCCAGGCACCTCCTCGTCCTGCTGAGGAGGGAAACGCCAGGTTCACCCCGGAGCCCTGGGATGTCGCCCCAGTGCCTCTGGGCTGCCCCCTGCATGCTATCCCCTCCCCGGCATCTTCCTCAATCTCCACATGTTTTCATTATTTTCTTTCTTTTAAATCCTCACCCGAGGGTATTTTTCCGTTGGTTTTTAGAGAGAGTGGAAGGGAGGGGGAGAGACACAGAGAGGGAAAAACATCCATGTGAGAGAAACTCATCAATGGGCTGCCTCCTGCATGGGCTCCTGACCAGCGCTGGGATCAAGTCTGTAACCGAGGTCCATGCCCTTGACGGGGACCAAACCCGGGACCCTTCAGTCCACGGGCCGACGCTCTATCCACGGAGCCACACCGGCTAGGGCTGTGTGACTTAAATCTTTTATTTTTTTATTGATGTCAGAGAGGAAGGAAGAGGGAGAGAGGGATAGAAACATCAATGATGAGAATCACTGGTCGGCTGCCCCCTACTGGGGATCGAGCCCACAACCCAGGCATGTGCTCTGACCAAAATTGAACCTGGACCCTTCAATCTGCAAGGCTGACGCTCTATCCACTGAGCCACACTGGCCGAGCTAAACCTTTACTTCTTCCCACGGGTAACACTGCTACTTGGAACCTGGGGAAGGTTTCCTGCTCTCGAGAACGGCCCCACAGAAAAGTCCGCTTCCCTCCCTCCTGCACCCTCTCCCCTTGCCACTTCCTGCCACAGTCCCTCCTCGGGGTTAAAACAAAGTCTTAGGGGAAAGAATCTGAGTCCCCTCTCGTCCATCGGTGCTGCCGCTCAGAATCTGAGTCCCCCCTGGGGCTGTCTGCCCTCTAGGGACGTCAGTGGGTGACAGTTGTTAAGAGAAACCTCTTGCTGAGTCATCAGTCAGAGGCTGCGAGAGGAGAAGCTGCCCACCGTTCGTTCTAGAACGCGGTCAAGTGCAAACGTGGTGAGGGCACATCCTCACGGGCCGAATGCAGACCCCCCGAGGGACTGACCGCGGCCGAGCACCAGGGCCGCCCACACACACCTGCTTCTGTCTCGCGTGCTGCTCTGTCCACCGCCTGGCGTTGCTGAGGAAGGCGGGCTTGTTGTACTTGAACTCCGAGGACTGGGACAGAACCAGAGGAAGGAGTGAGCGGAGGGAGGAGGGACCCGCCGCGGAGGGTCCCGTCAGGGCTCAGCCGTCTCGCTGACGGGGCCCGGGGTCCCGAGGGGAGACGAGGGGACGATGACGAGGACACTTACGATGTCGGCCATGAGCGGGTCGTCCGGGTTGGGCTCGGCCATGAGCAGCTGGATGGAAGCCAGCACCGTGGCGATGCTGAGGGACGGCCGCCAGGCGCCCTGCGCACACAGAGGCCGCGGCTTCGTGACCCGGGGGGGGGGGGGGGGGAGACGGAGGCGCCCACCCTCCCCCTCCACTCACCTTGGGCGGCAACTTGAGGATATCCAGACAGATCCTCCCGGCCGAGTCGATGTTCGGGTGATAGATGGGCGTCAGAAACCGGACCTGCGGAGGCTCAAATGGGTACCTGGGAGAGCGGCGGACGGCAACAGACAGTTTATTAAGATGCTGCCTCTCAGCACATCGCTAACAGCTTCCTGGGGACCCCTGAGGAAGACAGCCTTCGAGAGGCAGGCCTGACCACCCCCACATCTACATTTTTATGACGGAAATTTACCAACGACAGAAAGGAGAAATGACAGCATCTAGTCACGCGTATACCCACCACCTGGATCAGCACGCGTCACCCTCTAAATCCTTCACACGCGGTCACGGTGGGATGAGGATTAAAATCCAGGCCCTCTACCCCTCCTCCCGCGGCTCCCCCATTCCTCCCCCCCCCCCCCCCCCGCCCCGTGTGGCTCTGTCTCCCAGTCCCTGGGCTTCACCTGTACGTAGGTTTAGGATCTGACCCACACTAACCTCTCAGGAACGCTCACTTCCAGCGTGAACACGCCTTTTTCATAAGGCGTGTTGGCCCCTCCTATTATTTCTTAAAAGGAAAAGGAGAAAACCGTTCAGAGGCGGTCGGGTGATCCGAATCACCACCCCACGTGGGCCCGGGATGCCTGTGGCCGCGGCGAGGAGCCGGGTGAAGGACATTCACCTCTCCGCACACAATGCACCACGTACCCCCAAAGCGTCACCCTAAGGAGGCCCAGAGGGTCAAAGGGTGGAAGGTTGTGGGTTCCATTCCCGCTCAGGGCACATACCTAGGTTGCTGGCCCAGGGCACAAAGGAGGCAGTTGATCATTGCTTCTCTCTCTCTTTTTAAATTTTAAATTTTATTTTAAATATTTTTAAGTTGATTTTTTTTTTATCGAGAGGAGAGAGAGAGATAGAGAGCTAGAAACATCGGTGGGAGAGAAACACTGATCAGCTGCCTCCTGCACACCTCCCACTGGGGATGTGCCCGCAACCAATGTATGTGCCCCTGGCCGGAATGGAACCTGGGACCTCTCAGTCCTTAGGCCGACGCTCTATCCACTGAGCCACATTGGTTTCGGCCATTGCTTCTCTCTCTTTCCTTTCCTCTCTCTCAAAATCAATAAACATATCTTCGGGTAAGGGTTAAATAATAATAATAATAATAATAATAATAATAATAAAAGTGGAAAAGGCTGAGCACAGATCCCATATGACCTGCAGGCTGGCCTTGTGCGGCCTGAGGATTCTAATCGTTTCTGTCACTGTCTGGCCTCACAGGTATTTGAGATGCTGCCGATCTTTGGTTTAAACACTGCTTCCCAGCGGATGCCGGGACCTTGGCTACAAACCAGCAAAAGGCATAATAAAGGGCAAAGGAGGAAATGTGCAGCCAGCCTTGGATAAACGTAAACAAGGTAGGGCAGGAAGACGGTGGGCACTCTGACATGGGAGACTGTCCCCCACGTGATCGGAAGGGAAAATGTTCACATCTCAGCGCGGCCTGCAACAGAGACACCTACGCGCTCGCAGGTCACCCATCTGGTCCGTGTCCTGCCAGCAGGTGATGCCAGGAGGCGGTTCGGTGGCCAACAGGCTCAGCTCCCTCTTCAGCCGGGACGCCCTCTGCATGGTCCCCTCGGCCCGAGAGCCCTGCTCCGTCCACTCCGCCGCGTGAAGAGCTGGCGAGGAGAAAAGCTGGGCGACATCGACACCGCTGCCCATCAGCACCGAGCACAGGTGCATGTGACACCTGGAAGCGCGCTGCACAGGCAGGGATGCAGGAGGGAGCCACGCCCTCGCCCCTCCGCCACGCCCACCGACCCACCAGCCACGCCCACAGCGCCTTGACCACGCCCACCGCCCCTCTGCCACGCCCTCCACTACTCGGCCACGCCCACTACCCTCCGCCACGCCCACCGCCCCGGCCCGCCTCCCCGCCTGGTTAACTGGCCCGAGCCAGCGCCTCAGTCCGCCCGCCCGCCCAACCTTCCCTCAGACCGACCGCCCCGACCCCGAAGGCCCCTCCCTGGAGAGAACCCCCACGTCACGCAAGAGCAGCCGCCCCCAGAGCCACCCGGGCCCCCGCCGCGACCCGACACCTGACCCCTCAGCTTCGCGCCAGGCCCACCTACCACGCACCCGCCAGCCGGTCCGCCGCCACCGCGCATGCGCCAGCCGAAGGTGGGCGTCGCCCCGCCTCCCGCCTCCCGCCCGGCGCGGGTCGCGATTGGCCCCCAGTTGGGCGGGGGAGCCGAGCGCGGCCGCCCATTGGCCCGCACGCTGGGGCCGCGGGTTCAACTGGGAGCGCGCGAGGCCGCGAGTTCAGAGGGGGCGCGGGCTGCTGGGAGGCGGTGTCGTGCGGGAGGCCGCTCGGGCTCCTGCTCCGGCTGCCGCTCCGGCTCCCGGGCGGGTGACCGGGCCGGCCGTGTGGTCCGGGTGGAGACAGAGCCGGGAAGCAGCCCTCGGAGCGGCAGGGCGGGGACCGGGCCGACCCGATGGGCGGCGGGGCGGCCCGGACCTTCCCGGGACACGGAGGGCGCGTGGACGTCCAGGATGCGGACCGAGCCCAGCGATGGTTCCGCCGGAGAGAACTCGGAACCGGATGGGAGGAAATCGGGAAGGGGCTCCGAACTGACTTCCAGCTCCGATGCACGGGGTCCTGACCCGGGAGCACCGGTGGACAGCGAAGCCGCCCGGGCGAAGGCTTACCCCTGGCGGATCCCGAGGACCGGTGGATGGGGAATCCCGCCCCCTTCCGCCCCCCTCATCCCCCTGCTCTCGGCTCCCCGTCGGTGGGGGAACAGGGTGCAGGTGCGGGTCAGAGGGTGGCTTCTGCCCTTAGTCCTCCTGGGGGCCCCCAGAGGATATGTGCTCTCGCCTCGATCCCCCCGCACCGCCGCCCAAGGACCCTCATCCTGGGCGTCGGAATGAACCGGCTCCTGTGGCTTTGAATGACAAACCCGGGGAGCCCGGTCCCGTTTGCCTTCCTTCCTTCGGGCCAGGTGGAGGCGTTCTGCACGGAGGAGGTCCACCATCCTGGCCTTGGCTGCTTAGGTTTCAGCAGGTATGCTCTGCTCCCCCCCCCCCCACCTGTGTCCGCTCTGGCTTTCTTCCGGGCCCCCCACCCCCCCAGCTGTCATCGGGTCCCAGTGACAGCTCTGTCTTCCAAACCCAAGTGGGTTTTTTTCTTTTCTTTTTTTTTTCCTGGGAATTCATTTGAATTTAAAGCTGAGGCCCTTCCCACTACCTGGATGTATCTATCCTTCCCAGGATCTTTCCATGGCCAAGGAGTTTGTGTGTAACATGCAATACCGTATGTGTGTGCATGCCCCTCCCCCTCCTCTTGCACATTGGCACCGTGATTAATACACGTTAACGGATTCTATGTGATGATGTTAATAAAACTCTAGATTCAGAACCAGGTATTTTTGTCTAGTTTCCCCCAATAGGAAATAGGAATAATTACTGCCTCTTTTCCACTTCAAAGGGCTGATGTGATTGATCATTAGGGTTCCACGATTCGTTGGTAGGTCAAAACAAGAATAAACTATATGTAAAAAATAAAAATTAAAAAAAAAGTTTAAAAAATTATAAGAAAAAAACACACACAAAAACACAAGAATAAACTACGACTCCCAACATGCCCAATGAGCCTGTCTCGGGTCCGGGAGTCACTTGCAGCTTTGGGGCAAAGGTGACCCCACTGGGTCCCTCCGCGAAGTTAGGGAGCCTCGGTTTCTCGCCCCTTTCCTGATGCATCCAGGGATTTGTAGTTCCTTTTGAGGCCGCAGGGCGTCCTCGGGGGCCGGCCCCGGACTACAAGTCCCATGGTGCCCCGCGGGCGCGGCGCACCTGCGTACTGAAGCCGAGGGCGCGCGCGGGCGGCGCCAGGGGCGGCGGAGTAAAGATGGCGGCGCGCGGGTCCCCGCCTCCCGCTCCCGGCTGACGCGCTCCGGGGGAGGCGGCGGCGGCCACCCGAGCCGCGGCGATCCCGTGCGGCAGTGCGGCCGCGGCCGCCGGCCCGAGCGATGGCCGAGCTGGAGCACCTGGGCGGGAAGCGGGCCGAGTCGGCGCGCGCGCGGCGGGCGGAGCAGCTGCGGCGCTGGCGGGGCTCGGAGACGGAGCAGGAGTCCGCCGAGCGGCAGCCGCGCGCCCGCCGCGGGGCCCCCCGCGTCCGCTTCGAGGACGGCGCGGTGTTCCTGGCCGCCTGCTCCAGCGGGGACACGGACGAGGTGAAGAGGCTGCTGGCCCGAGGCGCCGACATCAACACGGCCAACGTGGACGGCCTGACTGCGCTGCACCAGGTACCGCGCGGGGCGGCGGGGCGGCGGGGCTGCGGGGCTGCGGGTCCCGGGCAGCGGCCGACCGTCCGTCCGTCCGACCGACCGGGCGGCCGACCCTCGAGCCCAGCCTCCGCCCGCCGACCCAGGCCTCCGCCCGGAGGAGCAGGTTCCCGCCGGGACAGGGTTTGGATTTCCCTCCACCTCCTCGGTTGTCATGGTTACTGGAGACTGGGACCGGGCAGGGCTCGCGGCGATTCTCCGCTGGCGGGTCGGGCGCCCGCGCCCCGGCCACCCCGGGCCGGCGGTGCCGCCTGTCAGGTCCCTGGCGGAGAACCCGGCCTCTGCCCGGAGCTGCGGGATCCGGATCTCCATATCGGCCCGGCCGCCCTTGGTGGGTGGTGGTGGTGGTTGAGCGTCGACCTATGATCCCAGGGAGGTCAGGGGGCACATGCCCGCCTTTGGGGGCTCAGTCCCCCAAAGTGTGGGGCGAGCAGGGGGCAGCTGATCCATGATTCTCTCTCTCATCGTGGCTGTTTTTATCCCTCTCTCCTTCCCCCCGTCTCCCTTCCTCTCTGAAATCAATAAAAACGTATTTGGACATTTTATTTTTTTAAAGAGCCCCTATATTGGGTTGGGGAAGCAGGTCTTCTGAACTGGCCCCTCTTCTCCTTTAGCTGATTTGTGATGGTTCAAAACGAGCTTGTCTCCTTCCAGCAGCACCAGCTCCCCATGGCCTGGGCCGCCTGTGGGGAGCCGGCCTCCGGAACCCCTCTCTCCCTTTCTCTCTCTCTCTCTTTTTTTAATAATCCCTCTCTAGGCATCACATACCCTTATATAGCCACGGCGGCGCAGGGTACGTGGAGAAGGTGACACTTGTGTGGTTGATAATGGCCCCTTTCCTGCTGCCATCTTATGCAACACGATTCCGTCTCCGGGACTGTCATCGCTAAGTCCCGCCCCCAGGTGGGACTTCATAGTTATTTTGGGGCGCTGAGCCCTGGGCACCCACTCTTAATCTCTCTTCTTCTTTCTTCTTCTTCGGTCGGTGTACAGTGAACGTGTTGGCGTGAGGATTGACTTCTGAATGATTCAGTCTCGTGTCACCCACTCCCCTCGGGGTTCAGCCAGCAGCTTAGAATCACTTCTCGCCATGCTTGCCGCCCGCCCTTCTCTTCATCCCGTTTGTAGCCTTTTCTCCCCTTCTCATAACAGCGCCCCTCCCTGAGGTAGCAACCAGCACCGTCCAGGCCCTGGTTGTTTGAAATCACTTCTTGTCTTACCTCCTGCAAATCTCAGCCGCCACCCTCAGAAGTAGGTGTGGCAGGTGGTGTTATTATCCCCCCACTCCCTTTTAAAAATATATTTTATTGATTTTTTTACAGAGGAAGGGAAAGAGATAGAGAGCAAGAAACGTCGATGAGAGAGAAACATCAACCAGCTGCCTCTTGCAACCCCCCCCCCCCCCCCCGCACTGGGGATGTGCCCGCAATCAAGGTACATGCCTTTGACCGGAATCGAACCCGGGACCCTTGAGTCCGCAGGCCAATGCTCTAGCCATTGAGCCAAACCGGTTTTGGCTGTTATTCCCCTTTGACAGATGAGGGATCTGAAACTTGGGAAACTGTTACTTGGATTAGAAAGGAGAGAATCAGGTGTAGACTTTTTCAGATTTAAATGCCAGCGCTTTCTATCCTGACAGCTGTGGTTTTAAAGCGACAATAACAGCAAAAACACCGGCAAGTGCCGTACAGCTGGCCCTCCAAATCCTTGGTCCCGAGGGCGGACGAAGGGGCTTGAGCGTTTGCTCTACGAGGGGGGCCTGAACCCAGCCCCCGTAGACCCTGAGGGGGACGGTAGGCCTTCCTCCCGCCTTGCAGGGCTAGCATTGGTGTGAGCAGCATTGACGTGAGCAGGTGCAGTCAATGTGAGACAAATTCAGCTAAAGACGAAGCTTCTGGAAGATTGTAGCTCAGACCTGCCTCTGCTGAGAAGCCATCTCTTTGTCTGAATCAAGAAAGGGGCCTTTGCCGAACCCGGTTTGGCTCAGTGGTAAAGCATTGGTCTGCGGACTGAAAGGTCCCAGGTTCGATTCCGGTCAAGGGCATGGACCTTGGTTGCGGGCACATCCCCAGTAGGGGGTGCGCAAGAGGCAGCTGGTCGATGTTTCTCTCTCATCGACGTTTCTAGCTCTCTATCCCTCTCCCTTCCTCTCTGTGAAAAATCAATAAAATATGTTAAAAAGAAAAAAAAAAAAGAAAAGAAAAGGGGCCTTTATTGGCCGGTCAGTTCCTGCAGTAACGGCATGTGCCCGTGGCCAGAACAAGCTCAGGTCCACACGATTTTCTCCGGGAGTGAGACGAGCCGCCAGCAGCTACACAGCCGGCTCCTCCCTGATCGCCCTCCTGTGAAGTGGACAGTGGCTCAGGGACCGAGTTACCTGGTTAGATACCCGTCTGCTAGACAAGCATGACGCGGATGACCAGGGTAGCTGCGCCTTTCTCCCCCTTCGGCCGTGGCCTCTTGGCCAGCTGTGGATGATCTTTGTGGTGTGTCGGGAGAAACCCCAGGTGCTATCGGGGGACGGCTCTTCTCCTGCGCCCACAGGTGCCTCGGGTCGCCGTGGCGGCGATGCGACTTTTGACTTGGAGACCTTGCTTTCTTGGCAGCCTTTGCTTAGGCCACGAGGCGCCGGAGTCCAAGATAACAGGCTCCAGGGGCCTGTTAATAAAGCTTGAAATAGACGGGAGGAGGGTCCAGAGGGTAGACCTGCTCTGAGGAAAGCCTCCACGCCGGTGCAGACCAACAAAACGGTGAACACATTGAGCTTTGGTGTGTGTGTGTGTGTGTGTGTGTGTGTGCGCGCGTGTGCGCGCGCGCGCGCGCCCTTCGGGTCCCGGAGTCTTAGCACCAATCGGATGCTAAAACCCTGAAAAGCAGTTGTTTGCTCACAGAGGAATTCCCACGTCACCTATGCATATACGTGGTGGGGCACAAAGTGTGGGCAGGCCGATACTTCTTAAAACTTCTTTTCTTTTTATTCATTTATTTTGTAAGGTTGATTCCTGTCACCTGTCTTGGCATCATGAGCTGGGGTGCTTAAGGTCTAGATAGAGGCTCTGAAGACTGTAGCTGCCGAATTACGGGGCCGGGATGAGAGGCAAGTGCGGGGATTTGTTAGAGGGAATGCTGGCTCATTCCCCCAGACCATGCTCTGTGGGCACTGAGGTCCCTGTCCACCCGCAGACCCTGTGTCTAGACCTGTCGGACAGACTCCGTTTGGAGGGGCACCCCGGGACCAGAGGCCTTCTCTCCTTGACGCGGACGTTGGGGTTGGTTTTGCAATGGGCTCAGAGTCCAAGTTTGGATCTCAGGGTCACCCCGACTGGAATTCAACTGCTAGGAGCCTCTGTCACTCTAGAGCCGCCTCGGTCCTCGGGGAGATTAAAATTATCCCTGTCTCTGGAAGGGAAGGAGAAAGGGGCAGATGAGGGAAGGAGAAAACAATCTCTGTTCCGAGGGGCACGGAGGGAGACAGGCGACTGAGATCATGTGTTCAGCCCAGTGCAAAGCAGCATGCCTGTGTGCCAGCCCGTGTGGGAACCTGAAACCCCACATTCCGGCCCTTCTCTCTATTCCCGTCCGTTCCGTCTTCCCGTTACAGGGCTGGCGGCGGGTGGATTCTGCTCAGGGACAGGACCCCAGGCCGAAGCGGGCAGAGAGCTGCCTCGGGGGGGTGTGGGGGTGGGGATGAGAACGTCACCCAGGTTTTTAGTAGTTTGCCTCTTCGGGTTGGTGCGTGTGCTGCGTCAGACCGTGCTGGGTATTTGTAACCTCTGAAAGAATAGCGTTAGTAGGAACCTGTTTTTGAGGGCTTTTGCGGAGATTATATGAAGGGTTTTCCGACTACGCATCATTGTTAGTCTTTCTGTTTTCTCTCGGAAGAGGAAAGAGTAGATCTGCCATCAGTATGCTTATAACTGTAACCCAGGGCCCAGAATACAAGAGAAGGCGCCTGAGAGGTTGTTCCTGGCTCCCTCGGTGGCTTCGTTATCTGTGAGCGGAGGATGTCTGGGCTGTTATCAGGTGGTTTGGACAGACCTGTGAGTGAGCCTGCGTTTCAGACTGTCTGTGAGCTTACTTAGAACTTTGGGTTGTTGTACCCATAAAATTGTATGGGACACATCTTCATGCACTGGCCGGTGTTGTCTGTGGCTGACACAACCTCTGTGGCTGCTTTCACACGAGGCTGTACCAACCTTCGCTCTAAAGCACTGCCCCAGGCTTCTCCGTCTCTCCTGTTAGATAAGATAACGTGGAGCACACGTGCTAATACAGTCCTTGGGTTTACGTGTACTTAGCTTTTTCATACCTGCTAGAGTCTCAGGTGTCCTCAGGTCACCCCTGAGGAGAGGAAGGTCAGTGTGCTTGCTGCCTCCCCTCTGGGGGACGGGCTGTGGAAAGATTGGATGCGCTGACGTGCGTCCCTCTCTCCTGTACAGTATCTTGTAACGTCCCTGCTCTGGCTGAGGTGTGCCCTCTACCCCTGTCCTACATGGACCGCTGCTCAGCGCGGGCCCCAGGCCACGGCATCAGAGAGACAGTTGAGACGGATGGGAGATCAGGTGACACGCTCTCCTGCACCGATCTGCTCCGGCGTCCCCGCGCTCAGCACTCACGTCCCCCTCGGAGGACGGGCCTTCTCATTCCCAAGGCCGCGGCCCAGGATCCATAGAGGCCGGGGACAGCTGCGGGGCGGGCTGTGCGCGGACCCCAGGCTCCCTCAGGATGCCTAACTTGGGAAGGGTGCAGGCAGCACAGCCACTCGCTGCTCAGTGGTGGTTCCTGGGTGGGGGTCACTGAGGTTGGAGAGGAATGAGCTCAGATGGGGACGGACGAGATGGGGACGGACGAGATGGTGCCGTCCCTGTGGGCAGAACGTGTTCTGGTCCACCAGCGTCCGAAGCTCTTACCCCTCTCGGGCATTCTGATGAGCCCCCGTCCCTCCCACTCGGGCCTCCCGCCCTCACCTCTGCCATGGCTCCGCGCCAGCGCCTGGCCTCTGGACCTCACCCCAGCCCGGTGCCACTTCCTGAGCGGTGTCCCTGTCACCGCTCCCGCCAGCAGCCCGGCTCATGTTCCCTGCAGCTGTCATTCCGAGACGCAGTCCCGACGCGAAGCCTCAGGATAAGGGACACGGGCCTTCACTGCGGCCACCCCGTCGCCTCATCCTTCCATTCCGGGGCCACGGAAGCCGTGGTCAAGTGTCATGTATGTCCCGCCATGTCTGAGTAGGACCGCCCTCTCCACGGGACAGCGGTTTGCCCCCAGAGCCAGTTTGGCAGCAGAGTGGACCTTGGGGGCTGTGGCTCAGACAGGGAATCAGGCTGCACGAAGGCTCCGTCCAGGCTCACGCCGATCAGCAAAGGGCAGCCAGAGCGCTCGCTTGTCGTGGCTTGTGCTCTGCAGTTAGTCTGTCCGAGTGGCCAGCTCCGAGCAGCCAATTGGGACATTCCTCCTGGGAGGTCATTGGGGAGCTGGGCTAATGTCAGTGCCCCCTATGGATGCTGAAGCGAAATTATTTTTAGGAAGAGAGTATCAGGAACCAGAAATGTCCCACGAGCCAGGTGGCAGCCTGCGCCTGGCCTCAGCGCGCGCTGGGTGCCTCCGAGTTGGCCGTGGAAAGCACACGAGTGGTGAGCTCTGGATCCGTGTCCCCACAGGAGCCAGTTAGCTCCTCGGCCTCTCTCTCCGCCTGTAAAAGGAGAAGTCCCAACGCTATTGCTGCAGCCACCACACTCTCCCTGCTTCTCACAGCTTTGTGGTAGCACAGTTTTAGCAAGAAGCCTCTTCTGATGGCGTCATTCTGTCACTGAGGTACCTCGCTCACAGTGCAGACTGGGTAAGGGGTCGCTGCTGCCAGGGCCCTCTCAGTGTGACAGGGACCCAAGAGAAATGCATGCTGGGGCTTTACCACCATTACCAGGCCTCAGAATGATGTGAGGACAGAGGCGGGTGCGGAGGCTAGAACTGTGAAACCAGTGGGAGAACTGTGAGCCGTCCGGAGGGAGGGTAGGCCTGCGAGGTCGTGCCTCTCGGCGGCCCCCAAGGAAGGGAGGGGATAATTAATTCTGACCGCTTGTTAGTTGGCAAAGAAGCGTGAACCTGCTGCGGGTTTCATTTCTGCAGGAGCAAGGCGAGGTGACTTCTCCCAATGCCAGGGGCTCAGTGTCCGTGGCTCCTGCGAACCCACGTGGTGGCTTACAACCGCAGCCCTGTGCTGGCTGGAGCCCAGGAGCCTGCGTCTGACATCGAGCTCCTGACGGGCCGTCCTCTGGAGCCCGGGAGGCGGTGTTCTCCGCCTCTTCCGCTCTGGGGCCCGTCGGCCGCCGCCTCTTCTGCTGTGTCAGCCCCTTCACCCCCGTCTGTCTCTTAGAAGACGCTCGTCACTGGGCCCACTTAGGTAATCCAGGATGTGGCCATCTCAGGATGCTTCTTATATCTGCAAAGACCCCTTTCCACCTCGGTCCCTGCACAGGCTCGGGGGTTGGGACATGGACCTGTTTGGGCCTCATCCAGTGCACTCTGGCAGAGAAGGTTGATGCATGGGCGTGTCCGGGGCAGCTATGTGCAGGTGGGGGGCAGCCTTGTGCAGCACCCCCTGGCCAGCCACCTCCATGTGCTGCACAGGTCTGGGCGGGTCTGCCTGCAGCTTGCAGGGAAGTCTGGGCGATCCTGGATGATCTGGGCGATCAGCCGAATGTGCAGAAAATGTGCCTCCTGTGCCTTCAAAACCCATCTCTGATTCATCAAACGTTGGTGCCCAGTGCTGTTCTCGGTGCTGAACTGCCAGGGAATAGACACCCAGCGCGACTGGGAAACTGAGCCTTCCGGGGTATGGTGTGTGGCTGCTAACGAGATAAATTATGGTCTTTACTGTTATCTCTAAGCATTAGGATTTTCAGCATAAAGTTAAATTGTGTAATTTCGGGGATTATACAAATTTTAAATTGCTGAAGTTACGTATGCTGTTATTTCTGAGTTACATAAGGGTTAGGAGGATGTAGGACAGAGGAGTGGAAGGTGTGGAATGGGGGTTCATTCCGAGCATCATCGCCACCCAGCACGGTATCCCCCAACCCTGTATCACCCAGCACTGTATCTCACACACGCACGCACGCAGTGTGTCGCCTGCCTGGCGCCCGGAGCAGGGCTCTGTGGCCAAGGAAGGGAGTCGCAGCGGATTGGAGCCCCAGCAGCAAGGTCAGCGCCGGGAGCCGGGGAGCGGAGGCGGTGACAGTGCGGCTATTTTGGGAGTGGAGGAGCGCGGTGTCATGGGCCTGCTCCGCAGTCCCAGGGTGAACTCTGGCCCCGGCAGCCGGCACCACGGTGCTTTGGCACAGAGCACGTCGGCACAGTGGCAGCCATGGCGCTCTGCCCCCGTGTTTCCCGAAATCCAGTGTTTCCCTTGGAGATGGCTGGTCATTGCCAAGGAAATGTGGCATGCTCGCTGAGCAAGCCTCGCCCTGCTACCTGGCAGTGTCTGGACATTAATGAGTTCCGCAGCCAGGCAGCTGTGCTTGCTTTCTTACCGTAGAACAAGCTGTTCCTTCACCGCAGCAGGAAGTGGACGTGACACAGCAGAGGGGATGGGTTAATTAATGTACAGAATAATGTCCTGTTGATGCCCGGAGGGGCATCAGACCCTCGAGTAGCTGCCTCTGCTGGCGGGGAGCGGAGAGACCCGTCCACCTGGTGGTCAGTGCAGCTCTGCAGGGGCAGGTGCGGGGCCATTGCCCTGGTCACAGCGTTCCGGGCGAGGCCCGGTGTCCCCCCATGCTGTGTCTTGGGGGGCTGGCACACTGCTTGGGGTTTTCAGGGCTGTCCCGCTCTCCCCCATGGCTTCATCTAGCTCCTTCCGAAGGCAGCAGGAGAAGGGAACGGTGCCGCCAGCACCTCTGGAAGCCCCTTTTCCAGATCCTTCTCTGTCCTTGAAGGCGATGGCAGCGTGGCCACGGGCCTAATGGGAGCCAGCGCCGGCCGCGTGAACGATGCTTCCTTTCGCAGGCCTGCATCGACGAGAACTTCGACATGGTGAAGTTCCTGGTGGAGAGCAGGGCCGACGTGAACCAGCAGGACAATGAGGGCTGGACGCCCCTGCACGCGGCGGCGTCCTGCGGCTACCTGAACATCGCCGAGTGAGTGCTCCCCGAGGAGCTGGCGCCCCTCCTCGGTCATACAGGCCTGTCATCGGCGAGCGAGGAGGGCAAGGGGCTGTTTTCTCCAGGAAATGTATGGGGCTAATGGGTACTTCTGAGCCTCCCGGTAACTACTATATGAGGGTTCTCGGGGGTAAACTAAATATTACTTCAGAGGCTGATGCTTACTCTCATTCAGGTTTAAGTGTGAAACTAAAGAGGTTTTCATTTTTTATTTTAAAAAATGATTTGGGCCCTGGCTGGTGTGGCTCAAGGGTTAGAGCGCCGGCCTATGGACTGAAGGGTCTGGGGTTCAATTCCTGGTCTAGGGCACGTGCCTCAGCTGTAGGTTCAATCCCTGTCCCTGGGGCATGAGGCAGCCAACTGATGTCTCTCTCTCTCTGGTCGATGTTTCTCACAGCCCAGAGGGAGGGGAAGTGTAGGCAGAGGAAGGTAGGCAGAGGGCGGGACTAAGGGAGCAGGGAGGGCCTTCCGCTGGTGAGAGCAGCAGAAGCCTTAGGAGCCAGTGCCTTGCATATGACAGTCACGTTTCCTGACGTGCTGGAGGGTGATGTCTAACATAGATGGTGTTCTTCCCCCTTTAAAAATGCTCGTGAGCGGTGTAGAGCTCTGAGCATCATGGGGATTCTCCCTAGCCCAAGAGCACCTGATCTTGTGAAAGATGAACTAGACCTGAAGTCACGTGACAGGAGCCATAACCTCGGCCCCTCGCTGCCTCTGTGACCCTAAGGGAATCGATGGGCGCGTGAGAGCCCAGTTTCTTACACAGACCTCGATCCGCATCGAGTCTCGCCATGAGGGTAAAAGCATGAGTGACTGATGGCGTTAACGCTGGTCTCGTCTGCACAGGTACTTCCTCAGCCACGGCGCCAGCGTGAGCATCGTCAACAGCGAAGGGGAGGTGCCCTCTGACCTGGCGGAGGAGGCGGCCATGAAGGACCTTCTTCTGGAGCAAGTGAAGAAGCAAGGTAACGGGCTGACACAGCACCCAGGGACGGGCCACCTGTGTGCACAGAGTTCGTCCAGGGACCGCGTCCACCCTCAGCTCAGCACGGGCGTCAGAAGTTGGCCAGGATGCACTGGCTTTGTGGACGTGGCTCGTGGTGCCTTTCCCTCTTCCTGTTACACGGCCGCCACGGGGTCTGTGCTCCTTCCCTGGCGGAGCGCACGCCTTTCCCGGCGTGACCCCAGGAGAGGCCAGCGCTGGCCCTCCACATGTGTGCAGACTGCCCACAGCCGAGCGTGTGTCATGCCGGCCCTGAGAGAACATGTGGGACCGGGTCCCAGGGCCGTGGCGTGAGCTCTCACTGCCTCCTGTGTAGCTGTGTCCGTGCACTGAGGAGGCGATGCTGAGTCCTCGCCCGGATTGGCTCTCGGAGCCTGGTGGCGGCTCTGATGTGCCCTGTGGCCTTTCGGTGTCTGTTCCCTCGTCTGTTCCAGGGGGAGGTGTCTGTTATTTTTACCCCAGAGGATGCTGGGGAATGGAAATGCTGTCCATGCAGAGGACTCTGACAGGGATGTTCTGCACAGACCCTAACAGACACAGCAGCCCCTCTGGTCTTGGTGTGCGTGGGCTGAAGACCGCTTGGGTGTGCCCCCCACGGGCCCGCCACCACACCGCGTTCCTGACGCTGTCCCCCCGACAAAGCTGCTGCCGCCTCACGCTTGCCATTGCTCTGTAGACGGAGGTGGCTTGTGGGTGCCGCCTGTGGCTACCCGTTGCCTGTGGGAGGCGGAGGACGTGTTTGAGCCTAAGGGGGAGTGGCCGTGGTAACACCGGCGTCCGTGTGGCTCCCACAGGGGTGGACCTGGAGCAGGCGCGGAAGGAGGAGGAGCAGCAGATGCTGCAGGACGCGAGGCAGTGGCTCAACAGCGGGAAGATCAAGGACACCCGGCAGGCTCGCTCGGGGGCCACCGCCCTGCACGTGGCCGCCGCCAAGGGCTACTCCGAGGTGCTCAGGTACGTCAGCCCCAGCGGCCACGGGCGGGAGGTGGGGACGAGAGAGACAGGCCTGGGCCGTGGAGGATGAGCGTTCCAAGGTGGGGTTTCTCTGTGTGGCCCCCTGACCTGCGGTCATTACGTTTGCTGATGTTCACCGTGGACACCCAGCCCCACCGTCCCCTTGCTTCTCACGGCCTGTGAGACCAGAGCCTGACGCGCTGTCACACGTCACGCGGGACAGATTTGAGGCTGTTTGGTCTGCTGGACACAGTTTCTCTGGTCTGTGATACAATCCGGAGTGTGCGTGTCCAGCTGCAGCCGATGGACGTCCGTCTGGACGGAAGTGGGGTGCACAGGTCGTGTGGTTTCTCCCAGGCTGCTGATTCAGGCTGGCTACGACCTGGACGTGCAGGACCACGACGGCTGGACGCCCCTCCACGCCGCCGCGCACTGGGGCGTGAAGGAGGCCTGCTCCATCCTGGCCGAGGCCCTCTGCAACATGGACGTCAGGAATAAGCTGGTGAGTCGGCCGGGAGACTGCGCCGGAGTCTGGCCAGGGGCGTGGAGGCGCGTCTCCATGGCCATTATCAGCCCGGGGGTTTGCTGAGCCTGAAGCTCCAGCGGCCGCCTTCTGCTTCCACTGAAACAAGCAAGCAGGAGTTTGGTTGAAGTAATGCTGCTCGCTTTCCTAAGTCTGCAGAACGTTAGGAATTTCCTGGCCATCCAGAGGCACGGCCCTTAGAGAGTGGGTGCCTGCTGCCTCCCCGTCTCAGATCTGGCCTGTTCTCTGGTGGGGTTTGGTCCTTGCTGTGCTGGTGTTGTCTGGAGGGGTCATGGCGTTAGGGGCCAGGCCAGGCCTCCTGAGGCTTTAGAGAGCCCTCCTGGAGCTTGTCGTGCAATCAGAGCGCTCAGGAGCAGTCCAGGCAGAGGCAGGAAGTGTCCGGATGAGGTGGGCTCTCCTCGCTCTGTTTACAGAGCGTGAGCTCTCTCCACAGGGCTTGCTGTTTCTCTGTGATAACGCAGGCCTGGTCGTAACGTAGAGCCGTGCGTGAGGGAAGCCGCTGGTGCTGGACGCAGAGATGGCTCTGGTGGAGTCTCGGGATCACGCCTGTGTTTCCTCCTGGTCACGGTACCCTCTCTCTGCCAGGGCCAGACGCCGTTCGATGTGGCTGACGAGGGCATCGTGGAGCACCTGGAGATGCTCCAGAAGCAGCAGAGCGTGGTGAGTCCCCAGGGTGCTGAGAGGGTCGGGGAGGGGGCGTGCTGAGAGGGTCTGGGAGATGCTGACAGGGTCCGGGAGATGCTGACAGTCCGGGGGATGCTGACAGGATCCGGGGGATGCTGATGGTCCGGGGGATGCTGACAGTCCGGGGGATGCTGACAGTCCGGGGATGCTGACAGGGTCGGGGGGTGCTGAGAGGGTCTGGGGGGATGCTGAGAGGGTCGGACAGACTAGTGGTTAGCCTTGGGTTCTGGAGAACAAATGTGGTTTATTCAGTTCCCTCCTTCCCTTTGGGGTGTTGGTCTGGTCTTCAGGATGACAGGGCTTTTCTCACTTTGCAGCTTCGAAGTGAAAAGGAGACGCGGAATAAGCTCATTGAGTCGGACCTGAACAGCAGATTGCGGGGTGGACTCCTTAAGAAGTAAGCTGTTGGGAGCCCGTGGGAGGGACACACTAGTGTGAGGATTTGCACAATAAGGAAACTTTGATTGTACCCAGTGACTTTTGTACATGGGGAACGTTTGAGGGCAGGGAGGGGTGTTGATCTGTGGGGAGACGCTGAGGGTGGGGGAATGAGTCCACATTGGACAGCATTTCTTGGTCCAGGTCCCAACCACCACTCCGATGGGCGGTTCCGTGAACTCAGGGACCACCACCCCCAGAGCCAGCAGGCCGCCCGGCCTCCTAAGCACTGAGCAACTTGTTAAATGGTTTTGTTTATCTGCCCGGCAGGACCCAGGCCCATGGCCTCTTTTCTCTGTGTGAACGGCTAGAGCTAAGTCACCCTCCACCGCCAACCAGTAAACTTCCGAGTGTCCAACAGGCCAGGGCGCGGGGCGCGAGCAGAGGAGGGTCCGAATGCCTTCCTGCTGCTGTGACCCAGCTCCTCCTCGCTCTCCCGATCCCTGTGAGTGTGCTCACAAGTGACACTCAGACTGTCTCTGTGGTTTAGCAAAGAGAAGATGCTCTATGGGGAGGAGACACCCAAGTCCCACAACACGGAGGAGGAAAACAAGGAGTCCAGCAGCTCCAGCTCGGAGGAGGAGGAGGGCGAAGATGACGCGTCCGAGTCTGAGACTGAGAAGGAGGCAGGTAATGCAGATGCTCCTGCCCGGGCCCTGTGTCCCAGTGCGATCGTGCCCGTCCATCCGACGGAGAGCCGGAGCCTCAGACAGGGTGGGGAGGGGGCCGAGGTGTCCCTCTGCTAGTGAGAACGCTGTGGTGAAGGCAGTGAGCTGAGTTAGAGCGGCCGTCCTGTCGTCACGGGACCAGGTGCCCAAAAAAGTCCTGGTTGAGGGCCACCTCTCCGACGCTGGCTCTCGGGGGGCTCACCTGGTTGGTGCCTCCTGTGACCGTCCCGTGGGGAGACCCGTGGATGAAGGGGAGCTGGGCAAAGGCAGCAGCTGCTAGAGATTTCGCCAGTTTGAGGCCAAGCATGCCTAGCTCTAGTCCAGGCAACAGGTAAACGTGTTCTGTGGCAGGGAGGCACATGCATGAAGATGAGATTGTCACACGTGCACTTGTGCTTCATGTCTTAAGCCACAGATCAGAAGCCAGAGGCCGTTGTCAACCATTCCAGCTCGGAAAGCAAGGGCCACATCCTGGAGCAGACACCAGCCCCCACTCAGAACACCTCCTCTGTCTCCTCAGCCAGGAGGGTGAGAATCGGGGTTAATTTGGATATTATGTTTCCCCTGGCTGCAGTAACATACACGGAGAAAGGCCTTAAGAGTACATTGTTGCAAAGACAATAAAGATACATGGCTGCTCTAACAAAATAGCCAGATTGGACGCCTTTAAAACAGTGGTGATTTATCTCTCAGTTCTGGAGGCAGGAAGCCCAAGGTCAGGGTGCCAGCAGATTCGGTTCCTGGTGAGGACGCCTTTCTGGCTCAAAAATGCCCCCTTATCTCGGGTGTCCGAGCTCTGGAGACAGGAGTGAGTCTGTTTTGTCAAAGCAGCCCCGTCGGGGCAGGGTGCTGAGAGCCTGAGGCTCTTTCTGGCTCAGGGACCAAGGCAGCCTCAGGGGAGCGTGGTGTCAGGAGGCGAGGGCAGGGCCCGGGCCCAGAGCCCGTGGGCCTCCTGGACTCCAGGTGCAGAGGCAAGCAGCCTTTCTTCCCGTTCCTTCCCCGGTAGCTCGCCAGCCTTTTTAACAAGCTGGAGGAGCCCAAAGACGAGTCTCCTTCCTCATGGCGCCTGGGACTGAGGAAGACGGGCAGCCACAACACGCTGAGTGCCGTGGCCGACACCCGGGAGGCTGCAAGAGACCGGGGCTCCGCCCTCTCCCGCTCGGCGTCCAGCCCTCGCATCTCCGCTCTGCTGGACAACAGAGACAAGGTACACCCGCCCGGGCAGCCGGCTCCCGGGGCAGCGGCTCAGGCTCCCACGGAGGAACGGCTCAGCATCCGCTTCCTCCTCCGTGTGGTCTGGCCGGCTCCGCAGGCCGCTCCTGGGCAACGGCCATGAGCACGCTCCCTCTCACAGGTGGTCCAGCCCCTGGCCCGGCCCTCGGAGCCCGGCCCTCCGCTCGGGCTGGAATTGGACAGACAGCCCTTTTGTCTCAGCTGCTGCGCGTGGTGCGAGCAGCTCTCCCCTGTCCCATCGTCCCGGCTTCCCCAGCAGAATCCTCCCCTGGCGTGGGTTTTACACGGAGGGGCCTTGGGATAAGCCTGTGAGAGCTAACCCTGGGACACGCCCGGCTGCACTGGGCCTGCGCTGGGATGAAGTGGGGCGCCGAGAGGGTCAGTTCATCCCGAGGGTCATTCCTGCGTTCGTGCTGCGTCGGCCTGTGTGTCACCGTCTTGCTTTGCAGGAGAGGGAGAGCAGAAGCTACCTCAGCTCCCTGGCGGCCCGGAGGCTCAGCAGCACGAGCGACGCCGAGGAGAAGGAGAACAGGTAACGCGAGGCTGGGCCCCCCACCTGCCAGGCTCCTCGGGCGCTGCACGCGCGGCCGGGGCTGCGCCTTCCCAGGCGCCCTCCCTTCACCCGGCCGCCCCAGGGCAGCACAGCAGGATTTCTGTCACTGCGTGGATCAGCTCCAGTGTGTGGGCAGGAAGTCTCCGTCCTCCTCAGTGACAGTGAGGCGCCTCTGAGTCTCAGGGGACCCTGTCCTGGAACCTCTCGGTGTGGTCTTCCCGGGCATCCCGGCACATGTCAGAGACGCAGATTCGGCTCCCACACCCACTGACCTGGAAGCTCCGTCCCAACAGGAGTCCTTCCTGTGCCGGAAGCCCCGGGCGACTCGGCTGCGGAGCCTGGGAGGGCACCGGAGACTTGGCTCTTGTAGAAAGGCCAGAGGTATCGTGGGTCAGCACCGAGCCACAGCCCTCTGGCACGGCTCCCTGGCGATGCCAGTGCGGCACAGCCGGCCCTGCTCTTTCCTCTCTCCCTGCGACCTCTCCCTCCTCTGTCCCCTCCTCGGCCCCCTCCGCGGCCTCCTGCTGGGACGGGCTGGCAGAGTCCTCCTGAGGAGAGGGTGAGGGGCCTCGGCCAGGGCTTGGCCGAGGGGTGGGGTTTGAAGTTGTGAAGGGGCAGCAGGCGTGGCTCTCGCCCTCTGCACGGAGCACAGCACAGACGAGGGGCGACCCTGCTGCTCCCGCCCACAGCCGCGACAGGCCCTTCCTCGCGTGCGGGTCCCGGGCAGGAGCCGGCGGTGTGCGCCACTCGCTCTGGCTTCTTCCTGCCGCAGAGAATCGGCTGTGAACCTGGTGAGGAGCGGCTCGTACACGCGGCAGCTGCGGAGGGACGAAGCCAAGGGGAGCGAGACGCCGCCAACCACGGCCCCTTCCACCTACGTGTCCACCTACCTGAAGAGGTACCAGGCCCGGGGGTGGGAGGCGGGCTCTCTGGCCACAGGCGTGTGGGCCGTAACCGCAAGTCTTAGACCAGCACCGCACACACGAGTGCGGACAGGAGTTACTGCAGGTGTTGTGGGAGAAACGTTTGACTAATTTGAAATTAAAACTAGTTAATTGTCTTGGCTGAATTAAAGTAAGCCAATTCTAAGATAGATAAATAAATAAACAAACAAACAAACAAATAAATAAAACAAAGTAGGCCAATTCCAAAGTCTCACACGGACAGGCCTGAACTCACACTCTGCCCTCGGGTCCTGTTAAGTCGCCCGGAAGTGCCCGGGGCTCTGAGCGGGCCCGGCCGGCTGGGCCGTGTGAAGCGGCAGCCACGCTGTCTCCGGTGGTTTTGAGGTTTGGAGGGTGGAGGGCGGGGCAGGTTTGCTTTGCAGCAAAGACGTTTCCCGTTGAAGCCTGTGGATGAAGGGACCTGAGTTGTTGTTTTCCTTTTATGACCGAATGGCCCTCAGACCCATCGGGATGTGAGACTCCAGGCTTGGTGCAGAGAAGGTACATGGGCTCCTCCCCTCTCGTCTGTTTCCTTCTCTGCCTGGTTTCTCTGCCCTGTGCCGGCAGCAAGCCCTTGCCAGAGCCCTCGAGCTCTAAGATCTCCTCCATTCGTGTTTCACTCTGGACTTGGCTGCTGACTGGGGGAATCTGACACTCTTGCTTACTCTGAATCTCTCCCCCCGCCCCCCCCCCCCACACACACCTCGGCTGCCTCTGCGTGCTGCGACCCTCGCCGGCAGGTGGAGTAGGTGATGGATGGATGGGCACCCAGACACAGGCTTGGACCTGACACTATGTCGGGGTCAGACTTGGCTTGGTTGGGAGTGTCCGCTCGGCAGTGTCAGGACACGAGCGGTAGATGAGCACATGTGAGAGCCCTGCGAGGAGCAGCCGGTGCTGGTCCCGGCACTGGTCCCGGCGCTGCCACCGCACAGACTCCCGCCCCCAGCGCCCTGAGGCCGCGCCTCTGTCTTCACGGCGGAGGTGTCAGTCTGGCGAGACACGTCCGCCCTCATTGTTGCTCGCGTGGTCCCAGGGGACTGTTGTGAGAGAACAGTGCGGGCCGCGGGGAGAGGAAGCTGCAGTGTGGGGGGCTGGTGCTCACGATCCAGGTCTTGGGCCCAGGCCGAGTGACAGCACGGTCTGAGCAAGGTCGGAGGGCAGGCGGGGGCGGAGGAGAAAGGGCGCCCCGGGGTGGGAGGCAGCTTCCTGCCGGGAGCACGTGCCGAGAAGACCGAGGACGTGCTTCTCATTTGGGGTGTCAGAGCTCTTCTCCTCCAACCCGGAAGGCCGTTCTGGTTTTACAAAACCTTAGGATCTTTTAAGAAGGGAAGGATCTTGCCCCCTCTCTGTTCGAAGAGCAGGTGAGAGCAGACGCTGGCCTGGTTGTGCCAGCTCAGCACCGTGCAGCTCGAATCGCCCGTCTTCAGGCAGAAAGCCCTTCTCATGGTGCAGACAGCGCGCCTTGAGGCTCAGTGGCCTTCGGGCTCAGTGGCCTTGAGGCTCAGTGGCCTTCGGGCTCAGTGGCCTTCGGGCTCAGTGGCCTTGGGGCTCAGTGGCCTTCGGGCTCAGTGGCCTTGGGGCTCAGTGGCCTTCGGGCTCAGTGGCCTTGGGGCTCAGTGGCCTTGGGGCTCAGTGGCCTTGGGGCTCAGTGGCCTTGGGGCTCAGTGGCCTTGAGGCTCAGTGGCCTTCGGGCTCAGTGGCCTTGGGGCTCAGTGGCCTTGGGGCTCAGTGGCCTTGGGGCTCAGTGGCCTTGAGGCCCAGTGGCCTTCGGGCTCAGTGGCCTTCGGGCTCAGGAGCCTTTGGGCTCAGTGGCCTTTTGGCTCAGTAGTGTTGTTGGGTCGCCCCCTTGAGTGCCATCCCCGCACAGACAGAAAGGCTAAGTGGTGACCAGACCAGTGCCGCCATCGGTGGTTCTCCTCCCGCTCACAGACCAGCCTGGGTCGCCCACACGGGTTCTAGACTCACAGTTGGAACCACCAGCGGGGCTTGGCCACAGCCCTGGAGGTGACCACTCTCTCGTCTGCCTTCTCTCTCCAGCTCTCCAGGCTCTCGGCCTCACTCAGCTTCTCGGAGCTGCTTCTGCAACAGGCGGACGGGGCGGGGCATGGCCTGTGGGCTCGGGTGGGTTGGGAATTGGGTTTTTCTAACAAAATGATTTCTCCTCTGTTCCTTCCTTTCTGGACCTCACCCTACCGTGTTCTCTCTCTGGCTGCACACGGCCTGTCCCTCCTTGGGTGACTGGCAGGCGCCTGCTTGCTGCCAGTGGCCAGCGCTGGCCGGTCGGTCCTTCCTCTCCCCGAGCCGCGCCTCTGTCCTGCCTGCCTGTGGTGACGGGGAGGAGGTGCTGGGCCGCGGGGGCGGCCCGTCCTGAGGAACGCGATGTGTGTGTTTTTCAGTGCTTCCCTTGGTAGGCGTAGTGGCCCCACACGTCCCTCCTTTCAGCCAATCGCAGTTCATCTCCTGCCGCCTCGCCGGTACCGTGGGCCTCACCTGTCGGGCAGCAGGTGGCGCCTGCCTCTCCCGGCCCCGCGCCCGGCAGTGTGGACACTGCGCCTGCGCCCACCGCAGGTAAGGCTTCCGGAGCCACTCGGTCACGTCATCACGGCAGACGCCTCTGGATGCGCGGGAGGCGGGCCAAAGAGGCCTGTCCCTCGGACGCAGCGTGAACCGTGACGGCCGCCACTCAGAGGCTGCCTTGCTGTGACTCACCTACCAGCCAGCGGCCTGTTGAACAGTCGCCGCCGTGTGCTCTTGGCTGGGGTTCGGCACCCACGGACTGACTGCTTCCACCTCATCACCCACCAGGCGTGGCTGCAGCTAAGGGCCCTGCGCTGGGTAAATCTCACACCGAACCCCACGTCCTGACTTCCAGGCTTAGGAGGGTCTCCTCCGCTCCCTTCCTGCGAGGTGGCGTCCTCACAGGCCAGCAGCGCGCGCTCTCATTGCAAAAGGCCCGCAGCCTCCCACCATCCCGGCCAGCGAGCTGCTGGAAACTCCGCGGGAAGGGAGGTGTGTGGTCGGAACGAGAGGGGGTGGCGTCCTGGGTTCTGGGTCGTCTGAGGGCAGCGGACAGGCCTCTGAGAGCACGGAGGACCTCGGCATGGCTGTGCCGGGGGTCAGCCACTGGTCCGGACCCTGTGAGCTTCTGGTCTGGCGGAGGGACTCCTTCTGGGGTCTCGTTTCTCCAGCCGACACAGGACGGGTATTAGTGTCGGCCTTGCTGCTCGGGGCACACCGCTGGTGCGTGACGGGCACCGTCAGCGACCAGCTTCTCCCCCTAAAATAAGCGGGGCCATCGTTTGCCAGGAGGGCGGGCTTATGACGGTGATCTGAACAGCCCTGCGCCGTCATGGAGACGCTTAGTGGGCCGAGGAAGAAGCGGGGACGTGGGGGGACTTGTAACAGGCCCATTGCTGCCCCCTCGTCCCCTGGCTGTGTCAGTGAGGGGGCGGGCACTAGCCCACAGGCACAGGTGTCACTCGGCGGTGAAGAGCCCTCGTTCGGAAAGGTCTCGCTTCATAGAGGGGGAGGACAGAGACCGAAGCCCACTCGTCTGCCCAGTCACAGCGAGGCGGGGCCTGCGCCCAGTCTGTCCGTCTCGGGACCTGTCTGCTTGTCCGTATGTTTCCGCGGAGATCTTATCCCGGGCCCCGTCCCGGGCGTCTGCACACAGGGTTTCATTGGAGCGTCACGTGACCCCTGCGTGTGAAGGTACAGGTGACGATCAGAGGCTTGTGTTGGCAGAGATTTAGCCCAAGTTGCCCCAAGGCCTCTGGTCCTCCCTCTGGGCTGGGCGCTCAGAGTAGCAGCGGGCGTTCCAGTCCGCGGTGCGACGCGGTGAGGCCCGTGGCGGCTCTGCGGCTCAGAGGAGGGAGCCGCACGGGGCCGACCGGGACGGTCCGTGTGCTCACAGCCTCCCCTCGGACTTCTTGGCACCTCCTCAGGCGGCTCGGGGGCGGAGGGCTGGCCTGCCTCCGCGTGCTGCCTGGGTCTCCGGTGCCACCCGAGAGCTGTCTGCTCTGTCTGCGTCGAGGGGCCGTGGGAGACCGTAGAGTCTGGTGGTGGTTTTGCGTTCATTCTGATCCTGTGACTGTCGGGAAGTGAGCGGGTAGCTGGTCATCAGCATTCCCGGTCACCGGAGGAGGCGGGAACAGAACAGCCCTCAGCTCCCTGATGCCCGTGCTTTATCTGTCCGTGAGAGTCCGTTACCCCAGCAGCGAGCTGTGACATCAGCGCTGGCAGTTTAGGGGGGGAGCCCGGGCCGGGACTCGCTCTATGCGAGAAGCAGAGATCGCGGTCTGTGTAAGTGGCTGGCATCGCAGGCTTGTGCACCCGGAGCCTGCTCGCTTGTTCTGCTCTCAGTGCAGGGTGGGCAGGCAGGCAGCACCTGGCTACTGGGAAGAGCGCAGCTGCTGAGCCGGGCCGGGAGGTGGCCGTCCTGGGCTGCAGGTGGCACAGCCCACAGCGTTGTCCCCGTCCGGGAAGGGGGGGAGGGGGCTCAGGCAGAGGTAGCAGGCGCCTCTGCACAGCCGAGGGGACGTCCCCGTCCAGGCTGAGGGACGCGGGGCTGGAGGAGTCGAGTGAGGGTCACAGAGTCATGTCCGGGGGGGGGGTTGGCCATCTCTGCGTGTGGGGACCAAGTGGTGTGAGGGTCATTAAAGCCCCTGCCCCAGCTCTGCTTTGCCGGCTGCCAGAACTGGTTTTTGTTTTTAAATTTAATCTCAAGCAAAAAAATTTTTTCATAAAACATCCCTCCTCGGCAGAGGCGGTCCGTCCGAATTGCTCCCACTGTCCCAAGACCGAAGGGCTCAGAGTTGAAAACCCACAGAGGCAGGATCCGAGCTAGAAGCTGCTCGGCGCAGCCTGTCTCGCGCCCCATCTCTGGTTGTGGCGCCCCGCCTGACCGTCCTCTGCCGTCCCTCTGGTTTCAGGACTCCTCACAGGTCCCTGGCCGACTCCACAGCCGAGAAAGCAGACGGCGGCTCACCCAGCACCCCTCTGTGTGTGATCACCAACCGCCCCCCGCCCAGCACTGCCAACGGGGTCACCAGTGCCTCTCTGCTGTCCACGCCTGGGACGGACTCCTCCGCGGAAGCCAGGGAGAGACGGAGGTGCGTCCGGGCTGGGGTGGGGGGTAGGACGTCTCCCCCGGTCTCAGCATGTTTATGGAAGCGGGTCTTTACATTGCAGTTTGGGTCTTGGATTTGCCAGGAGGTTTTCGGTGGAGATCTGCATTGTTTCTGAAATTTCAGAGAGACGTCTGTTCTGTCAGGGAGGCAGCTCTCCCCTTCTGTCTGTCTGTCTGTCTGTCTGTTGGTCTGCCTGCCTGTGAGGTCGTGGCAGACAGGGTCCAACTCTGCTGGAGAAGCTGATCTGAGAAGGACCAGCTGCTCTGCCCGGGGTGATCCTCAGTGACCTCTGGCGGCTCAGGAAGGCGGTCAGGGCACACATGGCGCAGAGCAATGGAGCGAGGCCTTGACTCGGTGGGAGGACTCCCAGAGCAGGGGTGGTGGCAGCAGGCGTGACTGCGCTGTGGGCCAGGTTCTGCGATGTCTCTGCCTGGAGATCAGTCGCACAGACACCGGGACATGGAAGGTAGGAGGGAGCGGGGTTGGGGCCAAGAGACCTGGGGCGATGTGGACAGCTAGTCTCCCCTCGATTTTAACACCCCCCTGAACATAAACTGAGGCCACGGCTATCCCTGAATTCAGACTAGAAAATGAGGTGCGTATCAGAGGAGGGTTTTGTTTGTGAGGGTGTATTTGCGCAAAACAAGCCAGAGACTCTTACCGACGAGATACAGCCAGTCCAGGTGCATGGGTTTAATCGTAGAGGCCGCTCTGAAACCGTCACAAGAAGAAATGGGAGGGAGGCTCCCTGAGCTGGAGCATGCTGGGGGCCAGGGGCAGTGCCTGAGAGGCGGCGCTCAGGGCAAGACCAGGGGAGAGGCGGGAACTGAACTTCTCTCCCAGCTGCGAGACCCGGGTGTGTTAGCTCGGAGAAGTTCACCCAATCAGATGGACCACTTAAGCTGTTACAGCACTAAAGCTGTTTAGCTTCTCTCTCTAGACAGACATGAAAGGGGGAAAATCACATGTTTTGAAAACAGCTAACTTCTTCTGAACGAGCTGGCGGTGCCGTCCGGGAAGCTCACGTGGGGGTTGTGGCGAGGCCTGGTGCGCACGTCCATGTGGGCGCATCCGTGAGCTGCAGCTGGGCCCCGGGTGGGCGGAGCCAGGCCTAGGGGTGCCTGGGACCCCTGGCTCTTCGAGGGATGCGGGTAACGTGTCTCTTCTTTCTCCCTCCCACATCCCCCAAACTGCAGCATGATAGATAGCGTGTGACCATGTGATGGGGAGGGGGCTCAGGAGGTGCGAACAGCGCACTCCGGGGACAGGAGTCTCTGGTGACGTGATCTGTGAGCGATGTCAGCCCTGAGGGGTGACAGGCCGTCCAGAGGCAGGTGTGCAGGGTTCTGGGTCATTTTTCATTTTGCCGCAGAAGCTCGGGGCAGGGCTCGCACCGCAGTTCTCTCTCAGGAAGGCACAGCCTTGGATTTACAAAGTCCCTTCACCCTGAGCAGCCTGTGTGGGCTCCTGCGTCCTCGCCACGCTCGGTGGGCGTGCCGAGGCCCTGAGGGGCGCGATGGCCCTGTCACAGCTGGGGCCAGGCACCCACACCTCGTCCTCCTCACGGACTCACCAGCATTTCCTCCTTGAGATCTGAGGATGACGGTTTGGGTTGGGGGCCATGGTCTGAGGCCGCAGCCAGGCGTGCAGCAGCCCTCCCTCCCCAGGCACTGAGACTCCTGCCACGCACCCTGTCCGGCTCCCGGGCTCCCGGGACAGTGGCCCTCAGAGAGGGGGCCTCTGAGCGGGCGAGGGGGCCTCGGAGAGGGCGGGCGGCGGCTGGCAGAGCTTGCGGGGACGCAGCCAGGTGGCAGCTGTCACAGTGGCCTGGCCTCATTTTCCAAAGCTCCAAGTTTTCCTTAGCAACAAAGCGTCAACAGCCCTGGGCTAATCTTAGACTCTGAGTGCCGGCCTCTGACCCTCTCCCGCCGCAGCTCTGTGGCGCCCTGTCCCGCCCCAACCCCCTCCCTCCCTGAGTCTTCTCTCTCCCTCTTTATGGTGCCTTTCCCTTCTTCATAGAAACGGCTCCTGGTTTTTCTGCACAAGGTGAATGGCTTTTCTTGTTCCGAACAGCCCCTTGCGACTCCGCTTTGCTGGGTAGGACACGGCCCGGCCTGGCTGGAGTCCCACACGCCACCCAGCGACCTCGGAGCCGGGCTGCATGCCTGTTCCCGCTGGTGTGACGCCCTCAGCAACGCCATGGCCGCCTCCTGGGAAGGCTGGCAGTGTTCACCGTGAAACGCGGAGTCATGGTTTTTAAAAGCGTTTGACTCATCTCTGTCTGCAGGCTAAAGACAGGCAGTTGTCAGCTCATGAAGGGCTCCACAGAGAGGCCTCCAGGCTGCCGTTACTGCTGCAAAGGAGCCTTTTCTCGCCTGAGAGACTCGCCTCTCGGCCTCGCCGACAGGAGCCAACCTTCCTGCGCGGAGGGTGCACGGGGCGGGGCGGGGTTGGGGGTCGGCAGCTGTCGGTGTGTTTTCTGCCCCGTTTCCCTCGTCACCGGGGGCCGAGAGGTGCAGAGGGTCAGGCGGTTCCTGCGGGGAGTTGCCGTGCACTCAGCGTGGGCCGGTGCTCCGTCTCCGACTCCCGGGGGCTTGGGGTTGCCCTCCCGGCACGGCCGTGGCCACGCAGAACGGTCAGCGAGGTGATGAGGGCGCTGTGAGGTGTGCGCTGCGGGCCGGTCTCAGGCAGGCGGCCGAGTGACTGCGGTGCCTCCGGGTGAAGAACATGCTTACGATGACCGTGTGACGGTGGCATCGCCGTGCGCTTTCTAAACGAACCCCTGAGCGCGCTCCCGGGCGTGTGGATGCATCTCGGTGAAGCCGTGGTGACTCTGTGCCGGGGCCCAGGAGAAAGGCCGGGGCGATGCCAGCCTGGTCATCACAGTGAGGGGCGCGGTCTGTTCTCTTCCCTGATTTCTGTTGCTCAGCACAGCCATTGAGCCAGGACTCCCTTCACTTCCCCAACACGGTGCGTCCACCACTCAGGTCCCCCCACCGGCCAGCATTCGGGCGTGGGGGCTTACAAGTGGCCCCCGCACAGGACTCCCAGGTCCAGAGGGGGGCCAGGCCCCATGTCTGGCTCTGTCCCCGCTCCCAACACCTCAGGGAGCCAGCAGTCACCTGACCCCCGCTGCTCAGGGTCCTTATCAGGCCCTGTCTGTGGTTAGTCTCCTTCCGATAAGCGCTTCTGTTTTCAGAGTGTGAGTGTGGTGGCACCGGAGGGACCAGAGCCCTGTGCCCTCGCTCAGCCCCCCTCTCCCAGCCGGGTGTCTGTGCAGCACAGGCAGTCGCTGTGACGGCCCCGTGAAGCCGGCTGTGCCTCCTGGGGAAGGACAGCCAGGGTGGCCCCTGTCCGCTGACCGGCTCTGGGTGAGCTGCTGCCCCGGTGCAGCCCAGGCAGGAGCTGCCTCCAGCTGCGGGGCTGGGCTCCTGGCTATAAGGAAACCTGCGGGCAGGAGGGGGGCTCTGTGCTCAGGGGAGGAACTGGGAACTTGGAGCATCAACAACCAGGTACTGTTTCTGCTCCGTCCTTGGTACCTCCTGTGGTCCTTCGGGAAGCGGTTTGGTTGCAGATGTGTGTGGGGGAGGGAGGGGGAACAGGGCCACAGGGCTTCTCTGCAGGAGGAAGCAGGTCAGTCGTGTGGCTCGCACGTCGGTGGCAGGACACGGGCGGCTGTGTTCCCTGTCCTTTATGTTACGGGACGATGTGTGAGCTAAGTCAGTGAAGGTGCTTGGGGCAGGAGGTCGATGGGTAGTCGGGGCGAGACGGAGACGCTGGTGCAGGAGGAGGGAGGCGGCTCCAGTGCGGCAGGCAGTTGTCGGTGAGGGGCCGGCGCTGGGTCTGGGTGCCAGCTGTCTGCTTACCGCAGGACTGCCGTACGGGTAGCGGAGGTGAGCGTTCCTGAGCGTGTGAGATGGACGCTCTCTGACTGGTAGTGGATGAGGAGGGTGTTTCCAGGCAGAATTCACAGTTTTGCCTGGTCGTCCCAGCCCCCCGGCCATGCTATCTCCCCCGTCTGCAGCTGTGCCCCAGGGAGCAAGCCCAGGTGTGGTTACGGGACCCCTCTGGCCACGCCGAGCTGTCACCCCTCTGCTGAGCACGGTCCTGTGCACACGAGACTCCTGCACCTGCCCCACTGCACCAGGGCGCCCGGGTGCTACTGCTGCTCTGATCTTGGGTGGGTGACTAATCCACAGGGAAGTTCCCTGCTCTGAAGGCAGGCTTGAATGAAAGTTATGGAGGGCAGTGGTCTCGTGTACAGTGCCCGCTGTGTCCAGCAGATGGCAGCAGAGGGGCGTCTGGGGCCTGTGGGCTCCTGCACAGGTGAGGTGTTGGGGCAGAGCGAAGGTCCCTCCCTCCTGGGGGGGCCCTTCCTGGACCGGCCTTGGGCGCTTCTTCCTGTGACAGTTACGGGGTAAGCACCTGGTTGCCAGGCTTTCTCCCGGACCTTGTGACCCTTCTTCCCCAGCTTCCTCTGTCCTTCTGTTTATGTCCTTTCAGCATTTTTCTTCCATGTCGGTCCCAAGCCTCCCCGTCTTCACAGCCCTCCCCCCACAGGTGTGCGTGTCCTCGTCCCCGCCTTGCCGCTTGGAGCTTGGCTGCTGGGAGCTGTGTCCGCTGCCACTTCTGGGCACTGTTTTCCTTCCTTCGTTTCCTCATCCACAAAGGGCAAGCCGGCTGGGTGCAAATTACACCCCAGGCAACCTTGGCTTAGAGCTCGCCCACCGCGGAGTCTTAATTACAGGAATGGAGTCACCTGGGGTGGGGGCGTGGACGGGAGGGAATAAGCTGTTTCCTAGGTGGCCCTCCCTCCCAGCCGCGCCGGGACCCTGAGACAGCTGTCTGGGACCTGGCGCTGCTCTGGGGAGAGGTCGGTTGTCACCTGATTGCGAAGGAGGTGAGTGTTCCGCGCCAGCTCCCCCAGGCCTGGGCGCTGCTTACCCCTCCGTGTGCCCTCTTCACAGCGGCCTTTTCCCCGGGTCCCTCCCTCAGGGCTGTGCACAGCCTCAGCGGCTCACCCGCTAGGATACAGTGTGTGTCTCGTGTATCTCCTGCTGTTTGGTCAGTGCTCTGTCATTAACATAATCTTACAGTTAAAAGTTTTAGCTGCTCAAGGTCCAGCCTGAGTTAAAAGTTGTCCAAGGAAGCAAACAGGTGCCTGCCCGCCCCTCCCCCCCGCCCGCCCCTCCTGTGGGGTCTGATCCAGGACAGCATCAGTGTTTGCGAGTCTAAGGAGGACGGAGTGGTCCCTGTCTTAGTTTGCGTTTCATGACTATTGGTGGAAATAAACGTTTTCTCTTACTTTATAGGCTTTTGGGGTTTCCTGTTTTGTGAGTTTCCTGATGGTGCTTTGCTGATTTTTTTTTTCAGTTCGGTTTTTTACTCTTTTTAAAATTGCTATACGTTCTTTACATATTGAAGATACCAGTATTTCCCAACTTGTGTATCTATTGCTTTCATTTTGTCTTGTAATGTCTACGTAGTATTCTATAATGGATCTCCCATCTCTATTCAACTATTCTCCTTACTGTTTGAGATTTGGGTTATTTCCAGGACTTTCTTGTTTTTAAAAAAACAAACAAACAAAAAACACCCACAACCCAGCGCTGGAGCTGAGTCTGGCCTGGCCTGGCTATGGTCAGTGATCAGTGCCGGGCAGTTGGCTATCCAGCTGGTCCAGCCAGTGGGGGTGAAATTAATCAGCTCTTGCTGGCCATTTGGGGCCGGAGTCTGCCATCGCTGCCCCTGAGCTAACTGTACGGTGACCTAGATAACAAAAACCGTGCCGCTGGTGGCAGTGGCTGTGGCCCCTGAGGCTGGAGTGTTTTAATGCAGCAGGCGTTCAGACGTGCTGTGCACGAATTCGGGGGCCAGCACTTTCCAGGCAGGTCGCAGACACGCCAGACGCCCGCGGTCTGTAAGAACCGTGTCCTCTGGGCTGTGGCGGGTGCTGCTGAGCCGGAGCTGGGTCCGGAGACTTCTCCGAAGGGCCACGTGATCCGGCTCTGTGGCCACGGGGCCCGCCCTGTGGTTCTGTATCGAGTGGGAGCTGCCGAGGAGCTGCACAGCCTGAAATACTGACTCTGCGACATTCCTTTCTGATCCCTCCGCCGCCCGGGAGGCAGGTTTTGCCCCCGTGGCCCACGGGGACAGGCAGCCCTGAGGGTCACCCACGGGCAGGTGACACCGTGTCCAGGACTCCTCCCCGAGCTGCATCCCTCGCTTCCTCCCTGCGCCCTCCGCCCTCCCCGCGAGGCGGGAGTATTGATCGGGCAGTGATGAACCGGCATCTCATGCAGCGTTTGGGAACTCTCACGGCACTGGCCCTGCTGAGCCCAGGACCTGCCTTCCTGCCCCCACCCTCCTCCTGCGCCTCCTGCGCCTCCTGCGCCTCCTGCTCTGTGGCAGCTTCCCGCTGAGCGGCCTGGCCTTTGGCTGGGTGGCAGCCGCCAGCATTGGGTGTCCAGGGAGTGGGCGCTGAGGCTGCGTCTTCCCGCAGCCACACGCCTCTCTGGCTATCCCTCTCCCCCCTTCTCCCCCCCCCCCCCCACGTCTTTGGGCTTCCGCCGCAATGCAGGCCTGCGCAAAGAGGTACAGTGTGGCCTCGGGGCTGTCGTGGTCGAGGGCAGAGGGAGATGGGGTCCAGGGGAGATGGGGTCCAGTTGGTGCTGCCCGTGTGTGTCTCGGGGAGCCAGCACCGCCTCCTGCCGCCGTGAAAGTGCAGCCGCCGCCTCAGTGCCTCCGAGGGGCGTGGAGGGCGGGAGGGCGGCTCCATCCTGGAGGAGCCCCGTCAGCCGCCGTGTGGTTCAGGGAGACGAGCTGGGTCCGGGGTTCGGCCATTTCAGCGGGTTCTCGGGCTGTGCCGTCCCGTGTGAGAGCCGTAGCCGTGTGGAGCTGTTGAGGCTTAAGTTCACGTAAGATCAGGAAAAAGAGCCCCTGTTTCAGACGCTTCGCTGGTGAGCGCTTGGTGGTTCAGGAGGACAGACGAGTCCGATGTGCTCACAGCTATAGGCGAAGAGACTCCTCTCACCCGCCGCGCCCCTCCAGGTGGCCATCCCAGTGGAGCTGCTGCATCTCACGGGACGGAGGGCGCGCCCCGAACCCGCCAGCGGGCCTGTGTGAGCGATGGGCTCGTCCCAAGGACTCTGCTGCTTGGTTGTCCGTTTTCCCACGCCTCTGCCGGCTCCCGCCATCACTCCTCCAGGTGGAACCACGTGAGGGCGCTGACCCCGTCTCCTCACTGCCGCCCCGCAGGTCCTATCTGACTCCCGTCCGCGATGAGGAGGCTGAGTCTCTGCGGAAAGCGCGCTCCAGGCAGGCCCGGCAGACCCGCCGGTCCACGCAGGTGGGTGCGGCCTCCTTCCTGTCCATCGACGGCCGAGCGTCCCCCACGAGGGACTGGAGCGCAGGCTGCCCTGACCCACGCAGCGCTGCTCCCTGGCGAGGAGAGCAGCGTGGCTCAGCTGTCCTCGGGGAGAGGGCGGGGGAGCCAGAGGGCCTGCCCAGCTCTGCACACTCAGGGGTGACACTAAGCCCGTGCTGCTGGAGATGGCCCTGTGCTGAGGCCTCCTTTGGAGCTGGCCCCTCTCTGACCTGTCCTCTCTCCCCAGGGAGTGACTCTGACAGACCTGCAGGAGGCAGAAAGGACCTTCAGCCGGTCTCGGGCGGAGCGGCAGGCTCAGGACCAGCCTGGCCAGAAGCCGGGCACCGAAGGGCTGGAGGGCCACGCCGAGAGGTATGAGACGTCCACAGTCCCTGCCAAGGACACCGGGGAAGGCCGCCAGCCCTGGGGCCGGGGTCAGGAGGAAGAGGTGAGCTCGTGAGGCCGCAGGCCTGTGCTGGGCCAGTGGGTGGGATCTCCTCCTAAGCTCGGCTACTGCTCCGAAAACAGATGCTGTTTTGCTGTGTGTCCCTCTTCATCCTGAGGCCTTGTCCTTCTATTTCATCCCAAAGCCGGGGGTTTTCTCCAGCATCAGGGCTGCCTGTGCTCTCGGCCAGGCCATCACCTTCTCCTTTCCTGCTAATCAGCTAGCTTTAGCCGCTTCCTGAGCATCTACTGCTGTGACTCTCTTGGTGTCGAAAGCCCCTCTCAGCAGCAAGCCCGCGGTGCACGCCCTGTGGGGGGCTGGATCTAACGTCTCCCTGTGGCCGGCCCCCAGCCCGCGTCCCGTCGCCTGAGGGGTGCAGCTCAGCCAGAGAAGCCCACCACCGCCGTGTCCCCCAGCACCTCGAGACCCACCCTCTACACCAGCTCACACCTGCTGCGGACAAGCGGCCCGGCCGCCCCCGACGCCGAGAGCTCCGAGGCCAAGGACATGGACAGAGACGGTGCGCGGCGCTCCCGGAAGGCAGCCTCGGGCTTCCAGAGCGCGTCCTCGGGCCACACCTGAGTCCCGTCTCTCTCCCCCCCCCTCCCCCCCAGAGAGCGAAGAGGCAGGGGCGGACGACCCGGGCGCCGGCGGGCTGTCCGTTCGGGAGCGGCGGCGGCCCCGGGAGCGGCGCAGGGGCACCGGCATCAGCTTCTGGACGAAGGACGTAAGTGGACGGTCTGCCGGCACCTGGCCCGCACCCGGGCCCTCCGTGCTGAGGCCAGAGGCCCCCCAGGCCCCATGGTGCAGGTGGCAGGGAGTGTCCAGGGAACTCGCGTGGGGCTCGTCAGGGTGTTCCTGAGGGCCCAGGGCTCTGTCCCCTGCTGACAGGCAGCTGTCGGCCTGGCCGTGAGCGTCTCCAGGCACATAGTAGGTCCTCGGTCACGACGGGTGATGTGTGAAAACCGCTGTGTGCAGCCTGGAAGCCAGCCCAGCCCTCGGCGTCCTCCCTGTCCCAGGGCCATGCCTCCCGCACCTCCTGGCAGGAATGGCGGCAGGAGCTCAGGCACATGGGAAGTAAGCCATCCCCCGCTCGGCCTCGCTCTTTGGAGGAGAAAGGAAGGACCATAAAAACATGTTGAGGAAGGAAAACAGTACAGAGCAGGTTGAGCCTGGCATTGCACAAAGGCAGGCGCCCTGTGCCGCTGGCTGCAGACCCCGTTAGCTCTCTACCTCTCGCCCCTTCTTCCCACCCCCTCCCCGCTCCATCACTCAGACCCTGGTTCCCAGTGGCTCCTGCGAAGTGAGCTGAGCCGTTGGGTGGGGGAGGCCAGTGTCGTGTGGATCCGTGCTCCAGGGAGGCGCTCACGGCCAGGCCGACAGCTGCCTGTCGGCAGGGGACCGAGCTCTGTGTCTCCGAGGTCCTCCCGGCAGCAGGAGGTCCCGGCGGTCTGCACCCCCAGGCGGTGTCGGGGTCACTGACGGCTGACCCTCCTCCCGGCGTCTGTGACCCGCTTATTTTTCCTTCTCTTTCCTTCTCAGGAGGAGGAAGCTGATGGCTCTGAAGAGGGGAAGGAAGCGAGGGTAAGTGACAGCCAGCGAGCGTCCCCAGCCTGCGTGCACACACACCTCACGCAGGAGGGCAGTGCGTGCAGAGCCGGCCGGGCCATGGGGGATGGTGTCCTCGGGCCGAGGGCAGGGGCAGGCTATGACGCCTGTGAACAGTGCCCTCCTCCGTCCTCCCGCGTGGCGCCCGGGGCCGCTCCGAGGCTGTAGATGGCAGCGGGGATGGTACCGCATCTCTGTCATCAGCTCAGGATGTGGAGAGGGCTCTGGCTGAGGCCTGCCTCTGCTCTAGGGCACCAGGTGGGATGCTTAGCCGGTGGAGACTCGGCTTAGCCAGCCTCGTGCCTGATGTTGCCAAAGCCTGTCCCGATTGGTCATTTCACGAGCCACTGGGCCCATGAACACACCGCCGCCGGCGTCTGGGCGGCTGGCTGGTGGCTGTCACGTCAGGTGGGCAGCACCTGCAGGCGCCCGACAGCCTTCGCTCGCTCCGTGAGAGAGAAGGGAGCCTCAGCCCAGCGTGAGGAAGGCTGCCTGGTCTCCCCTGAGAACACGCCTGTCTCTGTGCCGTGCCCCCCGCCCTGCGTGCTCCGCCTGCCCCTCCGTGGGCCGCGCGGGGCTGTCCCCCTCTGCTCCTCGCAGCGTCTGCCCTGCAACTGGCCCCATCACTCGGAGGCACTGGGGCCGACAAGGATGATGGCGCCCCACGGACGGCCCCGTGGTAAAGGGACGGCAAAGCCAGTTCAGACTGGTGGCGTCACTCGCCTCGGCTTTGGGGGTTCAGAGGTGACTGGGCTGGGAGCTGCGGCCGACAGGTGAGGGCTCAGGGACTGGCTGCTCGTGCCGCGGGGCTGGTGAGGCAGACCGGCCGGCTCACGGCCTCTCCCCCGGCGCTCCATCAGCAGGTTACACAGGTGCCTCTGACGGCACCTCCGCTCCGGTGGGCTGCTCTGGTGTTGGTGTGCGCGTGCGTGCATGTGTGTGCCCGTGTGGGGGCGGTGAGACGGTGTGTTTCCTGGGTCGGGCGGCACCAGTAGGCCTGGCTGGGGAAGCCTCGTGCGAGCGCAGACTGCAGGGAGCGTGGTTGGCCCTTCAGGTTTAGGGGTCTAGGGGTGCAGTGTTGTCGTTGGGACGGCGCTGACAGAGATGGGCAGGAGTGCTCGGCACCCTGAGGAGAGGTGGGCCCATGTGGCTGAGCAGAGTGAGCAGACGGCGCAGACGGGGAGTCTGTGAGGCCGTGAGCTGGAGACTTGGGGAGCAGATTTGGGCTGAGCTTAGGGCCTCAGGGACCCTAAATTCCTGCTGCTCGTGTCAGAAACGGGACTAAGCCCCTGAGCTCCTATCCAGCCGTGCTCCTGTGGGCTGTCATGGTCCTTCAGTCTGTTAAGTGTCTAGGCACCCTGTTAGGGCGAGAGCGCATGTGCTAAGCTGCAGCCAGCGCACCACTCAGCTCCCAGCCTCCGTTCCCTCGTGTGCCCAGGTGCTGCCAGGCCAGCCCTGGAGCGTGCATGGAAGTGACGGCACATTTAAATATTGGGGTGCTGGGCGCCCATTGAGCCATCCTCTGAGTCTAGGTGCCTAGTCTGGATGAGAGGGAGGCGCTCGCTGACCATGGAATCGGGCGTCTGACGTCATTCCTAGTTCTTCTGCAGAGAACAGGGACTTGGGAGTCAGAGAGGCACCCAGAGGTGTCATGTCTGAGGTCCCAGGTGAGTCCGAGAGCTGGATGGACAGGAGCGGGAGGGGCGGGACAATGGGAGGGGCAGGAGTGGGGCCGGCGCTCCCACTCGCCCTGAGCCCGGGGAGCCCGCTCCAGTCGGCTCCCTAAGTTCCCCGCCCTGTTTCCCCCGTGCCCCCCAGCTCCAGTCTCCCTGAGGAAGCGGCAGCCCCCTCCCTGCGGCCCTGGCTTTCCCAATCTGCTTCTAGCCTTCGCTGGCCCCCGTCCCCCCAGCCCAAGCTGTGCTTCCCGTCTTGTTCCTTCACCCCGGAGCCCCCTCCCTGTGGTGCCCGTGACCTCCGTCCCTCCCAGCCCTTGTCCTTTTAGGTAGAATCCCGGCTGAGCCTCCGCTCGGCCCAACTGCCTAATATGGTAAGGTATGCCCCGCGAGGGAGGCCGGGCGGCTGCGGGGAGACAGCCGCTGAGCCTGAAGACACGGAGGTGCGGTCGTGCGGGTCTGAGACCCGGTGCTCCGGGCAGCACGCTGGTCTCAGGCCTCCCCTCCGCAGTGAGCGAGGGCCTTGCTGCTCCTCCCGGCCTCTTGGCCTCGGGAGGGCGGGGGCCAGCTTTCCCAGGCGGGGCTCAGAGAAGTCTGAGGGGGGCTGCGGCCCCGGAGAGTGGGCAGCCGCACCGCCTGTATGGGGCAGCTTTCCACCGGAGCTGCTGACGTCACTCCAGAGTGACCCCTGTGCACCCGCCCCCCACTCCCACCCCCTGCCAAGGTCAATGTGCCTCCCCTCCCCCCCGAAGGCCGCCCTGGGCGTCTCAGAACCGGTCCTCTTGGCATCTTCCTTTTAAGGATCTGATTAATTTTAGGTCGTGCTGTTGCCAAGGAGACCCGGTCGTCAGGGTTAGTCTGTTCCCTGGAGAGGCTGTAGCTTTGGACCCACTGTCCTCGGCCCCGAGCATTCCCCAGCCAGGACTCTCAGGAGCAAGCTTCGTCCTGTTCCCTGTTTGGCCTTGGACCCCTCGTGCAGGGGTGAGGAAGGGGTAAATACAGGGTGAGGAAGGGTATCAGCCACCAGGACGGCCCGTCACCCCCACCCTGTCTCCCGCCTCCTCTGCTGCCGCCTCGGGTGCTGTCTCCGTGGAGGGACCTGAGGGGCTAGCCGTTGGCGTGGAGACGGGGTTCCGAGCGCAGGGCGGTGGCTCTCGCCGAGGTTGTAGGACTGTGTGTCCCGTGTGACAGTCGCCGTGCAATTGTCTGAGTCCAAAACCAGACGGTTTTACGTGTTAATTCGCGTCTTCTGGCAGAGGGAGGGAGGTTCTGCGCACTGAACCACCGTGAACGAGAGAAAACTCTGCCCAGTTCCGCTTCTCTCCCTCCCAGTGGTGTGTCCACCCTCTGCTCCAGGACGGCCTGGGAGCCGCGCCCTGGCGGCCGCGGGTCTTCCAGGTGAAACACTGCATCTCGTTCTGAGTTCCTTTTTGCCATCTGAGCTCGGACCGAGTCACAGCCGTTCCTTCTGGGATGGCGGGGCCTCAGGGCTGGAGGCAGGTTACACGGAAGTGTTAGCCCAGAGCCTCAAGCTTTGAAGAGATGTGGAGCGGCTGTGTTCCAATAAAACTTTATTCTGAGAGCAAGCTTATGGTGCCCACACGGAGCCCAGTCCTGGGCCTGTTGTGGGGGGGGGAGGGTTCCCACCGGACACCGAGCGCAGGCACGCCCTGGACATGAGGCCTCTCTCCTGAGCACACCTCTTCTGCTGCAGAATTTAAATTTGCGGGAAAGGGGGAGGGGCCAGGGAGATGGACTATGCGGGGTGGCCACAGGGTAGAAAGCGGGGCCAGCAGTGGGCGTGGGGGGCCGGCAGGGTGTGGAGAGCTTCCTGGTCAGAGTCCACCCTCGAGACCGCGCAGATACATTCCTTTCTCTTTAACGGGCTTTTTGCTGTGGGGACTGTCCTGTGGTCCTGCTGCCCCCGCTGCGTGTGGCCCCGGCCTGGCCCTCGCCGTGCCCACTGACCCCCCTCAGCCCCGAGTTCCGGGGACTCGGGCTGTCTCAGGCAGCTGCCCGGGCCGGGCCGGTTTCCGTTTGCTAGGCTTCTTGGGCGGCCAGGGACACATTGTAGGACAGACATGGAGGCCTCTGGGCTGTGCGGGCCTCCGGCCCCTCGTCCTGGGGGGAGAGCTGCCGTGAGCGGGGTCTGCGTGCCCCCGAGCCCGTTCCTAGAAGCTGCGCCGGCTCCCCCGACAAGTGGCGGCGGCCGCGTGGGCTGGGAGCGGAGCCTTGCCCTTGGCCCGGCTCCAGCATTCCTGGCTGAGCGAATCGGCGCAGGAACGTCAGCGAGAAGAGGAGGGATGTGGCGGGGTGTTTATATGTTGGAGGACGGAGCCCAGCTCCTCCGACTGCTGCTTCTCAGACTCCCGGCTGGCTGGCCTGGCGGTCACAGCCTTTGGCTCCCGCGTGGAGCCGGCTGGGAGGCGCGTGTTCGCAGAGGGCTGTCCTTCCCGCCGGCGGTGAGCGGGCTGCCCGGCGGCTGCCGCCTCGGGGCGGGAGCCTTGAGGAGTGAGCTTTGGGAGAACCCGGGACTCGGTCCAGGCAACGCAGCGAGGTCCCCGCACCCCCCGGCGGGAGGGCCGTCCAGAGGGCCCGGCTGGACGCCGGGGAGGGACACGCCTCGCGCTGCTCGGCGGCCGGCCTGGAGCTGTAGCGGACTCCAGGGCGGCCGCGTCCTCGCCCAGCTCTGCTGCTCCCGCAGCCATGTCCTCGCTGTACACCCGGAGCAAGGAGTTCCCGCGGAGCAGGAAGTCCACGTCCGACTCGCCCCCCGCCACTCCCTCCCCGACAGCCAAGACACTGCGAGTAAGCGGCTTTCCCTCCGGTCCGTGCTGGGTGCAGGGAGAGTGCGCGTGCGGCGGGGAGGTGGCCGAGCACAGGCGTGTCAGGGCATGAGGACGGGCAGGAAGAGAGCAGGCCCCGTGGCTGCTGTGCCAGTGCCGGTCCCACGTGCCGTGGCCCTGGCACAGCCGGTCCCCACGTGCGGCTCCTGCACCTGAGCCCTCACCTCAGGGTCGGCTGCAGGGCAGAGGGCGGTCCGTGCTGCCTGCTCTCCGGGCCTTTCCCATGCTCCGGGCTATATTTAGTTGTTCCCTTTCCTGTGTTTTATGGGTCAGCACTGTGTTTAAAAGAAAATGCTCCCAAATGGCCATGCAACTGTGGACAATAACCTTTAATTGCATGCAGCTTTGACCATGTGTGAGTGTGTGTGTGTGAGTGCGGAGTGTGTGTGCGCAGCTATGAGAGCCTGTGACTGTGTGTAAATGTGTGTGACTGTGAGAGACTGTGAGAGCCTGTGTGTGTGTGTATTTGAGACTGTGAGAGCCTGTGTGTGACTGTGTGTGTGTGTGTGTGTGTGTGTGTGAGAGAGAGAGAGAGAGAGAGAGAGAGAGAGAGAGAGAGAACCTGTGGCTGTTTGTGTGACTGTGTGTGTGTGTGTGTGTGACTGAGACCCTGTGGCTGTGTGTGTGTGTGTGTGTGTGTGTGAGAGAGAGAGAGAGAGAGAGAGAGAGAGAGAGAAAACCTGTTGTTGTTTGTGTGACTGTGTGTGTGTGACTGTGACCCTGTGGCTGTGTGTGTGGCTGTGTGTGTGTGTGTGTGGGTGTGTGTGTGGGTGTGACTGAGACCCTGTGGCTGTGTGTGTGTGTGTGTGTGTGTGTGTGTGTGAGAGAGAGAGAGAGAGAGAGAGAGAGAGAAACCTGTGTTTGTTTGTGTGACTGTGTGTGTGTGACTGTGACCCTGTGGCTGTGTGTGTGTACGTGCAGCTGTGAGACCCTGTGGCTGTGTGTGTGGCTGTGTGTGTGTGTGTGTGTGCGCAGCTGTGAGAGCCTGTGGCTGTGTGTGTGTGTGTGTGTGTGTGTACGTGCAGCTGTGAGAGCCTGTGGCTGTGTGTGTGGCTGTGTGTGTGTGTGTGTGTGTGTGTTCGTGCAGCTGTGAGAGCCTGTGGCTGTGTGTGGACTTAGACACAGGGGCAGCGTGAGCCAGGCCTTCCTCTCCTCGCGGGGAGCGCGCCGGGAAAGCCCGGGGTGCTGCCGTCCAGGCGTGCCGCGCTCTGCGCAGGTGTCCTGTGGGTGTCGGGGAGCAGCCTGGGGGCGTGCTGGGCAGTGCGGCGGCCGCTCCTTGTTAGGGAACAAGTGTGCTGTGCAGGGGCAGCTCCTTATTTGGGGCCGAGTGGGGAAACTGCAGGAGCGCCACGGCCCTGCGTCTGCATGGGGGCCCGTGGCTCTGGCCCGTTTGTGTGTGTGTGTGTGTGTGTGTGTGTGTGTGTCGGTGTCGTCGGTGTCGGCACCGGGGTGCAGCCGTGGGGTGTGTGTCTAGGGCATCAGCGGGGCTGTGACTCAGACACAGAAAGTCCGTTATGAAGCTGTTCATCGTACGCTCCTCCATGGGGAGCCAGGGGCCTGCGCGGCCTCCATGGCAGCTCCTCCTGGGGCCCGGCTGTCATTCGGAGGAGCCCTCGGAGGCTCCCCAGTGGCTGCCACCCGAGGTCTCAGAACGGAGCCCCTTCCTCACTCTCCTTCCTTGTCCCACCGCCTTCGCAAACCCCGTGCTTTTGTGTGAGATCCCACTGCAGCCCGTCCTGCCCCCCCCCCCCCCTGCCCCGGGTGCTGCCTAGGGTTCCGATCAGTCCGCAGCAGAAACGTGGCTGCGGCACCCACCTGTGCCCGGCTTCACTCTGCTTCCCTGGAAGGCGGGGCTCCGCCTCGGCGTCCTCTCTTCAGGTCTGTGCAGCCCGACAGGCACACTGCGTTCTGTGTCTGAGGCTGAGGGACAGGCAGGGCCAGAGACAGGGAGAGCTTGGGGAGCTGTGGGAGCCCCACCTTTGTACGTACAGCAACTCCGAGCTGAAGGTCCAGGAAGAGCGAGAGGTTTGCAGAAGCACTGGCTTCGGGGAAGGTGCCAGAGGGTCTGAGCTCAGAGTTAGGATCCAGAAGCTCTCATGCGGCCGCCGTGAGGGGTGGCTCTGATCCAGAGACTTGGGGGCTGAAGGGGAGTGGCCTGGGGGCCTGCATTCCTGGAGCAGCTCTGCCTGGGAGCCAGGGATGGAAGTCCTGGTGCTTTCCTGCTGTGAAGGGGAGGGTCCCTGCTTCTGCCTCCCCGACCGACCTCCGACCTTCACTCTGGATCCAGCTCCCGGCTCCCGGCTGAGCAGGAATGGCTGCGCACCTCGCCTTAGACACCAGGAAGCAGCTGGGCTGAGCTGCCGCCCAGGGCATCGCTGTAACTCAGAACCAGCGGTAACTCCCTCCCTCCCTCAACACTCCCACGGCCACTGGGCTCCTGCCACCGCCCTGCCGGAGACACTGCCACCCGGGCCCTCCCCGGGGCACACACCTCTGTGCCCAAGCAGTGTCCTCACCGGCCAGGGTGTCTGTTTACCTTCTCCAAAAGTCGGGGTGGCCACGACTGCTGTGAGATCCTCCAGGACATCACGGACCGAGCGTGGACACCGCATCCTGACAGGACAGAGACGATGGCGGTCCTGTGGCTCCGTGGGAAACACTGGACGCGGGAGCTCGCCTCTCGGCGAGGCAGCCTGCATCGCCCGCCCGCCCGCCCGCCCGCCCGCCCGCCGGCACCGGGCCCCAGCGGCAGCCGCGGGGACACGGCTGGTCCCTGAGGAAGCCGCGGACGAAAGAGGCCACTCTTCCCTGGGAATCTCTGAAATGGCCTCACTGACCTCACCCCGAGCCGTGAACGTGGGGGCTGCCGTCGCCCTGGAATCCGAAGTGCCCTTCTCCGTGGTCACGGAGCTGAGAGCCAGCGGAGGCGGTTCTCCGAGGCCCCAGAAAAGCTCAGCCCGTCCTGGCCTCGCTCTGGGGTGCCCGTCCTGCCTGCCTGCTGGGTGGTGGCAGCAGGTGCTCCCACCACTGGGCAGCCCAGCTTCAGGTTGTGACCAGCTTCCTCGCCGTCCCTCCGACCAGCTCTCCAGAGCCACAGTTTTATGTTATATGTTTGTGTGTGAGGGTTAATCATGGGCCTTCCTAAACTCCTGGTAACGTTCAAGCTGGAAGCTTTTGTGGGGTTTCTAGGCCAGCCCAGCCTGGCGCTGTCCCAGGACGGCCGGGGCTGACCAGGGCCATGCTCTGCCCGGGGGCCGTCGGGAGTTTCCAGGGGAGGAAGGAGCCGCTCTGGGTCTGGGCCATCCCCAAGAGCCTAGCCGGTCGAGCGCGGAGCAGACCTCAGCCTCCCCGAGGCGGCAGCCGTGTGGTGGGTCCCGGGGAAACCTCCAGCCGTGGCTTTAGAACACGCGCGAGTGTCCCTCTGAAGCCAGCGCTCTCCGAAAGCTCGGAGGCCCTTGGCACCTGCTGTGTGAGCTCACTTCCCCGCCCGTGGACCTCCGGCGTGTCACAGCGTAACTCTTCCTGGCTCTGACTTAGTCCCCCCAACGTGGGAAGGGGGATCTCACCACAGAGCGAGACTGGCAGCCCTTTGCGATGAAGCGGTTCTCAGAGGAGATGGCTCCACAGAAGGCTTCGGGTCAGAGATAAAGCGCCCTCCTTGGCGCTGATAACGCAGTAACTGACTCTCCGGCCGGTGTGAGTGACTCAGCAGGTTCCCGGGCTCCAGCCGCTCGGCGCCAGGCATGCGGTGCCAAGGCCCTTTGTACCGGTGCTCCCTGCCGAGCCCTCACCTGCCCCCACCCCCGCCACACACACACACACACACACACACACACACACACACATGCGTGCATACACACACGCACATGTGCGCACACACGCACACATACATACACGTGCATACACACATACATACACACATGCACACGGACGCGTCCTCGTGGTCAGTCCCTGCTGCCTCTCCTGCTGCCTAGCAGGGTAGGCCTTTTAAAGACTGGGAAATAGAAGGACTCCGTCTGGATCGAAGGCACCTCTGTCTATTCTGCAGAAGCGCCTGCGAGTCCTGATGGTAGTTAGAGAGGTTTCCATGGAGGGCGGCCGCTCCATCCTTCCTCTGGACAGCGGGCGAGTGGACAGTGAGGGACTCCGGGGTTCAGCGGTCCTTCAGCGGGGTTGTTGGCCCGTGTCCCTCTCCCTTCCTGTCTGTCCGGGGATTTTGTTAACACTTCGATAGGAAGTGAGTGGATGTACACAGATCGGCGCGTTTTCATTTTCCTGAGTTCTTAAAAAAGTGGCGATAGAGGGTAAAGGTCATCGATGCCTAAAATTAGACGTGAAGCGAAGACACTGTCATCTCTGGGCTGCCTGACCCCGTGTCCACGCCTCGTTTGCACCTGAGTCCTTTCTTCTGAGGCCCCAGAGTGTTGTCTGCCGTCCGACCGGGACGGGAACTATCCCTCCTGGCCCTCACTGCAGGCCGGGAGACGGACAGGGGGACAGACAGGGGGACGGGGGACAGGGCAGGCCCCTCCGGAGCCTGCCGTGTGCGGGGCCGGGGGCCCTGCCTGAGGTTCCCATTTGGCCGTTCCCCGTTCTGCTCCCGGGGCAACCCTCCGCCACCGCGCAGTGCAACCTCCAGGAGGCCTGGTCTGAGCGGGAGAGATGCGTCCTCCCCGACGGCGCTGGTTCTAATCTCTGCTTGTTTTTCTCTTCCTTCCTCCAGCACGAGAGGCTTTCTAGGTAAGAAGGACCGTCTTGCCGCATGCTTAGCTCTCGTGTGTGAGTGCACGTCTGACACTCTGCTTCCTCGTTAGCGTGTCCCTCACATCCCTCCCTTTCCATGGCCCACAGCACTCACACCCTGAGCAGGCAGCAGTCTGGTGTGGAGTACAGAGCCGGGGGGGGGGGGGGGGGGGGCGGGGAGAGCTGTCTGGACCCCACAGACCTACTGCGCGCCTGTCCACTCCTCCCCTCCCAAGGCCTGCAGGGCCCGAGCCCACTGCCCCCCCCCCACTCCCACCACCTCCTCCTCCTCCCCAGGCCTGCAGCTCGCGCTCCATGTGTTTCTGATTCCCTGGCAGGTCGCTGGAATCATTTTCCCAGGGCTGTTCAGATCCAAGAAACGTTTGCTTTTAAAAGCACACTCTTAAGAGAACCCTAAATTAATTTGAAAATCTCTTAAGATTTAAGTTAGCATTTGGGTCTAAACCACCAATTTTTAAGTAAGCTCCATTCTTGGCCAGTGACGGCCCCCTACCCCCCTTGCCCTCCTCCTCCCCCTCCTCTCCTTCTTCCACCTTCTCTCCCCCTCCCCCCCTTCCTATTCCCCCTCCCCCTCCTCCCCCTTCTCTCCCTCCCCTACCTCCTCCTCCTCCTCTGAGCTGGCTTGGCCTGAGGTCCCAGCAGCTGGGGGTGGGGTCAGGGAAGGGGCGTCTGCATGTGTCGGCTGGCGCCCAAGCGCTTCTCAGGAGAGGCTCCGGCCCCACGGCACCTCCCATCCTCAGAGCCCCTGTGTCCTCAGAGCCCCTGATGTCAGTGCGTCCCACAGGTTGGAGTCCGGAGGCAGCAACCCCACGGCCAGCGACTCCTATGGGGACCGGACCTCGGCGAGAGCACGCCGGGAGGCGCGGGAGGCCCGCCTGGCCAGCCTGGCCAGCCGCGGGGACGAGGACAGCAGCAGGGACTACAAGAAGGTAGCGCCCTGCTCGGGGTCCGGTTTGGGGGTTCCAGTGGGAAATGCACCCCGTCTGATGGAGCCCAGGGCAGGCAGTGACCTCCAGCTCGGGGGAACTGTGTTGAGGTCGAGCCCATTACTGTGTTCAGCGCCAGGGGCTTTGTGACGGGGGCGGGGGGGGGGGGGGGGGATGCCGACCAGTAAACGGGACAAGTTGTTCCCTAGACAACCCCTCCCGTGGGTGGTGGTTCTTGCTGGATGACCCCCCCCCAAAGGTGACTGAGGTTGCTCCCTCCCCAGCTCTACGAGGGCGCCCTGACCGAGAACCAGAAGCTGAAGACCAAGCTGCAGGAGGCCCAGCTGGAGCTGGCAGATGTCAAGTCCAGGCTGGAGAAGGTGGCCCAGGTGAGGGGTGGGTGAGGCTGAGCGAGGCCAGGGGAGCAGGGCTGCAGTGGGGAGGGGAGCCCTTGGGCGGGGTCACAGCCTCCAAGACTCACTGATCACAGGCCAGTCAGCATCTGGCTGAGGAAGGGTGGTCGCTAGTTCTGGGAACAACTCCTAGTGTCCAAATGGGCATCGTCGTCCCAGCCTATTCTGCCCTCGTCCCCCAGGTCCTCCCAGGAGGGACAGGGAGCCTGTCTCACGCCAGCTATAGGGCACAGAGGCCTGAGGCCAGCTGCTCAGGGCGAGGTGGTGGACAGGGGCCCAGCCCCTGCAGAGCTTCTGCCTGCAGCCTGGGGTTCCTAAGTGACTTTGGGGGTGTGGGGGGGAGACAAGAAAAGTGGGTCTCAGCCTAAAGGAAAAGGGAGGCCCCGGGATGGAGTCTGAGCCCCGTCCCTGCCCGTCCACACCCAGCAGAGCCGGTGTCCGAGGCTGCTTCGCATCTCAGCAGCCAGCGAGCTGGGTGGCCAGACCTCGCCCAGCTCCTCGCCCAGCAGCCGGCGAGCTGGGTGGCCAGACCTCGCCCAGCTCCTCGCAGGAGGACGGCCTTGCCCTCCTGCCCCGCCCAGGCCGACCTTCAGGGTCCGCAGGCCCTGCCGCTGCTGACCAGACGGGCGCGGGCGCTGGAATAAAACCCGCCTTTCCAGTCACGGCGTGCTGGGTGTGTCGGAACGTCCGTAGTTTTGCCAAGTATGCGTTATTGCAATCAGGAGAAATGGCGGTGCTGCAAAGCATGTCGCTGCTGATTGGCCGGAGTGGAGTGTTTGGCAAGAGGGGGCGGGCCTCCCATCCTCACGGAGACATGCCTCCGGGATCCGTGGGGTCGGTGCGTAGAAGGCCACGGAGCTCTCAGGGCGCCAAGGCCTAAAACAGAACAAGACCCGGTTCTCGGAGGACGTGACCTCCTAGTGAGGGCAGGCCTCACAGGCCTTGTTTCTCAGCCAGGGATGCAGCTGAGGGGACGGGACGGCTTCGGGAGGGGACAGCATGACCTTCAGGATGCGGCGTGACCTCCAGGACGGGGGTCACACCAGCCGGCATGGCACAGGGGTTGAGCATTGACCGGTGAACCAGAGTCCTGGTTCCATTCCCCATCAGGGCACGGTCCAGGTTGTGGGCTCGGTCCCCAGTGTTGGGGTGTACAAGAGGCAGCCGATCCATGGTAATCTCTCATCATTGGTGTTTCTAACTTTCTCTCCCTCTCCCTTCCTCTCTGATAAAAAAAAAAAAAAAAAAAAATGTTTTTTAAAGAAGGAACAGGGGAGAGCCGAGGACAGGAGCAAGGAACCTCTGCGGGCAGAGCCACAGGGTGTCTGGGTCACGTGCCTGCTGAGTGAGGAGCTCTGGGCAGCCCCTGCGCCAGGCCGCTCTCCCCCCCCAGCCCCTCCGTGGGCAGCCACGACCTGCCTGGGCTCTGCTCTCGCTGTGACCTAACGAGAAGTTCTCATCTTTCATTCACACAAAGCCAGCTTCTCTGGCAGCTCCATGCATGGAAGAAGGGGCCGGGCCTGCTCCAAGCTGGGGAGCCGGCAGGAGCCTCCGAGGACCAGGGAGGCCACGCTCCCGGGAAAAGCACGGCACGATGGGGCGGCCCAGGCCCCGCTCACGAGTGCCCGCTTTCAGGGGACGGGGCCCCCATGCTCATCTTGGGGGACTCAGGCGGGACACGAGGGCTGGTGATCTGGGAGGGCCTGTCTGAACTGTGGCTGCAGACCACAGGGCATGCCAGGCCCCGCGCCGACGGCCCACCCGGACGGCCCCGTGATGCTCCCTCCCCTTTTTCAGCAGAAACAGGAGAAGACGCCCGACAGGTCCTCGCTGCTGGAGGTGGAGAAGCGGGTAGGCAGCTGCTCTGTCCCCTTCCTCCCGCCCCGGCCTCCTGTCGTGTGTGCCAACGGAAAAAGGGAGTCTCGGGGGGGGGGGGGGGGCGCATTCCACTCCCAGCTCGGTCATAAATTCCTTCTGTCTGACGTGGACGGCAGCAGCTCAGTGTCGTCCTTGGGCTTCCTCAGACGGTCAGTCCTTTCCACAGACCGACAGTCCCTCTGGCCCGCCCCTCCCAGCTCACCAGTCCTGTGTGGGGCAGGTCCTGCGAGGGTCAGTGTCCTGCTTACAGGCAAACCTGCTCATACAAGCACACACACAGCACAGCACACGTGTACACCGCATGCATGCACACACACAGCACACCACATGCACACTGCATGCATGTGCACATAGTACAACACACGTGCACACTGCACCACACACACTGGGCCCAGGCTCACCCACCCCCACCCCCCGGGGCAGAGGGAGCCCAGCAGGACCCTCGGGCAGAGGCCCGTGATGATATGTGAGCCCGGAGCCTTACTCGGGGGTGTTTCTGGTTCAGTCGCCGGCCTCCTGGCCGCATTCAGAGTGTTTTTCTGGAATCGGCTGTTCTTGGGTCGGGCAACTCTGGTGCATTGGTGACCTCAGCGCTGCCTGACCCTGGGGCGCATGCTCCATCCCCTTCCGTTGGAAAGCAGCTGGCTTTTGTGACGCATTTATTCCCTTGGCTGTGTCTCATCTAATCCCGAGGCCCCATTGCCCTGGAATCTTCTGACCCCTGGTGACCAGCTCCTGAGGAAGGGGGGTGGGGGGGGCGGGCGGCCTGCAGGGAGTCGGGAGGTTCTGGTCGCCTGGTGTCCTGTGAACCCCAGGCAGCTCAGTGTCCCTGTGCCCTAGCTGTGGGGCGGGAGCTGAGGGGCGGAGGGTGCAGAGACTGTGCCAGGGCCGCAGGGCAGCAGCCTCCTGGGCAGTTAGCTTGAGCCTCCGCCCTATCGGTCACTGTCGGCAGCCACAGCACGGATCCCTCTGAGTCCACACGTCTGTCATCTGTTCACAGGAGCGGCGGGCCCTGGAGCGGAAGATGTCCGAGATGGAGGAGGAGATGAAGGTATGGGAGGGGCCTCCTGGGTCCCCCAGGCTGAGCCTGGCCCCGCCCCTCGGGGGACAGCACTGCCTCGGCTGCGGGACGCTGGGGCCAGCGAGGGCTGACCTGTGGTTTCCTCAGGGGCTGGGTGGACAGGCGGCAGCTGCCCGGGCCTCAGGTAGGTGGCGCCGCCCTCCCGCCACAGCCCGCGCTGCACCGGGCGGGGCCGTGGTCCCCGAGGCACTCCCGGCGTCCGGGCTGCCGGGGGCAGCAGCTGAGGCCACAGCCACACCGCTCACTGCCCACCCTCAGCCTCAGCCGCTGGGCTGGGAGGCTGGGAGCGCCGCCTGCGTGCATGGCGTCAGCGCCCGCCGCCGCTTAGCACGGCTCCGCTTCCCGCCGCGGGTCCTCAGTGAGAGCTCGCCTGCGCCCTGGTGGGAGCGGTGCCCCCGCTGCTGGCGACTCCGTCCGCTGGCGCCTCCGTCCGCTGGTGCCCCCGTCCGCTGGCGCCTGCCGTCCGCTGGCGCACGTTGAATCGGGACCTGGCAGGGTCTGTGCCGCAGGAAGCTGGGGTGACGGGTCCCTGGGGTCTGCAAACCGTGAGCCGTGGCCAGCGTCCGTCCCGGCCAGTCTGGGGCCCGCCCAGCTGAGGGCCAGGGGCTGTGCCCGCCGCACTTGGCCATGCAGGCGCTGGGCCCGGACATCACCCGGAGCAGGTGCAGGCACCCCAGGGACCCTCGGCGGCGGCGCCTGTTCTGACAGGCGAATCGTGTAGAAGCCAAGTGGACGGGGCGGGAGGTGCGAGGGGCTCTGGTCACACCGTGGCCCCGATTCCCGGTCCTGGAAGGTGCGGGCGGGGGCTGCACGGCTGCTGTGTCTGGGCTGTGCCCGCCCTGGCCGTTCCTCTCAGCAATGGCCGGTCCCCTCAGTGGCGGCCTCTGAGCAGCACTAGCCCTTCCCGGGCCTCTGCCCGAGGGCCTGCAGCGTCTGCTCCTGGATTTACTCTGTTTCCTCTGGAAACACCCATTCCCAGCCTGTTCAGTGCATTCCTTCTGGAATGTTCCACAGGCGCCTCCCGCCTCCTGCTGAGCCTCCTGACCCACCCGACCTGCGTGCAGGCGAGGCCGGGCGCTCAGGGAAGAAGGCCGTGGGCCCACGCCAGCCCCGGAGGCGGGCGAAGCGGGGCTTCTGCTGGCTCTGATGTGGTCCCTCCGTCCGTGGGTGTGGCCGTGTGCAGCCCCGGGCCTGTGCTGTCCTCCCCTCGGCGGGGGCGGCTGCTGGGCCTGGCCCTTTGGCGGCGACTTGGGGCTGCTCGGTGCCCGCCCGTTTCCCAAGCTGGCTGTCCCCTCGTGGGGACAGAGATTCTGTGTGTTGTCCGTGTGTTTCCTTTTCTCTGTCCCCTCGTGCCTCCTTCACTTCCTTGTTCTTCGCCCTCCCCCTCCCTCTCCGTCCTCCTCTCTGGGGGTGGCAGGCGCTCCTGTGGTCCTGGCAGCCCTCCTGTGGCCACTGGCCCAAGGCTCTGTCTGCCCCCATGACGCCCTCCACATGCCAGTCCCCCTGCACCCAGGAGCGGGGCCGTGGGGTCAGGCAGCGAGCAGGCCACTTATGTGACCCAGCGGGTCCCGCGGTGCGAGGCCAGGACGTGGGCTGACCCCCAGCGTGAGCGTCAGCCCGGCGTGAGCATGAGCGGAGGGAGCTGGGGCGCCTGGCCTCCGCCGTGCCAACGGCCACATGCGGGTCAGGCACAGTCCGGGCCCTGGAGCAGGTCAGGACCGTCCCTCCGGGGTCTGGCAGTCGCACTTCACCCCAAAAACGCCTACACTCAGGCCGTTCTTTCCTTAAAGACAGAAGTTCACGAGGTGAAGCAGCACCTGAGAGAGAAGGCGGAGTAGGGGCCCCGTGGGGGGGCCCAGGGGCAGCACAGGCTTGGCCTCCGGGCCGTGACCGCGGAGGGTCCCAGGCTGTGGCTCGACGGCGCCCGCAGCTCTGAGCCCCAGGCCCAGCCACACGGTGCCGCCGAGAGCCAGCAGGCGCTTTGGAGCCAGAGCCGTGCGAGCGCATGGCTGTCTGCGCCGGAGGGAGGCCCGCTGTCCTCCGTCCCCGCTTCTCTCTCCCCCTCGCATGCCAACTAAGACTAACCGAGTCGTGTGGCTCTGCCTGCTCTCACCTCCTGGTCTGTCTGTCTGTCTGTCTCTCTGTCCTGCCTCGTGTCCCTGCAGAACCTCCACCAGCTCAAACAGATCCAAACCCTGAAGCAGATGAACGCGCAGCTGCAGGCTGAGAACAGGGCGCTGGCCCGCGTGGTGGCCCGGCTCTCTGCGTCCATGGAGTCCGCGCAGTCCCAGGAGCTCTAGCCGCTCGCCCTCTGCAGGCAGGTCGCGCCCCTTGCCGCTCGGGCTCGCCCGCCGGAGCCCGCCCGGCGCCACCATGGCTGGTCGTGCAGACCCAGGAGCCAGGAGGCGGCCGTGGGCGGCAGGTCAGGGAGGGGCCTGTGGCTGAGGAGACGAGGACGTGCTGTGGGTGCGCACAGGTGTGCCCGTCACACCACGCAGGCTGCGCTGTCTCCGTCCACCAGGGGCCGCCTGGGGCTCTCAGTGAGCGTGGGCTACGCCGTGTGTGTCTGGGCCCATCCCCGGGGGGTCTGTGAAGCCAGGGCCCAGCCCATGGCCTTCCGGGAGCACCCAGAGCCAGCTCCCGTCTCACCACGTGCCGGCGGGGCCAGGCCGGTGGAGGTGCGTGCGTGGCCCTCCTCCCTCGGGGGCCGGCGTGTCCGGCGGCGTGTGGCTGCAGGCAGAGCCGTGGTCTGGTCCCAGCCCGCCCGCCCGCCCGCGGTCTGAAAGGCGCTCACAGGCGGGTCCTCCGCCCGAGGGGAGGGGGGGAGCTCGGCACCCAGTGGCGCCTCGGGGGGCCTCGGGGCCTGCGCGTCCTCCGCCCGTTCACGGAGCCTCCGGTTGGCAGCGGGCAGCTCACAGCCACGAGGGGTGCCCCCGGCACAGACACGGCTCCCCACTTAACGTCACCCCGAGGCTCCTGAAAGCTGAGCTGGAGATGGGGCCCACAGGCGCCCCAGTTATTCTCCGTGCCCCTGTTTCGGGGAGCTGCACGGCATGCGGCTGGTAACCATGGTGATGGTAACCACGGTGAAGGTCGGGTTAAAGCCTGGAGGTGCTTCACAGCTTCTCCTTCCTTATTGCCCCGCGTTCCAGATCCCATCGCTCGGCACGTGGTGGGGTCCGGCCGCACCCCAGGCAGCAGGCCGGGGCCACGCCCCCCCCCCCCGGCCCCGCTCACCCCCCCCCCGCGCCCCCGCTGTGCCTCGCGGACACGGCTCGTCGGGGCGGGAGGAAGTACTCCCGAGACACGGACATGGCAGTGGTGACGGGGACGTGGCAGTCAGGGGAGCAGCGTCCGGGAGCTGACATGGCAGTCGGTCCCCAGCACAGCGTCTGCTCCCAGAGGGCCCGCCCGGTGAGGTCAGACACCCTCCTGGGTCTTCTCCCCACGAAGAGCTGAGGCTGAGGCCACTGGGCTGGGGAGGAATGAGCCGGTGTGGCTCAGGGGGTTGGCGCGTCGGCCGTGCACCGGAGGGCGTGGGCTCTGCTCCCGGTCAGGCACCTGCCCAGGTTTCAAGTCACATCTCCAGTCGGGCACGAAGGAGGACAACCGACCGGGGTCTCTCTCCTCCCTCCCCGTCTCTAGAATTGGTGGGAAAGGTGCCCTGGAGTGAGAGAGGGGCACCTCGCTCACCCTCAAACGAACACCGCTGCGCCGTGGCCTGCCGGCCGGCAGGTGCCAGAGGCCGGGCCGTGGGCGGTGCTCAGCCGGGATCCGGCTGCCGGCCGGCAGGTGCCCCAGGGGCCGGGCCGTGGGCGGTGCTCAGCCGGGATCCGGCTGCGGGCCGGCAGGTGCCCCAGGGGCCGGGCCGTGGGCGGTGCTCAGCCGGGATCCGGCTGCCGGCCGGCAGGAAGCAGGTCTGCATGAGGCTCTGGGAGAGCCGCTCGGCCTGCAGGTCAGGCCCGCGGCTGCCTGACCGCCTGTGGGCCCACAGCCTCTGCGACAGGGATGGGCACAGCGGGTCTGTCTCAGGAGCCAGCAGGCGGTCAATCCTGGGACACCTGCCCTGGCCGCGGGGGCGAGGTTTTGGGGCCTGGGATCCCCTCCGCTCCAGCAGCGTCCACGCAGGCACTGCACCCAGCCCACCGGGTTTGCATGTGTGCCCACAGCTGTGCACCATCTGTTCCTGGTGGCGACACGGATGCCCGCGGCCGTGGCAGGGCTGTGGCCTGGAGGGCAGCCCCCTGGACCTGCGGCGACACCAGGGCTCTGGTGGCCTCCCTACACGGCCACGTGACCAGCCGGAGCAGGGTGGTGCTCAGGGCGGTGACCCCTCCCTCTCCCCGCAGGTGTTAACAGAGCTGAAGTCCGACAACCAGAGGCTAAAAGATGAGAACGGCGCCCTCATCCGGGTCATCAGCAAACTGTCCAAGTAGCCGCGGCCCGATGGAGGCCGGTGCTCCCCGACTCCCCTTCCCTCGGAGGGCCCGCCCCTCCCGATTCTGCGCCTCCGCCCGGCCCTGCCGCTCACCGCGCCCCCTGGTCCTCCACTGGACCGGGCCTCACCGTGCCGCTGCAGGACCCCGTGGGGCAGGACAGCGGGTGCCGGCTCCCCGGTGCCCTTCACACCCCCGGTGTCCTGCGTCCCCTTTCTGCTCCACCGCCTCCTGCCCCTCCCTGGCACCCCTGCCCTGCTCCTCTGGGACTGGTCCACAGGCCCCAGAGGAATCGCTGTCCCGGGCGGAGTGGGGGGCGGCGTGAGGAGGGGGCGGCGGGCAGGGCGGCTCTGTCGGGGCTCCCCCTCCCCCAGGGTTTGTTCCGTGTGCAGGCAGGCAGGCCCCGGGTCCTGGGCTCAGCACGGCCCACTGCCGCCCGCTCCCCGCGGCCCCAGCTGTGGCTCAGCCTCCCCCAGGCCGCTCAGGGCGCGCAGTGTCGGGCCGGTCTCAGGGAAGGACAGCGCTGACCCCACAGGCCCTCTGCAGCGTGGGGGGCGGGCCGCCTCTTCTCAGGAAAAGAAAGGGATTGTCAGGAGGATCCCTGCCCTCCGCTCCGCTCTCAGACGTGTGCCTTCCCCGCCGTGCCCTCCGCTCACAACGCCTCCTCTTGCCAGAAAGTTCTCTGCTGAAGTGCCAGCTTCCCAGCCTCCGGAACACCAGGGCCCGGGGCTGTCTGTGCCATTGCCTTCCTCAGACCGGCAGGGGGCGGGGGCGGGGGGGGGCTCCACCTGGGCCTTCCCTCCGGGCACCCTGAGTGGGCACAGCTGCCCAGCCAGGCCTGCTGCAGCCACAGGTGGGGCCTCCGAAGGGGCGTCTGCGACCTGAGCAGAGGACAGCAGGCGAGGGCAGGAGGGGGGGCCGGCGCTCCGGCCGCCCTGGGCCTTCAGGGAGACCCCGGCCGGGACACTTCGCAGCCCCCTCTGCCCGTCGCTCTCCAAAGGAGAGAGGAGGGTCAGGACCACGAGGCTCGAGGAGGCAGGCGGTCGGCCCATCGGAGGGCGGGATCCCCTGGTGGCTCAGATCTCAGCCTCCGGGTGGCAGTGCCCTCCAGGCCGCCTCCTGGTTGCCTGCCGCCTCCTGGTGAGATCGCACAGAAGGGACTTGGCCCCCGGGATCGGCCTCGGACACGGGGAACGGGGTCTGGGGCAGAGGAGCAGCCGAGCGCACCGAGTGCAGAGGCTCCGTCCCCGGGGAGGGAGCTTCGGGGGGGAAGGTCCTGGTCAGAGGCAGCCCTGAGGGCTGAGGGGCGGCCGCAGGTGCGCACGTGGCATGTGGGCCCGCAGAACCTTCTGGAGTCTGAGTCCTTCCTTAACCATCATCCCCGAGTGTGAGCTCTGGTCCCGTCTGCCCGCGCCCTCCCGGGCCCTCCCCCCTCCCTTACACCCTCTGCCCCGAGGTGCAGGGAGGCCTCCAGGACCACCACCATCTGCCCCGTCCCCCCCCCCCCCGTCCCGTCCCGGCCTCCGGGCGGGGCTCCCAGCCTCCCCTGGGGAGGGAGCGTGGGCAGCGCGGCCTCGTCCCCTGGGACATCAGCCTCGGGGCTCACGCTCCCCCAGACCACCTGTCCGACCCCCCCCAGAACTAGGGGCCTGTCCCCAGGAGGGGCCCCCCAGGTGGCTGTCTGATCCCCAGGCCCCTCCCGCCGGCTCCCCACCCCACCCGGGTCAGCGGGCGCTGTGACACCGGGAGGGGCCGCTCTGAGCTGAATGTTTTTATGCCACTCGGCGTGGGCTCCGCCCCGAGGGAGGGCTGTGTGCTGGTGGTCACGTGACGTCATGCGTGTCCCGTGTGGCTGTGGGGGACACGCACTCTGTATGGCGCCTGCGCACGCAGTATTATGAGCAGCAAATAAACGTGTTTCCATGGACTGGCTCTGCGCCTGGGAGACGTCTGTGGGCCTCACGTGCCCCCCCCCTTCCTGCCACTGTCTCTGCCCGGAACACGCGGCCGCTGACGGGAGTGGGGCCGACTGAGGCCCCCGAGCCCGGGCCAGGCCCTGCTGGAGACGGACCCTCTGGCTGTGACTGGCTCACGCGGGGGCGGCCCGGGGCCGGTGGGGCCCGCCCAGCACCGCCTGCTGCTCTCTGCCCAGCCCTGCCTCCCGCCTGGGGGCCCCAGTCCTCAGCACAGGCCCCGGCTGCCCCCCAGCGGCTTCTGGCCCAAACAGCAGGACAGACGGCCGGCTCAGGGCCTCCCTCCCCAACCCAGGGAGAGGGGCCTCTCCCCTCTGAGCCCCAGACAAACACCCCCCCACCACCACTGGGCCCCCCGCCCGGCCAGGCCAACACAACCATATACGCCCCACCCCCAGGGTTCTCAGCTCATCTCTTTAATGAGGAGACTCAGCTCATTACAAAATAACGACTGGATGAGATCAGACCAGAACACGGGGCCACACGAGGGGTGAGAGCATCGCCAGGCAGGGGGGGACAGGCTGCACGCGTGTTCCGAGACGAGGAAGGAGGTCCTGGTGGGGCCGGGGCCCCGTCTGCCCCACCTGCCTTCCACGTGGGCCTCGGCCCGACCTCCAGCGGCTCCCGGGAGCCGTGTGCTCTTCCGGGCCGGGAGCTCCGAGCGACCCACCGCCCAGACCCACCCTCCACTCTCCGAGGGGCCTGCAGCCACAGGTGCCCTCGGTCAGGCGGCAGGAGGGGCGGGTCCCCGTCACGGGTCACCCAGACCCGACCCCACGTGGGAGGGGAGCACGTGACCAGCCGGGCGTCTGGACGGGCCCCTGTGGGGTGCCCAGCATGGCCTGGCCGCCTCGGGTGCAGGAGGGGGCCCCACCCGGCCCCGGACACTCCGTCCTCACACGCTGAGCAGGAGGGAGCAGGGCAGCCCTTCATGGTGGTGGGGCCCCTGTATGGCTTGTCAGTTATTCACACACTGGGTGGGGGACGCCACACACACACAGACGCCAGACAGCGGGCTGGACACAGTGCGGACAGCGGTCAGCCCTGCGGACGGGGCCCCAGGGCGGGATGGGGGGACACAGACGTCTCGGACGCGGACTGGGGGGAAGGCCGCGCTCGCTGGGCCATGCGCTGTTGGCAGGAGGACATGCATGTGGGTCGAGGCTCGGTCCGGCGTCTGCGGGGACGGGGCCGTTACAACTATCCCCATGGGGGGCGGGGGGCGGGGGGCGAGCTCAAATGGCTTCAGGAGGCCCTGGTTTTGTCGTCGCTTAAAAAATAAAGTCTATTCACGCGTCTCCAGGCTCAGCGTGCTCTGTCTCCGTATCGCTGCTCAGAACCCCGGGGAGGAGATGCCCTCAGGGGCCCGTCTCCCCCGGACCAGGGGCCCCGTGGGCCACGGGACACACAGGCCGGCCAGACGGGCGTGAATGTCAGGGACACACAGCCAAGGCCACTCGGGCACCTGCACTTCAGTCTTCACTGCTCACGTCACACTCGGGTGCCACTGGGTTCCCTGTCTGTCTGCCAACCCGGCAGCCATGTCCCAGGCTCTGGGCCCCCTAGCTCAGGCCTTGGGACCCGTCCCTGCCTGCCTCCCCCAGGTGGGCAGGGAAGCAGGAGAGGGTGGGGAAGGGGCGAGGGGAAGGGAAGGGGGGAGGAAGGGGGAGGAGAGGTAGGTGAGGAGGGGGAAGGGGAAGGAGGAAGGGGAAGGGGAAGGACGAGAGGGCGAGGAAGGGGTGAGGAAAGGGGAGGGGAAGAGGAGGGAGAGAGGAGGGGAAGGGGAGAGGGAGGGGAGGTAGGCGAGGAGTGGGGAAAGAGGAGGGGGAAGAGGGGCAGGGAAGGGGAGGGGAGGGGAGGAGGGGGTGGGGGAGGGAAGGGGGAGAGGAGGTAGGCGAGGAGGGGGAAGATTGACAGAGTCAGTGATGAGGTTTGTGGGGCACGGGGGGGGGGTGAGGGCGTGGGGGGGGGGGGGTGAGGGGATACACCCTGGAAAGCACCAAAGTCCCACTGCTCTGGAGCGGGGGCGGAGCCCGGTGCCCTCTGCCCTCCGCCTCTGCGGGAACCCCTGCCCTCCACGCTCCTCACCCTTGTCGGGGTCCCCCCACCTCCCCATGAGAACACACACGTGTACACACACACACACACACACACGCGTGTGCACACACGGGGATCCGGTAACGAATGACTTCCATGCCCCACAGCCACAGGGAGGGAGGGTCTGAGAGGCAGGGGAGGCTGGGTGGCTCCCCGTTTCGGGGGAAGGGTCCCCGCACCCCCTCTCCCGCTGAGGGCAGCAAAGACCAAGCCCCTCCTCGTGGTAACGGGGACGCCTGCACCTGCGTCTGCTCTCCAACACCCGCACCTGCCCCGGGGCCGAGGAAGCCCGGGGAGGGGCGGGGGGATGGGGTCTGGGGAGGAGAGTTCACGGACATGGGGGTGCTGGGGTGGCCTGTGGGTGCAGGGCTGAGGGGGGCGCACGGCGGGGGGACACGGCCAGGGACTGCCCTGCTCGCCGGGGCTGGGGTCTGGAAGGGGACTCGGTGCCGACGTGAACATATATATGGCTTTTTATCAACGCTGGGGGCCCGGGGAGACGGGGAGGGGACGGGAGCACGGGGAGCAGGCTCCGTGGCCTCCACCCCGGTCTGGAGGGGCCCTGCCTCCCGGAATTCGGAGCCGCCTCCCTGAGGAGGGACACGGGGTGCCAGGGACCAGGAGGGCCGAGGGGGGGGGCCCAGGACCCTCTGTGCCCTGTCTGCCTCGTCCTGGGACCCCGCCGTCTGTCTGCCCCCCTGTCCCGTCCCCCCTGCCACCCCCCCCCCCCCCCGCCTCACCTGGACCTCAGGGACCAAACCAGCAAAGCTCCCCTCTGGCCCCGCACCGGTGCCGGCTCTGCCGACAGGTCGCTCCACTTGGTTTAAGAGAAAACAAGCCAAAGCATGATGGGAAATGAGGGCGTGGACCGTGGGGCGGCTGCTGGGGGGGGGGGGGGAGCTAGGGTCCAGGAGGGGCGCTGGTCTCGGGCCCGGGCCCCTGGGCCTCTGTGGGGTGAGATGAACGGCCCCGGAGCGTGAGGTCCCTCTCGGCGGCCGACCCACCGGCCATCGGCTCATGTCCCAGAAGCCCCCGGGGGCCGGGTGCTGAGCACAGGCCGTCCTCGAAGCCAGGCGTGGTCCTGGCTCCGGACAAGTCCGTCTCCGCAGCCCAGACGGGCGCCCGGGAGAGAAGGCGCTTCTGGCAGCCGGGCTGGGCCGGAGCCTTCTCCTCAGTGACACCCACGAGACCGAGGACCTGCCATCACGTCAGGGTCCCTCCGGCTGGACGCCCTGTCCCTGGCTCATTCCAGCATGTGGAGGTGCTCACACAGGCACACACACAGGTGCACAATGCCCTCTCGCACACGCACACACACGTGTACACAATGCACTCACACACACAGGTGCACACAATGCCCTCACACACACGTGTATACAATGCCCTCTCACACACACACACCTGCACACAATGCCCTCACACACACGTGTACACAGTGCCCTCTCACACACACGTGCACACAATGCACTCACATGTACACAATGCCCTCACACATGCACACAATGCACGCACACGTGTGCACAATGCCCCCTAACACGTGTGTGCACAACACGTTCACACACGTGCATGTATACGTGTGTGTGCACACACGTGGACACGTGTGCACACGCACACGTGGGTCGCTGGCCACGGTGCAGCCTTCCCTCCCCGGAAACAGGAAGTGCCGTCCGTCGAGCGGGTGCAGAACACGCAAAGAACGGGAGGCGTCTCGCTTCCTGCCACGAGAGGCCCTCCCTCCCGGAGGCCAGGGCGGGCGGGCGGGCGGGGCTGGGACGGAGGGACCCCGCTGGGACCGCGATGGCGATGATGGCGATGGCGATGACGGGCATGCAGCGGGCGGCTCCCGGGCGGTGACCAGAGCTGGGCTCCTCGTCCGCCTCCCCGGGGAGCCGGTCTCCGAACGGACGAGAGGGAGGGGGACGAGGACGCGGCCACACGGAGGGACCTCGAGGGCGTCACTGAGGTATGGAGGGCTCGGGGCCCGTCGGTCCGAGCCGGCCGGCCGTGCGCTCGGCGGCGGCCGCGGCTCCTACTTGTTCTTGCCCAGGAGAGCGTCCACCTCCTCCTCGGGCTTCAGCGAGTGCCACTGGGCGATGGGCCGGCGCGGGTTGGCCAGCATGTCGGACCAGTGCCGCAGCTCCGTGCCCGTGGCGTTGCTGCCCACGAAGATCTTGCCGATGGCCTCGTTCTTGCCCAGCTTGTCGTAGTCCAGCACCGTGATCACCACGTGGACTTTCTGCCGGACACGGGGGCGAGGGGTCAGCCCGCACGGCTCCTTCGAGCCCAGAGCGCCGCCCGCCGCCCGCCGGCCCGCCCGCCCCGAGGCCCCGCCCCGAGCCCCGCCCCGAGGCCCCGCCCGCCGGCCCGCCCGCCGGCCCGCCCGCCGGCCCGCCCGCCCCGAGGCCCCGCACCTGGATCTGCTCGAAGGGAATCTCGAAGCTGAAGGACTCGTTGAAGTAGGGGTTCAGCGTCTTCTTCTTCACCGTCGTCTTCTTCTTCTTGAGCCTCTTGCCGTTCTGCATCAGGTGGATCTTCACGTAGGGGTCTGCGCAGGGAGAACCCGGGGTCCCTCAGTGCCTCTCGGGCGAGAGGGGACCCCCAGGTGCCCTCAGCGCCTCCCACAGGGGAGAGGGGACCCCCAGGTGCCCTCAGCGCCTCCCACAGGGGAGAGGGGACCCCCCACGTGCCCTCAGCGCCTCCCACAGGGGAGAGGGGACCCCCAGGTGCCCTCAGCGCCTCCCACAGGGGAGAGGGGACCCCAGGTGCCCTCAGCGCCTCCCACAGGGGAGAGGGGACCCCCAGGGCCTCCCACAGGGGAGAAGGAACCCCAGTTCTGAATCACGGGGAAGAGGGAACCCCCAGAGCCTCCTTAGGGGGAGAGGGAATCCCCAGGTGCCCTAAGAGACTCTCACGGGAGAGAGGGAACCCCCCCCCAGTGCCTCCCTCAGGGAAGAGGGAACCCCCAGAGCTTCTCACAGGGAAGAGGGAACCCCCCGGTACCCCCAGGGCCTCCCACTGGGGAGAAGGAACCCCAGTTCCAAATCACGGGGAAGAGGGAACCCCCAGAGCCTCCTTAGGGGAAGAGGGAATCCCCAGGTGCCCCCTACGCCTCCCACAGGCCCAGCACCCCCCAGAGACCAGGCTCGAGGCACCCAAGGCCCTGCAGGAGGCAGGAGGCTGCGGGGTGACTGGGTGACGTGGTCCCGGGCCGCAGGGAGGGAGGCCACGTGGGGTCCACAGGCCCCTGCCGTCCGACCCCGTGCCATCCTCCTGACCTGGCCTGTGGGACGCCAAAGCCCACAGCGGGGACGTGGCCAAGGTCACAGTCTGCCCCTCGGGAGGCAGAGCGCCGGCCTGTGCCGGGGCCGGGCCCACCCACAGCCCCCTCCCCAAGCCCCTCGCCCCACCCACCATGCCCTACGCTTCCGGGGAGGGGGAGGGGGGCAGGAGAATCCTAAACCTCGGGCTCAGAGGAGAGCCCCGAAGGCATCCCGGAGCCAGAAAGGGGGTCTTCGGAGAAAGGGGGGCTCTGGGGAGCCGGGTCCTGGGTCCTGCCCTCTGGGTGGGAGTCGGGGTGAGAGGACTCACAGCCCTCGGAGCCGCCTGCCCCAGGCGGGAGGCTCGCTGCTGCCACCCCGTGGCGGCCAGGCGCGCTGCACCTACCCGAGAGGCCGCCCACGTCCATCTTCTTCAGGTTCTTGGCCTCGAGGATGCAGACGGTGAGCTTGCCGGCCGTGGGCACGTAGCGCAGGGACGTGCAGATGTCGCCCAGCTTCTCCGGCTGCGCAGGGAGAGGGGGCCGGGTCAGCTCGGCCACCCAGGCCTCCGGCACAGCCCCCTCCCCGCCCCGGCCCCGCAGCTGGGAGGCCCGGCAGGTGGCTCAGCGTCAGATCCTCCCCTGGGGGAGGGAGAGTGAGCAGCAGCTGGGCGTGGAGGACAGGCTGCAGGCAGGTGTGGGCGGGAGGTGCCCGGGGGGCGGGCGGACATGGTACCTCCTGCTACCCCAGGCCGAAGCCAGGTGCACGGACCCAGGGCCCTGGAGGCAGCAGCACCTGGGAACCGTCCCCCCAGCTCTCCGCCCAGCACCTCCTCGTTGGACCCCTGGGGCCCCGTCCCCGCGCTCACCTCCTCCTTCTCGCCGCCCTGCAGGTCTCTCCACTCCTCAATGGGCTGGCCCAGGTCCACCGTGTTCATGGGCACCTTCACCTCCCCGATGATGTCGTGCTTGGAGAAGCGGTCGAAGTCGTAGATGGCCATCACCAGGGTCTTGCCCCCCAGCTCCTGGTACGGCACCTGTGGGGCACGGGCAGGGTCAGAGCAGGTCGGGGCGGTGGACACATGCACCCTGGGCCTAGCGTTCTCCCCACTCGATGCCCGTGGGACTCCCGGTGAGTCTGGGGGGATGGAGGGAAGACCCGGGCCCTGGGGGACCAGTGGGGTGGGGAGAGCCCCGAGCCAGCCGCCCTCGTTCCAGACGGGGTCGGTGCCGTGACCTCAGCCTCGGCACGGAGCCAGGAGAGGCGAGTGGGAGGCCTGTGGGCCTGGGGCCCGGAGGGAGCCCTCGTCCGTCACCTTGAAGGTGAAGGTCTCGTTGAAGGCGGGGTTCAGCGTCTTGCGGTGAACTTTGGTCTCGTACTTCTTCTTCTTGTCCGGGAGGAGGAAGACCTTGACATAAGGGTCTGAGGTGCCTCCCATGTCCAGGGCGGGCAGCTCTGCGGCCTGCAGCACGCCGACGGTCAGCTGTGGAGACAGGGGGCGCGCCAAGTCTCAGGACCGCCCCTCCCCTTCTCCGCTCGGCCCGAGCAGCACCAGCAGCAGCCATCCCAGCGGCCGGGGGTCCGGGGGCCTCGCCGGGGCAAGAGGAGGGCCGTGCCCGCGCCGTCCCCAAGAACATGCCGAGACTGGTGTGGCTCAGTGGATAGAGCGTCGGCCTGTGGACTGAAGGGTCCCAGGTTCGATTCCGGTCAAGGGCATGGACCATGGTGGTGGGCACATCCCCAGTGGGGTGTGTGCAGGAGGCGGCTGATGGATGATTCTCTCTCGTCGATGTTTCTAACTCTCTATCCCTCTCCCTTCCTCCCTGTAAAAAATCAATAAAATATATATTTTTTAAAAAGAACGAACTTGGACACACAGGGGTCATCGGAGTTGAGAGGACACCAACTGGCCCCAGGTTGGGGATAGGGTTAATGGAGAGTTGAGCCAGGGCCTTCCCAGCCGGCCCCTCCACGGAGAGAGCGGTTCTGCCCCCTGATGCCCCCCCCCCAGCCGCCCACCTGGTTGGCCTGGAAGTCGTAGTCCAGGGAGAACTGCAGCTTCCCCAGGTTCTCCGGCTCCTTCTCCTCCTCGCCCTCCCCCTCCCCCTCGGTGAGGCCGGTCTCAGCGTCATCATCGTCCTGTGGGGGCTGCGGAGAGAGGGGCGGGGTCAGGGGAGGACAGGGGTCGTGGGGAGAGGGCCCTCGGTGCAGACCGGCTCAGAGTCCGGGGAGAGGGAGGGAGGGGAACCGTGGGGGCGGGCAGTCCCCCGGGACCCCCCCCCCATGCCTCTCCCCTGCAGGACCCAGCCCTCCCACCCCCATACTTCCCCCAGCTCAGGCCCCTGGGCAAGACGTACCGGGCAGGCGAGCAGTCCCGGTGAGCAGGGGCGGGTGAGTCCACAGAGGTGGGAAGAGAAGGGAGAATGTCGTCAAGAAAAAAATTCTGCAGCCCAGACAGGTGGGGGGGGGGGGCACAGCCATGGGGGGGGGCCTCGGGGGTGGCTGGACTGTGCCTGGGGCATTCTTGGGGCCCTCGTGCTCCTCCGGCAGGCCCCTTCCCCCCATAGGCACGTGCACCCATGATACACACGTGTGCACACATGCATGCATGTACAGAGTACAGGTGTGTATGTGTGCACACAAACACCCAGAGCTGTTTGCTTCCTGGCTGGTTCTGAGGTGAGGCCCTTCCTCCACTGTCCCCCCCGGGGGTTGGGGGAGCTCTCAGGGGCCTCTGCAAACTCCAAAGGGGAAACCTGGGTGTGTGACGGACCTGCCAGCTGACGGGCCCCAAAGACAGGGCGAACGATGACGGGATTAGAGACAGACTGCACTTGGCCTCGTCCAGTCCCAGCCCCGCCCCCAGCTAGAGGCTGTGGGACCTCCGACAGGAGCACAGTTCAGTCCCGGGACGGTCTCTCAGATGGGGGGTCTCCCTCTGACAGTTTGCCCCAACAGCCTCTCCTGGGATCAGTACGGGCCCCCCCCCCATCAGTCCCCCTCCCATGAGCACCTTGGGTGCAGACGTAGCCGGTGGGGACTGTGCACAGTCGGGGGGGAGTGGGGGGGGGGCAGACCCCGGTGGCCGCAGAGCCAGCGGCCCTCCTGGGGCCTCTGAGGGCAGGAGCGCCCTCCCGTGGCCCCGCCCCGTCCTACCTGCCCGCCTTTCATGTCCTTCATGCTCATGGCGTTCTTGGCGCCCTTGCCCTTCTCCTTCTTGTTCTTCTTCTTCCGGCAGCAGCACTTCTTGCAGATGCAGAAGCAGCAGGTGAGGAGCAGGAGGCCGGCCACCACGGTGATGGCTATCAGCGCCCAGGGCGGCACTGCCCGCGGGAGAGCCGGGCGTCAGCGCCCAGGGCGGCCCCCTGCCCGCCCGCACGGTGCCACCGCACACGCGCACGCGTCCTTCAGGGACGTGGCATGTGCTTCGCCTGCCGTCTCACGGGGCCCTAGCCCGTGGCCCCGCCCGCTAACGGGGAAACGGGCTGAACACGCAGGGAGGTGAGCTGGGCTCTGCGAGCGCTGACCAGTCTGACCCACAGAGAACTGGTTGGATTGCAGAGGATGGGGGGTGGCCCTTGGACAAGGTGGGAAGAGCCGGGATGATCCCACGGGATGCTGTCCACGGCCCTGACCCACCTGGCTGCTGTCCAAGGCCCTGACCACCTGGCTGCTGTCCGTGGTTTCTGACCCACCTAGCTGCTGTCCACTATACTTACCTGACCGCTGTCCGCGGTTCTGATCCACCTGACTACTGTCCGAGGTCCTGACCCTGCTGACCGCTGTCTGCGGTCCTGCCCACCTGGCTGCTGTCCGCGGTGTGACCACCATGTACTAGTAAGCTGGTGGTGGGGCTGAGTGTGGCCTCTGTCTCCCACACAGACTTAGCCGGGAATTCAGAAGGCAGGGGCACCATAAGGTACTAAAATGTCCATCACTGCCCGGCCAGTGTGGCTCAATGGTTGAGCATCAATCCATGAACCAGGAGGTCACTGGTTTGATTCCCGGTCAGGGCACATGCCCGAGTTACAGGCTTGATCCCCTGTGTGGGGCATGCAGGAGGCAGCGATCCATGATGTTTCTCTCTCTCTTTCCCTCTCCCTTCCTCTCTGACATCAATATTTTTAAATATATATATTGTTTAATATTTTGGTTTCATCTTTTGACAGTTTTCTAAATTGTATAAGGACTTTTTTTTCCCCCCTGGGAGGTTGGGCCCTGTTCCCTTCCGTAAGCCAGCCCACACACCCCCATTATTGACAGGGCGCCCCAACAATACAGCCTAAGCCCGGGTTTAGGAAAGAACCCAGCCAACTGTGCCCCTGGGTCCCCCCACACCCAGCCTCGGGGACACTCACGGGGGATCCTGCTCATCTCATTGAAGAACTTGTCCTTCAGCTTGGTAAACATGTCTTCCTTGCTCCCCTCGGCACCCCCACTCTCGGTGGAGTTGCCCACGGGCCCGGCCGGCATGGCGGGCACGGTGGCCGTGGTGGTGGCCGCCGGAGCCGCCTCTGGCTGCTGGTTCTTCTTGAAGATGTTCCACATGGTGGCTGCAGGGGTGGCTGAGGGTGGGAGGGGAGGGCCGGGTGAGCACCCAAAGGTCCCTCCCAGTCCTGTGGTCAAGCACCAGGGCTCCGTCCCCTCCAAGAACTGCGTCCTCCCTGGTAACCCAGAGCCTCACACCTGCTGCTCTCTGGACCTGAGATACTCTCCCCGCAGACCCCACGGGCTCAGGTCAGCTCCCTGAGGTCCCCTGGGGCTGTCCGCCCCTCCTTCACTGCACTTGTCACCGACAGGCTGTGTTTTAGTGGTTCTCTGCCCTTCACTGGGATTTAAGAACCGTGACTGCCGATCTTTGACAGCACGTAGTAGGTGCACAGGGACATAGGTGAGGAACGGGAGGGGTCAGAGGTCTGGTCTGTGTGACGCTGTTGCCCTCTGACCTCTTAGCCCTTGCCCAGTCCCGAGCAATGGTGGTATCAGCAACTTAGGTGTTGAAAAAACAAAAACAAAAAAACACTACAAGTGTCAGCTCAGCTGGTTTGGCTCGGTGGGTAGAGCTTCGGCCTGTGGACTAAAGGGTTCTAGGTTCGATCCTGGTTAAGGGCATGTACCCTGGTTGGGGTACGTGTTGGTGGCAACCAACCAATGGACCTTTATCACATCCAGGTTTCTCTCGGTGTGTCTCTCCCCTTCCACTCTCTCTCTCTAAAACTCAATGGAACAATATCCTCGGCTGAGGATTGACAACGACAACAACCGAAGCATCCTATTCCCTCTTTGGACATGTCTAAGGGGTAGTTCACCCGTATGTGCTCCCCAGAAGCGAAAGGAAACAAGTCAAAGAGGCTGATGACTTCACGTCAGTTCTCAAGCCTCCGGTGGGGAAGAGGCCCCGAGAGGTGAAGGGACTGGTCCGAGACCGCACAGCTCATGCTCCTGCCCCACAGCACAGCCGCCTCCCCCCCCCCCCCCCGGTCATGCCCTACTCAGGGTGCAGGGTGCGGGCATCTGAGCAGGAACCCAGCAGGAAGGAACAGCGAAGTCCCAGGGGCTGGGGAGCTGTCCGTCTGACCTCGCTGCTCAAGCTGCACTCCTGGGGAGGGGGGGGAAGGCAGCGGCTGGGAGAGCTGAGGATGATGAATGAGCGTGGGCTCTGGGGGCCCCGAGCAGAGTGAGCGCCTCTGTCTGCTCAGAACTGCCGGAGCGGGAAAGCATGAGACAGGCCATTAGGCAGAGATGCTGCTGGGGCTGGGCCCGGGCCCGTGGAGGCACCCGCTCGCTGGCCTGCAGGTCTGAGGAGGGTGGCAGGGCCGGGTGAGGCGGAAGATGCGTGCGGTCCTGGCACACGTACCTCAGAGCGCTAGTGAGCGGCCACGGGAACCAGCCACGTGAGGCCTGGGGTGGGTAGGCGGGGTAACCACCTCTCTGACTGACCAACTACAGTGACAGGTCTGCAGGGATAGCATGGGGGGGCGATGTGCACCAGACCCCTAGGGCCACGCCTCCTGGGACCACATCCCCTGAGACCACACCTCCCCAAGACTAGGCCTCCGGTTGGCCACGCCCCCTAGACCACGCCTCCTGGTGGCCACGCCTCCTCAAGACCACACTTCCACAGGAAGCCGCCTCCCTGTGGCCACACCTCCCCAGGACCTCCCTGTGGCCACGCCTCCCCAGGACCGCCTGGTGGCCACGCCTCCTTGTGGCCACGCCTCCCATGGCCATACCATCCAAAAGCCACGCCTCCCGAGACCATGCCTCCCCAGGATCACACCTCCCAAGGCCACGCCTCCCCAGAACTAGGCCTCCTGTTGGCCACTCCTCCCCGGGACCACGCCTCCCAGGATCACGCCCCCCCAAGGCCACGCCTCCCCAGGACCCTCCTAACAGCACGCAGGAACATCCCTTCACTCCAAACACCGGCCGGCGGTGCTCAGAGCCCGGCTGTCGCTTTGGGTGGGAACTCCACCATCCACACCTGGCGGGTGGGCTGCCAGGGAGCAAGCCTAGAGGCGGGGATGGGACACCCAGACCCACACTCACCACCACCTGTGCCCCCCAACCCACACCAGCCGGCTGGGATACCGGGACCCTGCTCCCGCAGACTGTGCCCCTCGGGCCCGGCCTCGGACGATGCGGATAACAAGGAGCTGAGTGGACACAACCTCGTCATCTCCCTGACCTGCATCTGCAGATGCCGCCGCCGCCGCCGCGCTAATGAGATGGAAATAGGTTAGCCAGCAGGAGCGCGCACAGGCCGGCAAAGTTCAACCCTTATGGATGAATGTATGCCGTTCTTGTCCGGGGCCCATGGGCCCTGGGAGACGGAGGATGCGGTTCTAATGGAGTCGTTTCCGGGCACGTTTTGATAACGAATTGCCCGTGTCTGCCAGTTCCCTGCGTGCAGGGGCCCGTGCGTCTTCCCGGGTGGAACAAGGCGGCTGGAAAGTCCTGCCTGTGTCTGCCTTCCATCTCTCCTGCTCCCACAATGCACTTCCCTTCCTGAGCTTCTGAGCTGAGCTCAGCAATCCCAGGCCCTCGGAGAGGCGGCCGGGCAGAGGCCTCAGGCTCGGAGCGGAAGGCCAGGTACCGGCCTGGTCCCCTGGCTCAGCCACCTTGTGCACTTCTAAGCGAGGGTTCGCCCTCCTGCTCTGCAGGCCTGCAACCCTCAGCTCCCCACACCTGCTGTGGGGGTTTCCCTCTCTGAACCCAGGCTTCGGGAGCTGATCTTTTTAAACGACCACGTCCTGGGCTGTGTGAACTCGGGAAGCTGCAGAAAATGCTGAGCAAGCACAGAAACAGGCCCCAGAGCCACATGGTCCCGTCCCATCACGCAAGACTCCTGCTGAGTGGGCACAGCTCTCCCACGCCCCATCCTGCTCTCTGTAGCCCCAGCAAGCCCTCTGGTGATGCTCCTCCTTGGCCAGCTCTGTGGGCACAGGGGTGAGGGGCAGCTTGCACCAGAAGAGACCATGAGCCCGTCTGTACCACGCTCTCCAATGGAGGGTAGGCTGCCGCGTCACTGTCCACCCGGCTGGCCGGGGAGCAGCCTGCTAGGGGCCCCCCACGGCCAGCTCAGGGCCCCCCGGCTGCCCCCATGCCTTCCCCTCAGACTCAGAATTCTGGGCTTTCACCGGGTCACCCTGCCCAGCAGCCTTTGGGGTCCCCCGCTCCTGCAGGCAGGGTCTCTCAGGGACCAGTGCCAGGATGCTGGGGGAGCAGGCTGGGAAGGGTGGGGACCCCAAATGGGTGACTGATGGGGACCTGTGAAAGCTTAGGGTCGGTGGGCCTTGGGCTGCCTGCTAAAGGTTATGGAAAGTGGGGGGCGGGGGAGGGGGACCCAACACCGGTGTGGCTCAGTGGATAGAGCGTCGGCCTGCGGACTGAAAGGTCCCAGGTTCGAGTCCGGCCAAGGGCATGGACCTTGGTTGCGGGCACATCCCCGGTAGGGCATGTGCAGGAGGCAGCTGGTCGATGATGTTTCTCTCTCATCGATGTTTCTAACTCTCTGTCCCTCTCCCTTCCTCTCTGTAAAAAAAATCATATATATATATATATATATATATATATATATATATATATATAAAGAAAAAGAAAAGTAAGTGGGGGGGGAGGGAGGGGGTGTACCACTAGGACCTGGAGGTCTGCCCACCTGTCATGGGCCTGGGTGTGTGTGTGAGTGTGAGGCAGAGATGGGCTGTGGGGGCTTGACCCTGGTCACTCTCTAGGGGGTCTTGGGAAGCATTGTGGGGGCGCAGGCTATGGGGCTTGGCAGGGACAAGCCCATGGTCACTGCTCTGCCACCCGTGGACGCCTGCAGAGGGCAGTGAGGAGGACACGGCCTGGCCCTGCCCCTCCCAGACGGGGCAGCCCTGGGGCAGAGCCTCCGCTCACTCCTCACCGGAGGAGATGCCCGTCACTGCCCGCGCCTCTGACAGGCTGTGGTCTCAGGAAGCGAAGTGGGTCAGGCAGGTCCTGGGGGCACAATTACATCCAGGAAGCAGCCAGCTTCCTCCCCCGACCACCTGGGGGCGGGAACAGGAAACGGGCGGGAAGGGGGTGGTGAAAGGGGCGGAGAGGGGGGGCAGCTGTGTCCTCAAAATGCCAACAGGCGGAAGGAGATGCGGGGAAATTCCAAACCGGAAAAATCCGGGCGTGGAATTCTACTGGGGCCCCACCTGGGAGCCCGGGAAGCTGACAGGTGAAGCCAGGCGGGCGGGCGGGCGGGCGGTGCCTGACCTCTGGGGCAGGCCTGGCTGAGTGTCAAGGTCGCTGTTCCAACCCCTGGAGTCTCTATAAAGCTTCATCCATCTGCAAGCCAGCCCATGCACACACGGCCTCCTCTGTCCACGCCCCAGGAACCCCCCACCCGGGCGGACAGGCCTCAGGCTGCCTGCGGCTTGTGGGAGCTCACCGTTCTCTCTGTAACATCCCAGCTCTTGCAGGACCCGCGAGGAGGTGCTGACAGGAAATACAAAATGGAGCCTGGCCTGCGCGGCTCAGGGGTTGAGCAGCGACCTATGAACCAGGGGGTCACGGTTCGATTCCGGGTCAGGGCACGCTGACCCGGGTTGCGGGCTCCAACCCCAGCGTGGGGTGTACAAGAGGCAGCCGATTCATGATTCTCTCTCAACATTCATTTCTCTCTCTCTCTCTTTCTCTCGGAAATCAATGCAAACACATTAAAAAAAATAATAAAAAATAGAGACCAGACTTGAGAATTCCTCAAGGGAAGAGCCACGAAAGCAAAACTAACTGGCTTATTTCACGAACAAAACCAACTCCTGGGCTACTTCCTGTACCTGCCTCTGACGGGCATGATAGGAGCTCAGTTCTCTTCTTGAGAATGAGGGGGTCACGGGGTGGGGGCGGGGGTGGGGGGGAGGTTAGGGGATTGGAATGGGGGGTTGAGGACAAATACTTGATACCTTAATCAATAAAAAAATTTTAAAAATAAAATATAAAATTAAATTAAATTTAAAAAAATAAATAAACAGGCTGTATGGGCTCTGGTCACTGTCTCTCCATCGGAAGAGGTCAGC